TGCTGGGGCTGGAACTGCTGGGGAGTCCTCTGGAGAGGTCACGGGTGTGCCACAGAAAGGGGCCTCTGGGACCACGTGACTGAGAAATGAGGTGGCTGCCTTTCTCTGGGCCTGCTGGACACACAGAATGCTCCTTCCCCAGCCCCTTCTCCAAGAGCCGCCCCAAGGCCCTGGTGGCCAACTCCCCTGCTGCAAGGAGGCCTCAGGAGCAGCCACTGTGATTGACTGTCGGAATCTTCCATCATCGGGCATTTCTGTTTCCCCCATTGAACCAAAGGAATGAGCATGTCAGATCTTTGAGGTGATACAACATGTCGTGATACATGTTACATGATACAACATGTCCACGACATTGCATGTTTCTCTCTGTTCCTTTGAGATGTATTGTTTCCCAAATGACTCTGGACACTAAATTCAAGGCTACCTCAAATTTGGGGTTTAGCTGGAGCTTTCAAGCAATGCCCCATATTTTAGTTAAAAGTTGTTGCCCCCTTCCCAGCCACCTGGGATGTCTTGGTCTCCTCATCTGTGACCTGGCTGCTTGTACCTGCCCTGTCTACATGAAGCTCAGATTGGAGAAGAGGCCAAACAGCATCGTGTGGCATGTTACAAATGCAGAGCCAATGGGCATGCTTTGCTGCTGTCATCTGAACAGGTGACGCCTCCATTAGCTCCATCACTTGAACAGGTGACGCCTTCGTTAGCTCTGTCATCTGAACAGGTGATGCTTCCCTTAGCTCCATCATCTGAAAAGGTGACGCCTCCATTAGCTCTGTCATCCGAACAGTCATCTGAAAAGGTGACACCTCCGTGAGCTCTGTCATCCGAACAGGTGACGCCTCCATTAGCTCCGTCATCCAAACAGGTGACATCTTCGTTAGCTCCATCACTTGAACAGGTGACACCTTCGTTAGCTCCGTCATCCGAACAGGTGACGCCTCCATTAGCTCCGTCATCCAAACAGGTGACATCTTCGTTAGCTCCATCATGGTCCTTCCCATTGTCTAGACATGGCCTCCTGCCACCAGCTGGGGAGATCATTCCAGCAAAGGTTCCAGATGGATGCTGTGGGAGCATGAAGCCTTCACCACACCCACTAGCTTTTCCCAGGGAGAAGACACTCACAGAGTCTGGCGCACTGAAGTGGGAATGGAAATTGTCAAACAGAGTGGCTGAGGGATTCTCACTTCCTCCCTGAGTCCTGGCAGTCAGCACAAGGGAATAAAATGGTCACATGTAAAGGGCTCCGAAATACACTGCTGTGTTCACACTCTTTTCTCTTTGTCCCTGGTCACACACAAGCACACACACACACCCCTTGCTGGCCTCTGCACTGCACCAACCCTGGGCATCCAGCTCCTTTCCATCTTCTCACAAGCTCTTCCACTCAGCCTGTGCCCGGCTCAATCGTGGCTTTGGACTGGGGATTTTTAGCTGGGCCAGGTCCTCCCTGGTTGAGCTGTGCAGTCCTCGTCCACCTCACCCAGCCTGAGTCTCCTTCAAGGCCCAGGGGCCTGGTCGCATCCATTCGCTGCCTCAGGCCCTGAGCCGAGCCCAGGGCCTGGCACAAGTTCAAAGAGGCATCAGATCTGGCAGGAAGTTGATGCTGAAAACCACAGTTTTTACTCCACAAGAACATGTCATGGCCCAGAGAAGGAGGTGGATGTGTGTGTGTGTGTGTGTGTGTGTGTTTGAGGGGTGCCGCTCTACCGCACCTTAGTGGGTCTATTTCATCCCCGCAAACTGGACACGGTTCAGCAGTCACACCTGGAGGCAATTCCCTGCTCCCCGCCCTGCGCTGACTTGTGTGCAAGGCAAAAACAGAATCGCGGTCACTCCACGCTGTGAAAAGAATGCCTTGTTTTATTATCGCTCTTAAAATACTTTCACGTGCAAGTTGACCATATTTGGGACAACGGTTCCCAGGAAAAGGGCTTCTCAGCAGAGGCTCACTGGGATGCCAGGGCATCTGCTGTCAGCCCCTTGCCAGCTCTCTCCCCCTGAGCAGCCACTAGGCAATTGCAACCTCATTCTTCCCAGAAATGGCTTGGGGACCACTTAGCGAATGTGAACACATCTGGAAAGTATGTTCATCCATCTCTCTCTCTCTCTCTCTCTAATCATGTAAGACAAGAGTGAGAAGAAGGAGTGTTCTTTTCCAGCTATTACAGTTGAAGTTTCAGAGAAGGTGTGGACACTCAGTCGCTAGCTATGGTGAACGCACAGTTTTTGAGGCTGAAGCATCAATTGGGATAGACAAGTCCATGCCTCCTCCTGTCAACTCAAAGACTAAAGCAAACGGTATTTCAGAAATAAAGGAGTCCCATCAGATGTGGGACTGTGCTGCACTACCACCAGGCCCTCAGCCTCTGGGGGTCTCTGCTTCTCTTCTGGAAAATTGGCCGACACTTCTGGTTCCCCTTCTGCTGGCTGCTGGCCTTGAGTGACAGAATGAGCCCACATGTGTGAAAGTGCTTGAGAGCCGACCAGGGAGATCATTACTTTGAAGGCCACTGCCATGTGCAGCCTCCCCCAACGTCCCAACATGTAGGGCCTGGTCCTTGTCCCTTGCACAAGGTCCTCAGCCACCTCACCTCTGGGACTATGATCCTAGGGGCCTGTGTGTGCGCCCACGTGCATTTCGGGAAGTGAGGAAAGTATCTTCACAATAAGGCAAAAGCTGATCAAATTCATTTAATCTTTGTTAAAAGCATCACAAATGATTCATCGATTTTTAAAAAGGGAAAATAAGAAGGAATGCATTGTCTCTTTGTTATGTGCATGGCAGCTGATGGTCTTGCTCCCAGGTAACCGTGTCTACCTGAATGTCAAATATGCAGACCCTTGAATTTACAACCAGGGACAGCCACGGGCCCACGCCTCGATCTCCATGGGTACACAGACGGGAGCATATCAGACTGTATCAGATGCCACCTCCTTCCCGGGTGCTTGGGTCCACATGCCCAAAATGTTCTTAATAGAAATATTAACATAAAATACAGGAAAACCACAAATAACTAAGGGGAAGAACCCTACCCAAACAGCTGAGAGAATTAAACGAGTGGTCAAGGAAGGCCAGAGACCTAGAGTGGCTACCGCAGGCACTGTGAGCTAAGGGGGAGGGCGGTTCCCAGGGTTCCATGTTGCCTGTGGGCCCCAGGCCTGCGCTGTGCTCGCCATGGCTGTCCCTGTGTGCCTGACGCTCGCAGGCAGCCTGCTGGCCAGGGACAGGTGTGAGTGGGGTGGCCAGCAGGATGAAAGTCCCTGCAAAGGCGTCCTTGCAGACTGCAAGCAGGGGAGTGGGGGCTGTGGCAAGGTCCCAGAGTCATGGCCCAGGTCCTGGATCCCATCTCCTGGAGGACCTTGAGGACAACTTGCAGGGCCGCCTCTGGCGGGGTGGGGGTGGTGGAGGGGGCGCAAGACCCCCAGGTGGGCAGGCAGGATGGGGAGAGAGCTTTGGGTCTGGGGGGCAGGTAGCATGGTTGGGGACACCTCCATGCCTGTGTAGCCCAGGGTGCTCCCCTTGTCCTGTGGCCTTGGACGTCCCCCAGCCCAGGGACATGAGGCTCCAATCTCCACAGGTGGTTTACTCAACAAGGAGCAGGCGCCTCCTCCCCACCGGGCACTGTTTGGGGCATGAAGATTCACCCCTGGGCTTTCTCCTCTAATGGACCATGTTTCTTTTCTAGGGAAAATGGGGTAATGCCCCCGAGCTCAGACATGGTGCATGGGAGAACGTCTGCACCTTCATTCGGATTCACCCCAGCCAGCGCGTACCAGCCCGGGCTCTGGCGTTCTCCCCTTCTGAAGGGGAGGCCACGGTCATCTGAGAGCCCTGCCAGAGAGGAGGGGGAGGATGGGGAGGAGGAAGGGGCTACTGACTTCTCATTTCAAGGCAAAAGGTGACCCTCCACCCCCCATATTCCTATGTGTAGACTTACACGAACATCCCTGATTCTAGGAAACTGGGGGGGCGGGGTATGGAGACCTCACGGCACTGGGGAGCAGAGAGCTGGGTTCAGGACCACCTCTGCTGTGACCCTGCTGTGACCTTCAGTCACTCTCCTCCCTGGGCCTCAGTTTCCCCTTCTTGAAAATGAGGGGCACCCTGATGGCCCTTCCAACCCTGCCATCCTCAGCCTCTCCCAGCTGGGTTTCCACCGGGGTCCCTTCGCCTACAAGGAACTGCAGAAAACTCGTGCATCCAGAGCCGTCTCCACCACCCACCTTTCTGGGGGCTTCTGGCTCCTTCCAGAGCCCAGGACGGTGGGAGAAGCCTGCAGGATGGTGCTGCTTGCTGGCAGGAGTGAGGAACCATGGGCACAGGGCCCTGAGCCCACCCCACCCCATCTGCCCTGGGGAGAACCAGGGAGAGAGCTGCTGCCCCTCTGGGCAGAGGAGGCGCCCTGGGCACTCAGGGAAAGGGGCTCCCGAGTACGGGGCTCTGACAGAGCAACCCCCGTGGCTACCACCGGCTATAAAGACAGAGAGTGAGACACCCCCACCACCGCCAACAGCTACCTAGAGAGGCATTTACACAGCTGCAGTTTCCAGCCGGAGGGCAGTGTGGCGTTAGGAGGGCCTGGCTCCCGGACTCCCACAGAGGGACTGGGCGGCCGCACAGGTGGGAGTGAAGAAGCAAAGTCAGGGAGGCTCCGGCCTCTGCGGGGAAGGAACCCGCAACACAGTGTCTGAACGGGTCCACAGCTCTTGCAGCCCGAGGTACTGGGTGGGGTCCAGGATGACCAGCCTCAGCCCAGAGAAGTCAGGCCTCGGCCTGAGTGACAGCACGTGGGGCAGCCGTGTGTGGGGTCTGGGGGTAGAACCTGCCCGAGTCAGGCCTGGTGTCCCATAGGGGCAGGGCCATGTCCGGGGGGTCCCGTGGGCCCCCGTGGGCCTAGGCAGGCTTCGACTTATCAGAGGGGGTGGTGCCTGTCGCCTGGTGTGGGGACGACTCAGGGAGGGGGCTTTCCGCAGGTCTCTGAGGGGCGCCGGTCCAGCCGCCGGCTTCACTGGTGGTTCCGTGCCCTCCGTGGGTGAAACGACGGATGCTGGGGCGGCATCAGCTCACCAGGTAGCTGTGCATCTCTCGGGAGTTGATGCTCAGGACCACGCCCGAGTGGTTGCCTAGGAAACAGAAGAGACGCAGGTCCAGTGAGCACAAGCCCTCGGCCGGGGCTGGAGACGGGGCCACGGGGGCCACGGTGGTGGCCTCAGCCAGCGCCTCGAGCCAACGTGCAGTGGGGCCTCCCTGGGTTCCTTTAGCCCGTGCAGGTGCAGGCGGGTCTCCGCGGTTCCTAGGTGGGTGCCTGAGGAATGGACTCTCTTGGTGCCATCACAAGCAGTGGGCCCCAGAGGGCCTGAGAGGTGAGGCCCAGGCCGGCCCCAGCCCGCCACAGCCACTGACCTGCGTGGGGGTTGCCCCCGGCATCGGCAGCAAGGGGGTGCGAGAAGGGCTGAGGCTCCGCCCCCTCCTGGCAGTGGGCGCTGCAGGGCGTAGAGTGGCGAGGCCCCGGGAGGCGAGAGTAGGAAAGAGGGGGGCATAGGGATGTCAGCGTCAAGGGGTGGTCCGGGCATCCCGGGTGGGGGCTGGTTAGGAGACAAGGGGACGGGTCGAGGACCCAGGACCCAGAGCTGTCCCACCTCAAGGGCACCGGGAGACACGGCTGGGAGCACCCACGGCACAGCCCCGCCACGCCTGAGTCCTCGTCTGAGTCCTCGTCCATCCTTCACCTGGCTGGGCCTTGGCTTCGTCATCTCTAATGTGAGGGTCAACTGCACCCCTCGAAGGACTGTCGTGGGTTAGACGGGGAAGTGTGGCTGCTGCACTGGCAAGGATGGCGTGGACCAAGGGCTTGGCTGCACGAATCTTACTACCCCACTAGCATGACTCTTTAGGGACTTGGAAGCAAACAGCCATCGGGGGCTGGGGAGCCGAGCCCTGTCTCCCTGAGACCCTGTGCCCTCTGTCCACTCGAGAAGGCCTGGGTTCTCTCAGGACCTCACAGCTGCCTCCATCACGGGGGTGAGCGTGGGGGTGACGCCGCCTGCAGGAGGGGGAGCTCCAAGACCACCTCCTGCCCTGGCAGGAGCAAGACCAGTGGAGGGGCCTTTAGAGTCGTAGGCCGCTCACCCATGGCCTGGGGCCTTTGGGGGCACACAGCTGTACAGCCACGGAGTCAGGCTTGAGCCTGGCTCCACCTCCTGTCACTAAGTGACCTGGGGAGGTTGAGTAACAGCTCTGAGCCTCAGCTTTCTCATCTGTGCAGTGGACGCAATGTCGACGTCTGCCTCAGGGAAGTCAGATGGTGTCTGGGAGGCGCTGAGCTGGGGCCTGACACAGAGCGAGCGCTCAGTGAAGTACACGGTTCCTGTGATGTTTCCAGGGCCACGGATGCATCGCACCAAGAGGAACCCACCTGGGCTGGCGATGCTGGAGACAAGAGACCCCCACCGAGGTTGGAGCAGACAGTCCTGGGGAGGGGCTGGAGACAGTGCAGGGGAGGCAGAGAGGGACTGTGGCCAGTCCATTCGGCTGCCCTGACCCCTCTCAAGAGAGTGTGAAGGTCACAGGCTTTGGAGTCTGACTGGCCGGGATCTGGCTCCAGGGTCAGCCAGCGGTTGGCCGAGGCCGGGGTGAGCGACTTCTCCTTTTTGAGCCTCACTTTCAATAATTTGCACAGTAGGGACAGTGGTTTCCGCTGCTCACGTTCTGAGGACGTCCTGGATGCAGGGTGTGAGTGACGCTCCATGCTGGATCATCAGAACAGCAGTGGCAGCAGCTGGGCGTGCCGAGACCTCTGTGGCTTCCTATGTGTCATCCTCTGCTCCGGAAGCTACCGCAGAACCCCCCAGCAACGGTGAGAGGTGTGTGCCGACATCATCACAAAATCAGGCCCAGACGGGGATTGTTAAAAGAGAATAGGAACCATAGGGGAGAAGCCGGGTCCGTGGGGTCTGCCAAGACGTGAGTTCCAGCTCTGTTCCCCACTAGCTGTGACCTTGGGCAAGGACAGTCCCTGTCTCTGCACTTCCATGTCCTCAGCCCTAGGGAAGAGCCCACCTCCTTGGCTGCTCAGCTGAGACAAGCATGGAGAAAGTGCCCACACTGCCCGGCTGCACTTGCCCGACACGGCACACAGGGCTGGTGTCATGGCTCTGGCATAGGCTCCCAGCCCTCTGGCAGGTCTCAGAGCCTCCTGGGCCTCAGTTTACCCCCTCATCCAGAGGAAGAGCTGTAGTGCCTATTGTGCTGGATGGCATCACGCTCTGACTGCAGCTGAGGGGTGGAGTCCGTGCCCCCTCCCCTCAAACATGGGCAGGGCAAGACACAAGTGACAGGGTATGACTTCAAGGCCAGGCCCTGAAGCGGGTGTGGCTCCTGCCTGGCCACCTCACTCCACATGCTCTTGGAAGTCAGCTGCCACGCTGGGAGGAAGCCCAAGCCACACGGCGAGACCATGTGCAGGTGTCCCGCTCGATGGCCCAGGTGAGGGGTTAGCTGACTGCCTGCATGAATTGCCGGCCATCTGAGTGAGGCAGCCTTTGAGATGATCGCTGCACCAGCTATTGACTGCAGCCTCATGAGAGACCCTGACAGCGAGCAGCCCGGCTGAGCCCACTCAGCTCCCAGACACCAGAAGAGAAAACGGCCATAAACGATGCTGCCGCTGAGGTGGGTGGTTTGTCGTGCAGCCGTAGATGACTTGACTGGTCTTCTCGCCCTGGGCATGATCACATCCGTGGAAATGCTTCGTCAACTGTAAAGCGCAGTGCCGCAGGTCCAGGTGTGGGATGTTCCCTAAATCACCACTGCAGTGAAGGGGAGGACTGGGAGTGCTGAGGGAGCGGCTGCGGGGGAAAAGGGCTCCCACACCCTGAGGCCAGAGTCAGGCTTCCTTTCAAAGCCAGCCCTGTTTCCCGTCCTTTCCCTGCCTCGACTGGGCTGTCGGGGGCTGTTTGGTCATTGCCAGGGATGGGGCCCTCAGCGTCCACAGGTCTTGGATTTCATCTCTGGGGGCAGCCCTGAGAGGTCACGTCATCCCCTCATCAGATGGAGGGACACAGTGGGCCCGACTGACCCAGCAAGGTCTGCTGGACCGGGGTCCTGTGCGTTTTGCTGGCCGCAGTGGCCCAGCGGGCTGGCCTGCGGGAGGGTGGGGTGGGTTTGGGGCGGACGTTACCTAGAGTCTGTGAGTCGAGATCATCATCTATAAACTCCTCACCCGGGGCAGTGCCCTGGACGTCCTCACTGTGGCTCACGGGGCTGGTCATCTCCTGCTCTTTCTCGTTGTGCATTTGGGCGTACACGGTCCTGCCCGGCCGTTTCCTGCTGGACAGAGGCGAGGGCGGCTCAGATTGGGGCGGCTTCCCAGGCCGCCTGTCCCTGGAGCCTTCTGCTGGCCGCCTGGCCACATCGAGTGTGGTGCACGGTGCCCACAGCACTCCAGAGGTGCCTATCCCAGCCCCAAGTCTTGCCTCTTGCCCCATCTCTGCTCAAAGCCACTTCCTCCAGGAAGCCCTCCCTCCTGTGTGCTCCCTGGGCCCTGGGATTCCTTCCCTCTGCCCTGACACATTGGGTGATCACTGTGTATCTGAGAAGCGAAGCACGGGCGTGTTGCAGGGAAAGGGCCTTATATCCTCTTTCCCCCCAACCCCCACGCCTGTCCACCCTGCCACTGGGCTGGGCACACATTCCCACAGGAGGCACGAGCCAGCCCAGCTCTGAGAGGCACTTGCTGAGCCCCGTCCAGGCGTCCTGGGGAAGTGCTGTCCTCGATTTCCCAGTGAGGAAAGGGAGAGGGTGGGCACAGCCCCGCTGCCTCCACTGGGACCAGGCTCAGGACCCGCCGTGGGCCAGGCTCCTTCATGCACAACACCCCACTTAGTCCAATCGAAACCCAGGGCCAGGCTCCCATTTCACAGATGAGGGGACTGAGACTCAGCGGGAGACGGGGACTTTCTCCGATGCAGTCGATGAACACCGCCAGCCCTCTGGAAACACTTTGACGGCAGGATGGGGCGGGGCGGGACCTGTGACTAGCTCTGAGGGTGACAGAAGGTGGCCAGTATCACCTACAGGCTGCAACACTTCACCACTGGATTAAAATGCTCAAAGCAGCCCTGCTCCCTCAGTCTACAGCCTCGAGAGACGAGGGCCCAGCCCCTGCTGGGCCCCAGGGACAGGTGGCTGACGGCTTTGACCGGGTTGTCAGTGCTGCCCAGCCCAGCCCGTGAGTAAGCCAGGAGCTCCCGGGGATGCAGGCTGCACCAGAGCCTAAAGCCTCCGGCCGCTGGGGCTAAATGGGGCGTTGCTCTGTTGTGAGATGGAGCCTCGAAGTATATTGGGCACTTCCGCCTATGCCCAATACATTCAAGCTCCCAGAGCCTGGAGCCACAGCCCTGGGGCTGGTCAGCACCAACTTTCAGCTGCTTTTGTTTCCAGGACAGTGAGGGGCCTGGCTTCAGGGCCTGAAAGCCCGGGCTCAAAGGCCGCCCCTGCCACCTCCTTGCTGTGACAAATCCCACTTGCAGTGGCCATGGGATACAGGTTAGGGAGAGAGCACACGGGAAGGAGGTGGGATCCTGGCCTGGGCACCTGGCAGAGGACAGTGTCATTTGCTCAGCACCAGCTTTAGGGGAAGAGGATGCTGAGTTTGATTTGAATTTGCAGTGCCTATGGAACCCCTGGATACACCTGTTGGGAAGCCAGTGCCTCTCTGAGTTTGGAATTTGGGAAAGACCACAGGACAGACCTTGTTCTACTTCTTTGCCCCATAAACTCCTATTCGTCCTTCAGGATCCCCACCAGAAGTCACTTCCTCAGGGAAGTCCTCCCAGATTCTCCAGTTCAGCTCTGAGTGCTGCAGGCCAACCCTTTGGGTGGAACTGAGTAATAAGGTGGGTAAGGAGCTCCTGGATGCGCTCCCAGACAGTCAGTGCTGTGTCCCCGTGCCTGGGCCAGCCTGTGGGGGGTACACATGAAACTACTACTCGAAAGACCCGCAGCGCATAAAACAGTGAGACCCAGGGCAGGAGGAGGGTTGGGGGAGTCCAGGGCCCATGAAAGGCTGGGGTTTGGTGTCGGGGAAGGGCTCAAGCCTCCAAATAAGTCAAAAGGAAGGGGTGAGCTGTAGCCTTTGATGGTCCTCAAGGGTGACCCCGATGGGGAGACTGAGGCCCCTGGAGCTGAACCAGCAGGCAGGGGAGAAACAATAGGGCCAAGTCTAGGAGCCGTGTTTGCAGGGAAGGAGTCTGGTGATGCCGCTGTGTCACTTTGCTCATTCCAGGTTTAGCGTCCAGGGAACTTCAGGTTGTCCAGCCCCTGTAGGGTGGCCATGACATGTCCCAACGTGGGGGGATCACACCCATTTCACAGCCAGGGAACAGGCTCAGAAGGAAAGAGAGGTACCAAAGCCCCTCCCAATAAACACACACTGTTCTTGCCACCTCACCCCAGCCTCGGCACAAGCAGCTCCCTCATGGGGACACCCAGAGCCCTACCCCACAGGAGCGCCTGGCAGGAAGCTCAGCAGCTCTCAAGCGCTCTCGAGAGGGGGGAAGGGATGGTTGGGCGGCCGAGGAAGCCTGGGATGCGGGCGGGCCTGGGTCAGGTCCCAGCTCTGAGTCTGGCCGTCTGTGTGACCTTGGGCACACCGCTCAACCTCTCTGAGCCCAGTTTCCTCATCTGTGAGATGGGCAGTGTCCTCCCCGTGAGGTGGGTGGAGCTGAACGGGACGATGGCTGGGATGTCCCGGGCAGAGTGGAGGAGTGGGTGCGCGATGCTCTCTGGGTTGCGAGTGGCGGCCGTCTCTTCCAGAGACCCCACAGGTGGTACAGAGCCAGGCAAGCACCTCCCACTGCAGCCCATCACAGGCACAAACTGTCACCACTCCCTTCTGAAGCCCTGCTGGGGCCTTTTCTAGATCTGCCTGAGTGAGTTGGGCCTGGCAGCCTAAGCCCCATGGTCAGAGCAGGGCCTTGCCTTTTGAACTTGTAGAGGATGAACGCTCCTGCCGCGAAGAGCCCGATGACAAACAGCACCACTACCGCCCAGTAGCCACCGCCGCCGCCCAGCTGCTCAGCACCTGCAAGCAAAGCAGTTGTCAGTGGAGGGCCACGGGCACCACACATCCTCGTCCCATCCCCAGCCCATCCCGTCTGTTCCCCGCCCTTCCCCAGCCTGTCCCCCGCCCATCCCCAGCTTGTCCCCTGCCTGTCCCTGGCCCCTTTCCTGCCTGTCTTCAGCCCATTCCCATTCCCTCCCCAGCCCTTCCGCAGCCCATTCCCGGCTCAACCCCTTCCTGTCCCCTGCCTGTCCCTGCCCGTCCCCTGCCTGTCCCTGTCTTTGGTGTGGAGGCTGCTCCATGCCTGTGGCCAGCACTCCTGATGTGACTGAGAGGGGCCAGAGGCCATAAAAGACCAGGAGTGCGTCCTGTATGGCCTTGGAGAAGTCCCTGCCTCTCGACCTGGCTCCCACTGGGGACGGAGGCTGTGGACAGAGCTCCCCGGCCATGTTGATGCTGGTGTGGGGTGAACCTGCCAAGTTTCAAGGGCATGGTGTCTTTACAAAGCAGAGAAAAGCTCATCAGCTTCTGCAAAGGCTGTTGCCCCAAAGGGGAAAGGATGACTGACGGCCGAGGAGACAGCTCTGTGGGTCAGGAAAGGGGCAGAGATTATCTGAGACCCGAGGGGTGGGTGTCAGGTAAGAGCAGTGCTCCATGGGACATCCGCAGAGGAGAGTGGGGCCCTAGGTCTGACCTGGGTGGGTTCTCAGTTCCATCAGAGGCGAACACCCACCAGGAGGGGGATACGGGCCATCTGCCCGAGGGCCTTGCAGGGACATGCCTTCTCCAGGGCCTGGATGCCTCCTCCACCTGTTCTGCAGGGAGCTCCCAGGGGCTCACCTGTGCCTGTGTCCCTCAGGGCCACCAGGACCCGGACTCCGCCTCGCAGGAGGAAGCTGATCTTCTGTGCATTCAGCACCTGCTGGATGGCGGCAAGCCTCTGCAAGCACAGAGGGGACAGTGAGGGGGGCCTCCATGAGGGGGTCCTCCGCCAAAAGGGGAGGGGTATGGGGTCCTCCTCCAGGAGGGGAGTGAGGGGTCTCCACGTGTTGGGGGGGTCTTCTACCGGGAGAAGAGTGAGGGGGTCCTCCATGGGGGGTGGGGGAGGGGTTTGCCATAGGTGTAAGGGGAAGAAGGGCCCTCCTCTGGTGGAGAGAGTGAGGGGGTGTCCTCCACCAGTGGGGAGGGGAGCAAGGTCTGCTGGGATCCACCAGAGGGGTGGGGAGAGGGAGGGGGATCTGGTGGGATCTACCAGAGGTAGGGGAGAGTTGGGGGGTGGCTCTGGGATCCACCAGAGGGAGACGGGAGAGCTGGGTGGACAGGTGTGAGTCCTGCTTGAACCCTCTGGAGCCATGGGGCTGGGCGAGCCACCTGGCCTCACTGAGCCTTGGTGTCCTCCTTTGTACGATGGGAATAATCACCCACAAGGGAACTTTCATCAAGAACCATGGATGGGACACAAAGGTGACCCAGACACGGTTCTGCCCTTCACGAGCTCTTGTTTTAGTTGGGAATGTAAAAGAGATACAGGCCACGGAGTGTGCCAAGTTGGGGCAATGCAGGGGTGCTCCAGGAGGCTCCATCCCCCAGTGGCGGTCAGGGGAAGGCTTCCTGGAGGTGGAAGACCAAGAAGAGAATGAGACAGGGCAGGACAGGAGAATCAGACCCCCTGTCTGAGGGAGGGATACCCCAGGAGGTGGTGCTGGGTTATAGGGTGAGGGATGCAGGGTCAGGGGCACCTATAGCTGGAGAGGGCAGTGGCCAAAAGACAGTCAGCCTTGTGGGCCACGGGCATCCTCCTCCGGGGTCTGCGTGACGTGACAAATGTGTGAGGTGCCCGGCGCAGAGGAGTGCTCCCTCCTTGCCCCTCTTACTTCCTCCTGGCCCCCTCACTACTTCCTGGGTCTGAGTCATCACCCAGGGCTGGGTGGGCTCGGAGACCCGGCCGCCTTTCTCAGCACTGGTCAGCTCTGCTATTTTGACAATAGCCATTCTAACAGGTGTGAGGCCATGTCTCACTGTGGCTTTAATGAGCATTTCCCTGATGATTCGAGATGGTGAGCATGTTTTTCACATACCTGTTGGCCATTTGTGTGTCTCCCTTTGAGAAATGTCTACTTGGCTCCTTTGCCCGTTTTTTAATCGGGTCACTTGTTTTCTGGCTATGGAGTTGGGTTTCTTACGTATTCTGGATGTGAACCCCTTGTCAGAGGTATGCTTCATGAATCTTTTCTCCGATTCTGTGGGTCATCTCTTCACTCCGCTGATAGTTTCTCTGGCTGTGCAAGGGTCTCTTGGTTTGACATCATCCCATTTGTCTGTTTTTGCCTTTGTTGCATGTACTTTTGGGATCATCTGCAAAACAGCATTGCTCAAACTGATGCATAGTTTTTCACTATGTTTTCTTTTGGTGTTTTTCCAGATTCAGGTCTTACATTTGTCTTTAATCCACTCTGAGCTGGAGTTTGTAGAGGGTGTAAGAATCTAATTGCATTCTTCTGCATGTGGATATTCAGTTTCCCAGCAATATTTATGGAAGATATTCTCTTTTCTCCATTGTGTCTTCTTGACAGCTTTATTGAAAATCAATTGACCGTACATGTATGGATTTATTTCTGGGCTCTCTATTCTGTTCCATGGGTCTACGTGTCTGTTTTTATGCCAGTACCATGCTGTTTGGATTACTATAATTTTATAGTGCATTTTGAAGCCAGGGACTGTGATGCTTCCAGCTTTTTTCTTTTTGCTCAAAATGGCTTTGGCTATTTCAGGCCTTTTGTGGTTTCATACAAATTTTAGGATTTTTTTTTTCTATTTCTGTGAAAAATCTCATTGAAATTTTGATAGATCTTGCATTAAATCTGTACATCACTTTATGTAGTATGGACATCTTAATGATATAAATTCTTCTAATCCACGAACACAGGATATCTTTCCATCGATTTGTGTCTTCTTCAAATTCTTTCACTGGTGTTTTATGGTTTTTAGTGCACATGTTTTTCACCTCCTTGGTTTAATTTGTTCCTAAGTTTTTCACAAGTTTTTCACGTCCTTGGTTCAATTTGTTCCTAAGTAGTTTATTTTACTTTTAATTTTTGATGCTATTGTTAGTGGGATCGTTTTCTTGATTTCTTTTCCAGGTAGCTTGCTGTTAGTGTGTAGAAGCGCTTCTGCTGTTTGATCGCCTCTGGTCCTTTCTGACAGTGGCCCTCACCAAGCCTCACTTCCTGTGTCTGTAAAATGGGATGTGGCACCATGTGGCATGCTGGAGTGTGCACTGTCCTTCCCCTGCGCTGGCCATGCCTTCCAGATCACCTGAGTGAGCGTCGGTCTCCATGACCAGTGCAGGCTATGTGAGCTTCTGGTTCATTTTTAGAAACTGATAGTAACATTTACTCTTTTAAAGTGTACAATTTAATGCATTTTAGTATATTCCCTAAGTTGTGCAAGCATTACCACTATCTAATTCCTGCACATTTTCATCCTCTCCCAAAGAACCCCCTAGCCTTAGCAGCAACTCCCCATGTACTCTCCCCCAGCCCCTGGCAACCATTCATCTATTTCTGTCTCTACGGATTTGCCTGTTCTGGGCATTTAATGTGAATGGAATCACACACTACGTGGTCTTTTGCAACTGGCCTCTTTCACTTAGCATCATGTTTTCAAGGTTCGTTCATGTTGTCAGAGGTGTCAAGGGCTTCATTCCTTTTGGTGGTCAAAGAATATTCCATTGTAAGGTTGGACCACAGTTTGTTTCTTCAGCAGCTGATGGGCACTTTTTGGCTGTGATGAGTAATGCTGCTGTGAATCCATGTACTGTGGATGTATGTTTTTGCTTCTCTTGGGTATATACCCATAAGTGGACTTGCTGGGTCATGTGGTAACTTACGTATAACTTATTGAGGAACTTCCAGCCTGTTTTGTCCAGCAACTGAACCCTTTCCACCAGCAACGTGAGAGGTTCCAAGTTCTCTGCTTCCTTGTCAATACCTGAAATTGTCTGCTTTGTAATTTTAGCCACCCTAGTGGGCGTGAAGGGATTCTGGTTCATCTTTGAGTCCCCTTCCCACACCTGTCACATGGGAGGTCTTTTATCCCCTCCATGAGGGCAATTTGGAAGTTGTCCTTTGCAATAAAGACATTTGCTAACTGCATGGGGGCTGACTTCTGCTCGGCCCTGAAACCCACATCCTCGGGTGTCTCCCTGACAGTGCTTACCCTCATTTCCCAGTGCCCCTGGCAGTCAGGTTGGGGCCATGTGACCATCTCCAGCCAATGACACGGGAAAGGAAGTGAGCAAGTCCCCCTGGGAGGTGGTGCAGCCTGTGCCCTCCCCCCAACTACACTGCTGCAGTGACCTTAGAGGCTGTGCGACTTCCAGAGGGTGTAGCCACAGGTGGACGAGGTCTAGCCACCCTGAGTCAGACTGATGCAGCAAGAAAGACACCTTTATGCCATAAGCCACTGAGACGTCCCTGCTTGTTGTAAATGGCCCGAGCCCTGGGCTGCGCACGGAGGACCTGGGAGTCCAATGGCCACAGGACATACCTTATCACTTGAGAGGCTCCTCTTCCTCGTGGGCCTGGGAGGGGGCAGGAGCACGTAAAGGTCGGCCAAAGTGGGCAGCCCCGGCTTCAGCACGGTCACCAGCAGCTCCTGAGGGACGCTGGTCTCCTGCGGGGAGAGTTTAGCCACTTTGGTCCGCTTGTCTTCCTCATCCCCTGCCTCACCCTGGGGCCCCCAGGAACACCCTCTCTCCCTTCTTGGCCTGAGTCCTGGACAGCTGTCCCGCAGGCCATTCCTGACCCCTGCATGGCATGGGGATTGTTCCAGGGTCCCCGGGTGCCCTGAGCTACCTCCTGCACCCAGCTGCCCAGGGCCCTCAGCCCTGCTCTTCAGGCCCTGTGCCCTCACACTGGCCTCCCCTTGGCCAGGCCTGGCCCTCAGTCCATTCTTCAGACTATGACTAGAGTGAGCCAGCACCTTCCTCCCTGGCTGATGTCCTCCATGACAAGGCTCTTGACCACACCATTCCAGGTCTGTGACCCGGCCCCACTGACTCCAGCCACCTCTCCCTTCCCACTCCCCAACACCCCAGGCCCAGCCAGGGCCGCACACCCACAGAGAACGCTCTCAGCCCATAGGCGCCGCTCATGTAGGTGCCTCTGCCTCCTGGAAGTCCCGTTCCACACACTTCCATCTAACCCCTATTCATCCTTCAGTGCCCAGGACCCTTTTACCAGCATTCTTCACAGGGGGGAGCCTAGTTAGAGAGGCCTCAGCCTGTGACAGCCTCAGATGGCTCTAGAGGACTGGTCCTCTCTCACAGGGCGGCCAAGGGCCGTGGGTGTGCTATAACCCGCCCTGATGTCTGCCTCCCGGGAACGCCCTGAGGGCAGTGGGCACACTGGGTCATTCTCTCTGTTTCGTGTCTGGCCCAGAAGAGAAGTTCAGTGAATGAAGGAAGATTGCTTTAAAGAGACTCTGGAGCACTGGAGGACGGCAGCGGGGTCTCCCGCAAACGGTAGGTGATCCCTGGACTGTGTGTGTGGAGGGTGCCTGTGGTCCCTCCCCTGTGAGGTGGCGCTCCAGCTGCAGGTCCCCCTGAACGAGGGCAGTGCCGCCCGCCCCCCACCCACAGCTTTCAACACCCCCAGCTAGCTCAAAGGCCAGAGTATCGTGTGCAGGGGCAGTGCCACCCGCCTCTCCTTGCCCTGGGTGCCCCGGCGCCCTTGGGCTTCTCTGGATGCCAGAAGCGCCGCAGGGCTGGGGAGGCTCCAAGCTCTGGGTGGACACCTTGGAGAGCAGCCGGGTGACCACCAGGCCCACGTCTTCCCTCCACTCAGGTGTGTTCGGGTTGTAGGCATCCAGCTCCTTGGAAAACTGCAGAGGCACGACCTGAAATTGATCTGGAAAGAGGCAGAGAAGGGAGACTGGTCAGTCCTGAACAGCCTGGCTCAGACGGCTCCAGGGTGGGGATCAGGGGCAGCCACATGCCCTGGATGGTCCCAGGAGGCCCTTGATTCAGATCCCAGGGCCCAGCAGCCCTATCATCTTCTCAAGCAGACCGAGAGCAGCCCTGATTTCATATTTGGAAACCAACTCCTTCCCTGGATGCCAGCAGTGGTGGTCTGTCCCAGGCAGGACCCATGTCACTGGCTGCCATCTTATAACAGCAGCGACAAAGATGCCAGTGACGATGACAAAGACACGCTGACCCAGGAGGGAGGCCTGGTGTGCACCGAGCCTGCTCTGTGAGATTTGCCTCCTTCACTCACAAGGATGAACACACCCTATGCGGTCAGCCTCTCATCCATCAGGGATCAATGGACTTCAACTGGCTGGTCCCCCCACCAGATTAAGAGTCCTTGAGAGCAGGGGCCCTGTCTTCTTCTCCTTCTCCCACATTTCCCATGGTCCATGGCTCAGAGCCCATTTTTAAAGTCATCAGGGGCCTCAGAGCTAAATTTTAACCTCTCTACTTCTCAGGCCTCAGTTTTCTCACATGTAAAGTGGGAGGAGGCTGTGCAGGGCTGAGGCACTCAAGGGACAAGTGCTTTGAGAACTGCAAACCCAACATCTTACAATGAGGGTGGTGATGGCCTTTGCAAAGCTCCCAGCCCGGCAATGAATGACGAATAGCCAAGGGAAGCCTCCTCCAGGGTATAAGGGGCCTGTGTAGGCAGCCCAACCCTCTGTACACTTGTCCAACTAAATATTTAACGGATGGCTGCTGTCCACAGTAGAGGCTGTTCTTAAAGCAAAATGAGGGTTTATTGCTGTGATGATGGTGGCAATGAGATCTGCCTCCTTGACAAGGGGGGGTCTCCTTCAGTCTTAGGACCAATTGGTATTGTAAATATCTCCCACAGATAAATAAGGATGCAGCTTCAGAAAAGGAGGCCCAGTGCTTCTACAGACAGGGGTCCTCTTTATGCTGCAATCATGAGACAATGCTCAGGCTCGGCCGGAGGTGCCAAGAGGACAGAGGCCCTGGAGGCAGGCAGAGCCCGTGCCCAAAACTGGCTGTCTTGCTGCTGGGTGACCTTGTCCCTGGTGTGTTGTGTCCCATGAGTGTCTTGGGACACAGGATTTATCAGTATTTATTTTACAGACGGGGAAACTGAGGCCAGAGACACCGGGAGACTTTGCCCAGGCCACACAGCCAGGGCAGGGCTGTGTTTATCCAGCCCCTCCCTCCCCACCCCAGGGCCACCCAGGGTGACCAGCAAATTCATGGCTTATGAGACCCACGTGGCCTGGCCTCCTGGACTGCAGCAGAGATGCAGAGGCCGTGCCGCCAGACCCTGGGAAGAACTCACCCAGCACACGGAGGACCCTGGAGTCCTGCAACACCGAGTTCCCACAGGCGGCCTGCACCGTCACACGCACGTCGCCCGTGTCCGAAAACCGCGTTGTCACGGAATTATCCAGGGAAAGGAGGGGCTGCAGGGACACAGCAGGGCTCAGGGTTGTGGCTGAGTGAGGCAGCGGCCATGGGGGATGCTGGCCTATGGTCGCTGCCTCACTGAGAGCATTGCTGTCCCCTTGTTCCCATCAGCAAATGGGCCTGTTATGGACGTCCTGTGGTGGCAGCACCCAGGGAGGTACGAGACGGGCAGCTGGTTCCTTTTTTTTTTTTTTTTTTTTTTGAGACGGAGTCTTGTTCTGTTGCCCAGGCTGGAGGGCAGTGGCACAATCTTGGCTTACTGCAACCTCTGCCTCCTGGGTTCAAGTATTCTCCCATCTCAGCCTCCCATGTAGCTGGGCCTATAGACATAGGCACCACCATGCCCGGTTAATTTTTGTATTTTTAGTAGAGAGAGGGTTTCACCATGTTAGCCAGGTTGGTCTCGAAACCCCGACCTCGTGGGCACCTGGTTGTAAGCCAACACAGCACGAACATGAGATCCCAGCATCACCCTTCCTTCTCGACAGCTCTCCAGGCCCGCCCCCCACAGGCATTTAGGAGGCTTGATGTGGCTGCCGGGCTGGGCCTTCACTCACTGACCATGTGATCTTCCCATCCCCACATATGGCCACAGCTGTGTGGATGAGCCATGGCTCCGTCATCCATGGCACCAAGCCAGTGCCCAGCTCAGGACCCAGCTGTGGGGATGGTGCACACTCAGTGGGGGTGGGGGGGGCGCCATGTTGACGCAGAGACAGGAGAGGCCACCCCCATAGGTGTGGATGTGGAGGCAGAGGTTCTGCCAGGTGAAGTGACATGTATGGAGCATTCAGCTGGAAGTGGCAGAGCCGAGACTTGAACCCAGACCCTGAGATACTTCTCAGACCCTCCCTATTCTAGAGAAACATAATCCAGAGCCCACAGCCCCTCCCCTTGCTGGGCCTCTGTGTCAGGGCGGTCAGTTGCTGGTAGGGGGCTTCCTGCCTGGTGGTGCTGGGCTGTTTGCTGAATGAATGGAAGATGCCCCTCACTGGGTCTTGCCCCCAGTCCAGGCATTCTGCTAATTTGGACTCTCTCCTGCTCAAGGACTATCTGTGGCTCCCCACTGCAGACACAGTATAACCCAGGCCTCTGAGTGAGGCTTCTGAGCCCCCCTGACCTGTTCTTCTGTAAAGCTTTCCCTGAGCCTCTCACTGCAAATGCTCTCCTTTCCAGGAGCTCTCATGCAGCCCACCTACCCGTCCCCGTGACTTCTACCACCCCCAACTCAAGTCAGCCACCGTGTTCCCAGCTCTTTCCCAGGAAAAGGCAGGGTCTAGTCTGACTCATCTGGCACCATTGAGCAGATGGGCCCTGAACAGGCACCCACGGGCGCTGTGTCCCTCTCAATTGCCCCAGGAGAGGCCCAAGGGTGAGGAGTGCGCCCTACACTGGTTCCTTCTGCTGAAAACCCGAGGCTGTGCTCTGCTTTACTGTGCACCTTGTGGGGAGCTGGCGGGAAGAAGGGCTGAGCGGGGGCAAAGCCAGCGCACCTGCAGGTTATGGCCGATCCACCAGTAGAAGACGGTGAGGTTGGGATTCAAGGGAAGCAGCACAGCTGTGAGGTTCACCTCCTGGTTGATGCCAATGACAGGAACCACCTCCAGGTAGAGGGCCTGCAGGGGGGCTGTGGGGACCCAAAAAGGCCAGAGTTATTTCATTTCAGAGGCTGCTTAGTGATCACTGTCACCAGCAACTTCATTGCTACCACCACCATCACCACCACCACTATCACCACCACCACCAACACCACCAGCATCACTACCACCACCATCACCATAACTACCACCACTGTCACCATTATTACCACCACCTCCACCACCATAATCACTGCCATCACCATCACCATAATCACTGCCATCACCATCACCAGCACCATCACCACTACTACCATCACCACCACAATCACTACCACCATCATCACCATAACTACCACCACTGTCACCATTATCACCACCACCTCCACCACCATAATCACTGCCAGCACCATCACCATAATCACTGCCATCACCACCACCAGTACCATCACCACCACCATCGCCATCACCACCATCACCACCATCCATCCTGCCATTACTATCACCACCACCACCATCTATCCCAACCACTACTGTTACCGTCATCACCACCACCCTATCACCACCATCATCACCATCACCACCATCACCATCACCAACACCACTACCATTATCACCACCACCTCCACCATCATCATCATCACTGCCATCACCACCACCAGCACCATCCTCACAATAATTATCACCACCATCATCATCACCATCACCACCACCCTATCACCACCATCACCACCATCACCACCACTACTGCCACCAGTATCACCACCATCATCATCACTGCCATCACCACCATCACCACCACCATCACTACCATCATCACTATCCTCACCACAATTATCACCACCATCACCAACACCACCACCAATGTCACCATCATCACTACCACCTCTACTATAATCATCATGACTACCATCACCACCACCACCAGCACTGCTATCACCATCATCACCATCACCACCACTGTCACCACCATCACCACCTGTATCACCACTACCACCATCACCACCACCACTGCCACCGCTATCATCAACATCACCGCCAGCTCCCAGCACTGCCCTACTATTGTATGGGTCATTGGGGTGGGGGTTTGAGCCCAGCCTCCCTGCCTCCCTGCCCTTGGGTTCACCACCCTGAGCACCAGGGACCTAGAGCAGTCCCGAGGGAGTCCCTGTGTTTCCCCCAAAGCCAGGTTCTCTGTCTCAAAGGGAGTGACCCTCGGCCTCAAAGGGGCAATAAACTTACAGTTGACCTGGACGAAGAGCACTGCCTCATCGTGGCCCGCCGTGTTCTCTGCCCTGACGGACACGCGGTAGATGCCGGGGCTCTCATAGCGGTGCCGGATGGGCTCCCCGGTCAGTGTAAGGTTCACGTACATGGCCTTGAAGCCATCCCCAAGGTCCACCTGGTACTTGGTGGTCAGGACGTCGCCCTGCAGGGGAACACCACGTAGTCACTCAGGAGTGGGCCTAGAAGCTGAGGGGCCAGAGTGGCTCAATCACTCACTCACTCATTCATTCATTCCCGCCCTCCTTTCCTTGAAATGAGTGGGCTCTGGGGACCCACAGGGGAGCGGGCCTGGTTCTGCCCTAGAGATTCTGCCTGGAGTGTAGGGCTGGCCAAGGCAGTTGGTTTAACCAGGGGCTGTGGCCCAGGGGCATTTCAGAACAATCACCCAGTGGCAGAGAGGGAGAGGGAGAGGCCCAAGGGTGTCATCAGAGAGCAGCAAGGGGGCAGTCAGGGCCCCGGGGAGACCCTCTGAGGCCCGTGACAGCGATGGAGCCAGGAGGGTGAGGGGCCTCACACAGCATGGAGGGTTCCGGCAGGGGAGAGGCACACATCTGGAAGTGCCTAAGCGGCCTGCCTGAAAACCAAGCAGGATTTTCCCTTCTGGGAGACTGCGGTTCCTAATTTTCTCTTTCTCAGACCATGCAGTACCAGGAGTGACGCTGAGATGGGGCAGGGTGGGTGCAGAGAAGAGCTCCCACCAACTACCATTTCTGTGTGGCACCGAGTCACCCACAGAGGCCTCTCCACCATCTCCTTCCACCTTCCAATAACTGCATTTTCCTCACCGAGTGGGGGATTGAGTGAAGGAAACAGAAACTTCTCGACTTTACGGCTCATGATCACATTCTCCCTCCCTCCCTTCCTCCTCTCCTCCCCTTCCCTCTTCCTCCCTCATCAGTACCAGGGACACGAGGAAACCATTTCCTAGTGGTGATGACGGAAACAGCATGATTACTACCACTTAGCTATCTTCTCAGTTTATACCAGCCAAATGTTGAAAGTTGATAGAAAACTTTTACGTAAATTCTGTTCACTTAACTTTCTCCAGACATGGTAAATTGGGTTGCTCAGTGTCTCCCCAAAATTCACGTCTACCAGGAACCTCAGAATGTGACCTCATTCGGAAATAGGGTCTTCACAGGTGTCATTAGCTAAGATGAGGTCATACTGGATTAGGGTGGGCCCTAAATCCAACGACAGGCATCTGTGTAAGAGAAAGGAGAGGGAGATTTGGGCACAGATGGAGGCTGCGTGGAGGTGGAGGCAAAGGTGGGAGTGACTCTGCCAGGGGCCAAGGAGTGCTGGGAGCCCCGGAAGATAGAGGAGGTGCAAATGGATTGTCCTTTGGAGCTCTGCATTGGTTCAGGCCACCCGGCATGAGGTCATTTGTTATGGGGTCCCCAGGAAAGAGGCTGCAGGGTGCTCCATTCTCCCCATTTGACAGGTTAGAAGACTGAGGCTCTCCAAAGTCCAGGAGCCAGGCGGCTGCTCGCTGTTTGTGGTTCTCTCTGTTTAAAGGCAGCCTCTCGGGGTGGGGCGGGGAATGAGGGGAAGTGCTCCAGTCTGAGCTGCTTCCACGGAGGGACGGCTTTACTGTGCTAATCCTGGGAAGGAAAAGGCATGTGTGACCCAGAGTCAGGACCCATGATCCGCTCACCCTGGGTGAGGCGCCAGCTCTCGGGGCCTTGTGTTTCTGTCGTTAAGTGCTGCACTGATGCACATTTAACTACTTAAAACATTTTCCTTGGTTAAAATAACTTGTCCTTTTTCCTCCTAACCACACATTCTCAAGGTAGAAAATAATATACCATAATAAAATACTATAATACAAGGTAGTATATTCTTAAGGTAGAAAATAATATAAAATACAAATAGCAAATAAAAGAAAAAGAAAAAAACGAAATCTCACTATAATACCTGCCATTCACATCTTGGTATATTTCATTTAGATCTATCATTATTACTGGTGCTTAAAAAAATTAAGCATTTTCTTCTGAGATAATGGTAGGTTCCTATGTAGTTGTACAGAATGATACAGATCCACCCCGTGTGCCCCGTGCCCGGCTCTCCCCAAGGCTAACATCTTGCCAAATGATAGTACCACAACTAGGAGGTTGACATTGATACAGGAAGGAGACAGGACAATTCAGCCGCCACTAGGACCCCACTGGGTGCCCTTCGCAGACACACCCACTTCGCCGCATTAGCCCAACTCCATGGTAACCACTAATCTTTCTCCATTTCTATAATTTTGATAATTTCTATTCTCTTTCTCCATTTCTGTATTTGAAGAGTGTTATGTGAACGAGTTGCACAGCAGGGGATCACATACGTGGGAGTGGCTTTTTTCACTCAGCATAATCCACTTGAGGCTCATCCAGGTTGTTGCACTTTTTTTTTTTTTTTGAGATGGAGTCTCTCTCTGTCGCCCAGGCTGGAGTGCAGTGGTAAGTTCTCGGCTCACTGCAAGCTCCACCTCCTGGGTTCACGCCATTCTCCTGCCTCAGCCTCCCGAGTAGCTGGGACTACAGGCACCTGCCACCACGCCCGGCAAATTTTTTTGTATTTTTAGTAGAGACGGGGTTTCACCATGTTAGCCAGGAGGGTCTCGATCTCCTGACCTCGTGATCCGCCCGCCTCGGCCACCCAGAGTGTTGGGATTATAGGCACCAGCCACCACGCCTGGCCTTTTTTTTTTTTTTTTAAGATAGTGTCTCACTCTGTTGCCCAGGCTGGAGTACAGTGGTGGAATGTTGGCTCACTGCAACTTCCAACTCCCAGGTTCAAGTGATTCTCGAGCCTCAGTCTCCCAAGTAGCTGGGATTACAGGCATGCACCACCACACCTGGATAAGTTTTGTATTTTTAGTAGAGACAGGGTTTCGCCATGTTGGCCAGGCTGGTCTCGAACTCCTGACCTCAGCTGATCCACCCACCTTGGCCTCCCAAACTGCTGCGATCACAGGCGTGAGCCACCGTGCTTGACCCTGCTGCAGGTATTAATAATGGATTCCTTCTCATTGCAGTGTGGTATCTCAGCATGGGTGCACCCCAGCCTGTGCAAACATTCGCCCATTGCAGGGCCTCTGGGTGATTTGAGTTTCTGACCTTTATGAATAACACTGCTATGAACAGACACATACCGGTTTTTGGGTGAAGAGAAGTCTTCATTTCTCTGGTATGACCGCCACGAGTGCAAGTGCTCAGTCCTCTGCTCCTTGCATGTTGAGTTCGTTAAGAAACTGCTGAAGTGTTTTCCAGAACACCTGTGGCATTCTCCAGTCTCCCCAGCCATGCGTGAGTGATCCAGTGCCCTTTCCTGCATCCTCACCAGTACTTCGTGTTGGCGCTGTTTTTAATGTCAGTCATTCTGATAGGTGTGCAGTGATGTCTGGCTGTGGGCTTCCCTGGTGGCCGATGGTGTTGACCCTCTTTTCGTGTGCTTACCTGTCATGTGTCCATTCTCCTGGTGAAACGTCTTTTCAGTTCTTCTGTTCATTTTCTAACTGGATGCTTTGTTTCCTTGCTGTTGAGTGTTCTTCCTCTAGTCTAGGTACTGGTCCTTGTTGGATACGTGGTTTGCAAATATTTTCTCTCACTCTGTAGCTTGCCTTTTATCTTCTTAACATGGCCGTTCCACAGAGCAAAAGTGGCTAATCCTGAGGAAGCCCAATTTATCAACTTTCCTTTTGACTGGCTTTGAGTGTGAAGTCTGAGGACTCTTCTTCCAGCCCTAGATATTCTCTCCTGTGGTTTTTCTAAAAGGTTTATGATTTTTACATGCCACATTTAAATCTAGGCAATTTTGAGTTCATTTTTCTGTCGAGCGTGAGGTTGAGGGTTGAGGTTCATTATTATTGGATGAATAAGCCCTCCCCTCAGTGAGCTGTTTTCGCACTGACATCAGACATCCCTCGGACATATTTACATGGGTTTATTCCTGGGGCCTCTATCAGACCTTCTTTTTAATTCTTAAGGTATTTATAAAACTCAGATTCCCCTAAACCCAGTGCTGTTTGAAAGAGTAGGTTGGCCTATGTGTGTGAGTGTATGTTTGAGTGTGTACAAATCTGTCTGCGAGTTTGAGAGTGAATACATGAGCGTGTAAGCGTATGTGTGTCTGTGTGTGAGTTTGTGTGTATGTGTGAGCGTGTGTACCAGTGAGTGTATACGTCCACCCTGGATCCCACACTCCCACCCGTTTCCCTAGCGTAGCGGGTGGCCTCTTCCTGACAGTAGGTGCACGGTGGGGTGGGGGTTGACTCTCCCCACCAGGAGCATCTTTTGATCACTCTCCTCGCTTCCACCAACTCCAGCTCCTGCCTGCAGAGCATCCCAGCAAGGGTCCGGGCCCCCTGGGCAGGTGGTAGACTGGCTCCCACAGAGAGACTGCAGATGCGACTGCACTGTGGAGACGCCAGGCTCTAGGGGGCAGCAGAGGGCCATTTTTCCTGGATGTCGGCCCTGGACGGGCAGCCGCAGCGGGGTCCACTCTGAGGGTCCAGGCGGGACAGGCGGGGCAGCAGCTCTGTTCTCCTGCCTACCCAAGATACTGCTGGGAACAGAGGCACCCCAGGGCTGCCCCTGGCTCCGAGGAGTGTGGGTCCCAGGGCCCATCTCCATCAGCAGCTGCACTTGCACCAGGGAACGGCTCAGGTCTGGGGGCCCCCAGAATCGGTTTCTGTCCACATAGAGTCTCGGGGCCAGGGACCCCAATGCCAGCCCTGCCACTCATTCCCGTGTGGCCTTGGGAGAGTGACTGCGCTGTCCGAGCCTCAGTTTCCCTAGCTATAAAGCAGGTTGGCAAGAGGATGCCACTTGAGGTGGTGCCAGGAGTACAGGCAGTGGCTGGTGCACAGCGCCCGCCATGGAGGTGCTCAGCAAGCACCGCTCTGCGTCCTCCTGGGCCTCAGTTTCCCTGTTTGCATTAGACCAGGCTCCCTGCTTTCCAGCTCCAAAGACCTTTGTCACCAACATCCCACCCCACCTATTTTGAAGGACATTTAAACAGGACACACATCATTGTGAAGCTGCACTTGCTTCATCCCCCGTACTGTTCATCAAAGAACCAAGTGCCCAGGAAAGCTGCGTGCCAGGAGAGCGCCCAGGGTCCTAGGCACTCACCCTCCGGGTGCGACACGGAGGCATCGAACTCTCCTTTGCCCTTTTCTGTCATCTTGAATTTTCTGCAATGCTTGTAAATTTTTCTAGGTTTTGTTTTTGAATTTGCTACAATGAGCATTAGTTTATTCAACCATCAGAAAAATAAGCATGTTACAAATTAATTTAAAAAGACTAGAAGGAAATACAAAAACCTAACAGTTGTTACCATGGAGGACTGGGGGGCTTTGGAGAGATATTTATACTCTTGATATTTTGTGTGTGTTTTCCAAATGTTCTACAATGAACATTCATTATTTTTAACGCCAGAAGAAAATATAACACTTGTTCTAAAGCAAAAAAAGCAAGCCTGGGAGGCTAGGAGGAAATTTCTATCTGTGTTTGTGTGAGTATTTATATCTGTAGCTGTCCACGCACACACAGGATTTATTTTTGGTTGTGTAATTATAAGTAATAGTGTTTTTAACTTTCTGTTTTTCATAAGATCCCAAATTAACTAAATCGATATAATTACAGGCTTAAAAAATGTATTGCCACCCACGGGAATGAATACATTTTATACCAAGGCCAGTAACCACACACGCTCCCCCGATGTGTGAAACGACGTCTCCTTCTGCTCTGTGGAGACCCTGATACCCCCTACACCCTACTCTATTCTCCTCTGTGTCTCTTTCACTGGTAAATGCTGGTCTGGACCCAGGAAGTAGATGTCCAACCCCCTGCTGCCTCCTGCAGTCTGGACAGGCTGGCTGATGGCGATGCCCTGAGCCACTTCTAGGGGGAGGAGACACCCTTCACCACGCCCTCTGCGTGCCCAGGTGGAGCCGCCCCTGCCCGACAGTCCTGGGAGCCCGCTGGGAGGTGCTCACTCACCTGCTCCTGCCGCACCACAAACAGCACGTCCTCTCCAGGCCGCACGGCCACCGCCTCGCCTTGGATGCTGACCTGCAGGCCCCGGGGCGGCGTGAGGGGGCACTGCAGCTGCGCCGGACTCTGCTGCAGGTCCACCCCACCCTCACACACGTTGGACACCACTTTCCGGTACCTGGATTGACAAGAGAGGGTCAGGGTCCACTTCAGACAGGTGGCGAAGGATGGGGCCCCATAATCTGGGGAGGGACGTGCTTGCCACCCACAGGTGGCGTTTGGCTTCCCACCCGTAGGACTCTACTTGCTGACTCCTAGCCACCTCCGGACTCCACCCAATTGCTGTTACAGCCCCGTTTCAGAGATGAGAACACTGAGGCTCAGAGGAGGAGGGACTGATGGTGGCAGGATGTGCTTCGGAGGTGCTGGCATCTCCGTGGTCTGATCACACTACTCACAGTAATAGTAACGGCCCTGTTAGTGCTGCAGACGGGGTGTTTAAGCAGCCAGCTGGAATTTCACGGTTTTTCTGAGAAAGGTGGAGGACAGAGTGCCCGAGAGGGGCTGGGGTCCTGCCTCCACTTGCCACTGTTTCACAGTGTGGCCATAACCATGGGCACACACACCCCTCCTCCTGGTCTCCATCTCCCTGTTCCCTTGAGAGACCTGCATTGGGCGATTCGTGACTCATCGCTGCATTCATGAGACATCTATTTACTGAACATCTGTTATGGGCCAGGTACTGGGAATGGGGGTGTTTGCATGCAGCCCCTAGATGCTGTGCAGAGCAGACCCTGTAGTGGAGAGGCAGAGGCGGACCTGAGCCGATCACGTCAGAGTGAAACCATAGCTGTGATGGCGCTGGCTGGGGCACCCCTGGGGACCTAGTCCCTGACAAAGGGGCTTTCAGCTGAGACTGGGAGGGTGAGCAGGAGAAGAAAGAGCATCCCAGGCCATTGAAACAGCATGTGCAAAGGCACTAGAGGGGGTGCTGAGCCTGGAGGGGGAGTAGGTGTGGCATGAGGCTGGAGAAGGGCCCTGGGCACCCCTAAAAGGGGTGGCCTCATCCAGCTTGCTACTTGTGAAGCTCCCTCAGGCTACACTATGAACCTGTGAAAGCGGCGTTGCTGACAAGGTGCTGGGGGTACCTGTCTCCCCAAGGCCGATCCCCCTCTTGCCCTCAGGGCCAAATTCTCCCAGATGGCTCTGCCGTTAAATAAGCATTCAGAAGTTGATCATGCACAAGCCCATTTGATTAGTGCTTTGAAAGAAAATACCCTTCTCTAAGGGCTACCCATCCATGGCACCTACAGTGTGCAGATGGTATGAGGTGAAATCCTTTGCCTTGATCAAGGTCCTGGCCCTGACACTTCAGACAAGAGTCCCTGTTGTCAAGCCCTGGTGGATGTGCAACCACTGCAGCTTCATGATACCTGGGTGCATGGGTAGACAGATGGATAGATAAGTAGATTGATGGATTGATGGATGGTGAGTGAATGAATAGATAGATGGCGGATGGATAGATGGATGGGTAGATGGATGAATGGATGATGGATGGATGGGCGGGTGAATAGGGGATGAATTGATGGGTAGATAGAGGGATAGGTGAATGGATGGATGGATGGTGGATGGATGGTGAATGAATAGATGGATGGTGGATGGATAGATGAATGGATGGATGGGTACATGGATGGATAGAGGGGTGCATGGGCAGTAGTTGAATGCCTGGGAGAATGGAAGGATGAATGGAAAGATGGATGGATGAATGAATGGATGGATGAATGAATGGATGAATGAACAGATGATGGCTAACTGGATGATGGGTGGATAAATGGGTAGATGGGGGATGAATGAGTGATGCATGGACGGGTGGGTGGACGGCAGCAGATATGCTGGTGAGGCCAAAGCCTGCAATTTCTGGTCCTACCTCCTGTTTCCTCATGTTCCCTGAGGGGAAGTAATGGGGATTTTCTGACAAGTCCATGGGCTTTTCTCTTCCTCTCTGAAAATGTTCTCAAAGAGAAATGGGGAAATTGGGACTTCTGGATGGAGCATGTTTGGGACCTCCCAAAGATGAAGGCTCACAGCTCTTATGTACCTAACACTTTACATGAACTGAATCCTTCATAGCAATATGCCCAGCCTCTGGTGGAGGAAAAGTATCGTAACTGCTTGCATTTGGTGATGCTGTCCCTTCATGCACAGCTTGTACTCAGCATACCACAGACTGAAGGAATACCTACTGTGTGTTGTGTAGCTTACAGTTCAGCAAGGAGGACAATTAGGTGAGTGATGACAATAACTGGGATTTGTGCTGTGACAGAGGCAAGCTCGGGGTCAGGGGTGGGTGGTCAGGGAAGGCTTCCTGGAGGAAGTGCCATTTAAGCTGAGATCTGCAGGCAGCAGGAGCACCTCCAGCACCCAAGCCTTGGTGAATGGGGAGGGCCTGGTTTACTGGGCACTGGTAAATGGGGAAGGGTCCTAGCACTGCAGAGGCCCAGAAGGGCCAGGGGAAGACGTGCTGCAGCAGGTGTGAGCCATGGGTGCCTTGGACCTTTTCTGTCTATTGTTCTCTATCCAGAGCCAACTCAAGGCAGCTTTCTCCTGGCACTGGCCCACATGGGCTCAGATGGGAGAACCCTATGGGCTCCTTTGGCCTGGGAGCTAAGGTCATTCACTCATGATGTCTGGTGACTCACATGAACCCCGCAGCCAGGTTCTGTGCTGTGAGCGCGGGGCATCCTCACCTTTCACCTCTCTTTCCCTGACTCCACTTGGGAGCTGCAGGCACCAGCATGGTTTCGGGACTGCACCGCAGCTCTGCCCCCGGATTTAGGCAGGGAGAGGCCCGCACCCACACTCACCCAAGGCTGCTGGTGTAGGTCTGGCCCAGGGCACAGTCGTCAGGCGGGGACAATGGATTAAACCAGAAGTTGGCAGAGCACTTGTTGGTGTTGGACTCTGAGGAGGGGGAGCGCTCAAATCCGTAGTCGCTGGGAGGAGGGAAGAACAGTGGTAGGTGACAGGCACAGGTGGGAACGGGAGTCAGCCAGGGTTGGGGTGGAATCTGGGGGAGCTGGGAAGGGAACCTCATGCCAAGGGCCTGCTATGCACCCATCTGTGAGGACAGGAAGGAGCACCCACAGCCCCATCCCAGAGGGCAACACAGGGTAACAAGGGAGGCAAAGGGATGCTGGGAACTCAGAGAAACCTGGAGGGCTGCCTGGAGGAAGTGAGCAAATCTCAAAGGATGGACAGAGACAGGTAGGGAAAGAGAGGGAGAGGCACTGCTGGCAGGGCCCAGCCTGAGCAGCACCAGTACAGGTGGAGGAGGCTGGAATGCCAGGGGGCAGGATGAGGAGGGGTGAGGTGGGTGGCAGTTGGGTGAGCTGTCAGCCAAATTGTCCTGTGGGCACTGGGCAGTCACAGGCAGCTTTTGAGAACAACAGGGGACAGGTCGGGTGGCTTTCAGCAGAGTCCCTGGATGGAGAAGGGCAGAGGTAGGTGCAGCATGTCCCCAAAACGCCCCGACCTGTTCCTCACTTTCTCCTCCTGCCTGTGAGCAGCCACTGAGAGGGTTTAAAAATGCACCACAAATTCCTTAAAGCTCCTTCCTGGGGTGTGGGCTGGTGTTGGTGACTCGGTTCTAACAGATAGAATGAGGCAGACGTGCGGTGTGCGACTCTCACGCCAGGTTATAGAAGGCGCGAGACTTCCTCCCTCACGCTGGGGGAAGCGGCCGCCATGCTGTGAGGATGCTCAAGCAGCGCCGGAGGCCCCGCAGGGAGGAGCCCGTGGCTCACCACAGGAAGTCCGAGTCCCGGCACTCGCACACGCGGGACGTGAGCGCCGAGGTGAAGCTCCTCCCCTTGATGCACCAGGATGTGGACTTTCTCTTCCGGAAACTTCTCTGCTGGCCCATGATGCAGCGGTCGCCCTGCAGCAGGAACATCAGGGTGAGGAGCTGCCAGAGAGGGGTCAACTGCTCTGCGTGGGCTTGTGCCGCTGAGCCTGCCAGAGCCTGAAGATGGCTGAGGGCTCAGGTTACAGATGGGGAAACTGAGGCCCAGAATGAGGCGTGGCATGTCTGCGGTCAAGTTGGGGAAGCCTCCCTCTCATCCCAACCCACGGGCATTCACTGAGCCCCTCCTGTGTGCAGCCCTGGCTGGGCCCGAAGGGTCGCAGAGCTGCTGAAAGTACAGCCCCTTTGAGGTTCCCCTTGTCCCCTCAGGTGCTGTGCGGGAGCTGGGCCGAGCCACGGCCTTGAGGGCTCACAGCACACAGTGGGTCCTCAGGGGACAATCAGGACGGGACAGGCCCACCCCATCTCCCTACAACAGCTGCTGTGGCAGTAATAGGGGCAGGGCTGGTGAGGATGCCCGGTGGCCTGTATTCAGGCTCCTAAACCTCCTCCTGGGCCCATCTGAGCACTTCCTCGTGAAATCCAGCTTCAGCAATGCACCCTGCTAAGGCAGTTTGGCAAGCACCGCCCACCTCGGTATCACCCTCCCTATCCGACAGCCTTCCTCATCCCCTGCTGCCCCCCAGGTGAGGTCAAATCCTCTGATGCCTGCTGTTTCCTCTTAGTCAGTTTCCACCCACTGACCTTGGCTCTGAACTCCCATTTGCCCACGCTGAATTCAAGTTGAGCCCAGTCTCTCCTTTGAGAGGGTCCCTGTACCCACCGTGATGGCCCTGAGTAAAGTCTTCCACCCCGCGCTTTAACAAGTGCCATTAAGTCATTTCTTCATCAGGGCCACCCACCCCCCAGCAGTTCCAGGCCCCCGCACTCTGAAATCCCAGGCTTCCCCACCACACCGCCAGCAGCACGGCCTGATTGGAACCACAGAGGGAGCACTGATGGCCTTTATACTCAGCTTAGTGTCCATATTACACATTTGCTGTAGAAACAGTTGTGTGTCTCGATTACAGGGTGGCCTCGCCCCAGACCCCACTCCACACCCAGACCCCACTGTCGTGTATGGCACAGGCCTGTGTTACCTTCCTAAGATCTGAACATCTTGAACCCCAAGCACACTGAACTCCACGGGCTGGGGTAGAGCCTGTGGCCCCACACTCCCCGGGTGTGGCTGAGGACCCTCAGCCCAGGTAGCTCCATGACCGAGACGGGTCTAGAAAAGCCCACAGGAGGCCTGGATATCTAAAGGTGCTGGGGATTCCCGGAAGACTTCTTGGAGGCGGGGAGGCGCCCTGTGGCCTTGCAGGCCTTGGACTTTGGCGGGCAGAATGGGCCTGCACTTGCAGTGTGCACCCCACCTGCCCGATCCCAGCCTCATCCCGGCCCACCTGCAGGTTGGAGAGGTCCCAGGAGCTGTAGTCTTCCTCGCCACACTGCCTGGAGAATGAGGGCCGGAAGTCCACCTTGACTAGCTCCCAGTCGGAGCGGAAGCTGATGTGGCCAAAGACCCTGTGGCGGGAAGAGGAGGGAAGGGAGAGAAAACCACCTTCATTAGTCCTCGTCTACTGTGCAAATCATGTCCCTCTGGACTCTGTTCCTACCTGTACCATGAGCACAGAGACCCCTCTCCTGCCCTTGCTGGGGATCAGAGCGAGGCTGCCCTGGGCACCGAGCCTGGCCCTGCACAGGTACTCCATGGGCTTTGGCACGAATATTCCCACAACTACCACGTGTGATCTATGACTCGTCAGCTGCACTGCCTGAGTCGCTGCGGTTGACCCACCATGGCCCATGTTGACAGACAGGGAAGGAGGTCCAGGTCCACAGCAGGGTTGGGAGCCCTTCCACAGCCCCCACACTGGTCCTTGCATTATGTTTTGCGGAATGATCTGTGGTCAGGTGGCTGCATCTGCGGCTGTCTGGCTTCTCCCTGGTTTTCCCCCAGCCTGACCCTGTGAGGGTTCCGCGCTACAGAAACCCAGCTTTCCATCGCTGGGCCACAGGGCGTTTGCTCCCTAGTACAGGTGGCGACTCAGAGAAATAACCAGTCAGCAGGCCCAGCTCAGAGCCCACGGGATGAGCAAGGTTGACCCATCACAGCCTAGGTGGGTGGGGGAAGTGGCGGAAGAGAGAATAGGGAGGCTGGCCACTTAGGGTGCACCCATGTGTGCTGGAAGCTATGCATGCACAGCCTGGTAGGCCAGGTCCACCTGTGTTTTACAGAATAGAAAGCCGAGGCACAGGGAGGTTGAGTAACTTGCCCAAGGTCACACAGCTTGTTTGTGCTGTTCCTTCTCCCTCCTTGCAGTCAGCAGTCATTGCTGTGTGCCCATCACTCAGAATGGCACTCAGGTGCCCCACTGTCTCCCTCTCTGGGAGGGCTGCTGCCTGAGTGCCTTCCACTCCATCCCTCCGTACCACACACTCAGGCTCCAAAGACCACCTAGAAGGTGGGCCCAGCCTGCTCTTCCCTGGGCCTTCTCCAGTCCAGCTTGTGGTGCTCTGGCCATGTTACCAGAGGCCAAGCATCTGGGTGGGGGAGGTGATGCACGCTGCTCCAGTCTGGTCCCCGTCTGAGCACCCCCAACTGGGGCTGGATACTTGGGGGTGGCCCATCATGAGCTGAAAGGACAATCCCATTCTAGGGCGGTGTTGAGAAAGGTTTTGTGGGGTATTTCTGAGGACATGACAGCTGGGTCTGAGTGTCTGAGGCTGATATCTGAAGATTCGGCTCCACGGGGCACCTCTGAGCCGGGCGAGCCTGCGGCGGTCCATGCTTGAATTACATCTGTGACCTCGCATTTGCCTCCACTCTCCGAAACAGTCCCAAGAGGCAGACACTATTGTCTTTGTTTGATGAAACCCTAGGCCTCTGCAGGCTGAGCATGGGGCCTCCCTCTGTCTGCCTGGACCTTCCCCCAGGGACCCTGCCTCCCTGTGCTCCCATAAGGCCCGCTCACTGAGGGAGCAGCCAGGCTGGTTCCATCCCGCATTCCTGCCACGTCGCTGCCAGGCCTTCCTTCCAGCCGGGCCCCTGGTTCTGGGCTCACAATCCCATCTGCTTTCTTCTCTGCGCATGGCGGTCAGGAGCCCCAGGCCGTTCTTTCTCAGAGGAGCGGGGAAATGGGGCTTGAGCTCTCGGCCTGAGACCCCTCCTAGCTGCTAGTGGCAACACCCACCAAGGACAGGGGAAAGTCCCCAGGTACGATTGTGACTCTGCCGCGTCCGCCCGCTTCTGCAGGCGCTGTTTCCAACAGAGGAATCCTGTGGGCCTGCATGGTGGCCCCGGCTGTGAGAGATCTTGGCTCCAGGGCACCTGTGATTGGGATGAGGGTCTCACTTGCCGTCTGTCTCCTGATGGATGCCACTTGGATGGCCTCAACACTGGAGAGCTCCAACTCAACACACTGGGATCTTCCTTCAGCATTGCTGTCCAGACAGCGCCTGGTGCACTGTTCTTTTCAACAGCATCTGAGGGTCTTCTCTCACTTAAGAAATGCCTTTTTAGGGGAAACTTCTGGATCCCTGAGAGCATCCTCACTCTCTCCTGTGACCTATGGCATCATGAAAGGCACGGCAGCAGCAGCCACTGGTGTATACGGAGCACCCACTGCAGGCCAGGCCCAGGTGCGACCTTGTATTCCCCCATTTCCTCCTCGCCAAAGCCCCCTTTCACAGACAAGGAAACAGGCTGAGGCAAGGGACTTGCCTAGGGCAGCACAGCTTCAGGCCACCTCCTGGAGGGGCCGGCGTTGGAACCCAGGCTGACGGCTCCAGAGCTGTGAGGCTCTGCACAGAAACATGGCACTGGGGCTCAGTTGGCTGCAGAGACCCCCGGGAGGCCTCAGTCTCCCCGCTGTTGTGAGCTGGGGCAGAGCAGAGAGGCTGGTTTGGTTGATTAATTAACCCCCTCCATGTCCCTGAAGCCCTGCCTTTTATGAAACCTAAACCCTCAGCCGATACTACGAGAAATAGCTGCCATCTAGTTAATTCTGGGTCTTAGGAAAGACGTGCCGAAGGGGCCTAGATATTACTTTGCAGGTAATGAGGAAAAAATGGGCCATGCTGTGAGGGTGGAGCCATGTAGCCGGGGAAGGCTCTGGGAGCCCCCACTCCACCTCTCGCCCAAGCCCAGGACCTGGGGACCCCTCCCTGCTCTGAGGCTGCACTGTGGGGAAAGGGAGGTAGATGAAAGTGACTGGTGCCAGGAAAGTGTCCCAAAAGGTGCCTCTGGCTAGGTTAGAGGTGTCCTTTGGGCAGATTTGGACAAAACAGTTATCCGGGAAGGACAGGGTGGCCGAAAGCTGAGCCTGTGGCTGTGGGACGCTCCAGCAGGGCGGCTCCCGCACAGACCCCTGCAGCGGGACTTTGATTCTGACCTGCCGGCGTGCTCCCTCTCCTGCAGTTTCAATTATTTGTATGCCACTGGGATTGGGCAGCTGTCTGAAGATGCAGCACTGTGAACCAGGGGGGCTGGAGGAACTGTTCTGATGCTTTAAAAATAACTTAAAAGGTTATAGCACCTGGCTGTGAATTCTGCCATTATCCTTCTGGGATAAAATGCCCCACCTGTGGCGGGGTGGGGATGAAGGCTGGGTCATCTCTGGGGCCTAACCAATGCTCGTGACAGCCGGGGTGAAGGGCTTGACACCCTGCAGAGATAGGCTCATTCAAGGCTCCCGGATGGACAGCGCTCCTATCTCTCAGCCGGGCAAGCTGAGGCCTGGAGAAGGCGCTTAACCTTCGTGTAAGGAGTAAGGGCCACCCTCACCCCTGCACTGCTGCCCCCCTGCTGCTCTGTGGGTTCTGGCCACATGCACACAAAGGGTCCATACCACAAACAGAGTGCAGGCAGCATGCATGGTGGCCGGACTCCCTTCCTCCCTCGCTCCTCCTCCCCGTAAAGGCCACAGGAGGTCCTGCAGCTGCAGGAAAAGGCAGGACCATCCTGTTCTGTCCCAGACCAGGCCTCCAGGGGCATGAAAGTGGGCAAAAGTCATGAAGGATTTTATGCGTCCAGGGCCCGGCCGGAGCAGGAATTAACTGTGCAGGGAAAGCTGCAAACATCAGGACCCTGAGAGAATAGGAAGGGTCATTATCCCCACCCAATTTTTACAGGACAGGCTCCCAGGGTCCCCACCCTCCCACCACTCCCTCAGGGATGAATTCTTTGAGACATGTTGGCACCTCCAAAAATGGGGGAATAAATCAATGTGTCTAGATTTCTTATGAGAATGGCCTGAGGTCATGTATGAAAACAGCCCGTAGCATGCAGTGGGGCGCTCGCTAAAGTTGCATTACAGCCCCTGTCGCAGGAGGCCATATTGGTAAAGACGGAGGGAGGACTTGGGGCAGAGGGTCCAGGAAGGGGAGGACGCCCCCTAGACTGTGGGAGGGGAAGGGGCTCACTGTTCTCCCGGGGTGCTGAAGGACAAGACCAGCCAGGAGCGCCATTGCATGCCATCGAAAACACACGAATGCACGATCAAAGGTCGGCCGGCTGGTGGGACCCACCTGCGGCGGGTACTGGATATTCAGGGAGACCCATGAAGGGGACCCTCGCCTTCTTGGGAATAATGCTCCACTTCGCCCAGGACCCCAGGTGGGAAGCACAGCTGTCCAAGCATCCCCTCAATCCCACCACAGTGCACGGCCTGGGAAGGCCAGCCGGGATCTCTGTCTGCTGGGGAGCGGGCGCAAGCCGGGCCTCTATCCTAGAATCAGAGTCTAAGCAAGTGATTTCTTGCTCATCACCCAGGAAGCGAGAAGGCCCCAAGCATCACTGGTGAGCATCAGTTGAGGGCTCATTTGCGGCGACCTCATGGGGTTTAAGTCCCCACGTTACAGACAAGGAAGCCAAGGCCTCTGGAAGGGAAGTATCATTTCCCAGGCACAGATGTTCTGCTTCCCTGAATCCTCCTGACACCTCCTCAAGCTGACTCATTTCCCTATTTCAGGGCTGCAGAAACCGAGGTGCAGCGTGTGCGGTCCATTGTCCAGGGACAACGGCCTGGAGAGAAGCATCCTGATTTGGCACATAGTAGGTGTTCGATAAATGCATGTTGGATGAAGGCAGAGCAGAGGAGCATCCTTGAAGGGGGTCCCATCTCTGCTCTGCCCGGAGGGGACAGGCTGCTGCCCACAGAGCTGCCCAGCAGAGCCTGAGTTGGACTAGGCCACAGTTGTTTCCTCCTGCAGCAAGGGCCAAGGTACCGCTCCTCTCCGAGCCTCAGTTTAATTGTTAAGCAGCAGAGTTGGGTGAGGGTGGGTGGGTGTGATGGGTGGTGGGGCAGGAAGAAAGTAGCAGGGGTCAGTGGTGGTGTCTTCCAAGGCTGTGCTCCCAGTCCCAGCCACAGCAGCCAGGGGAGCTCAGGGGCGGCGTCTGCCCAAACTCCCTGACAAACGAGGGGACATGCTGGCCCTGCAGAGTCAAACCTCAACCCTGCCCGGGCAGAGCCCAGCCTCATCCATGTCCAGGCAGAGCCCAGCCTCATCCCTGTCCAGGCAGAGCCCAGCCTCATCCCTGTCCAGGCAGAAACCAGCCTCATCCCTGTCCAGGCAGAGCCCAGCCTCATCCCTGTCCAGGCAGAAACCAGCCTCATCCCTGCCCGGACAGAGGCCAGCCTCATCCCTACCCGGGCGGAGGCCAGCCTCATTCCTGCCCGGGCGGAGCCCAGCCTCATCCCTGTCCGGGCCGAGGCCAGCCTGGGCGGGGTGGGCAGCATTGTCCCAGCTGGGCAGTTTCTTTCCAAAACCAGGCCTGCTCCCCACAGCCTGGAGCTGTCCTCCCATGGCCTCCTGGGAGCTGTGCCTGCCGGGGAGGGTGGGGCACGCGCAGGGAGATAGAGGCTGGGGTCAGGCACTCTTGGGGGCTTAACCGTGTGGGCCCCTCTGGGGCATTCAAGGGGCCAGTGGAAGAGCCAGTCAGGGTCGAGGGCGTGAAGGGCCATGGCCAGCTGGAAGGGAAATCTCAGGGTGTGAACTGGTGAATGAGCCAGGCCAGCACTTTCTGCTGAAGCCAGCCAGAGTCAGTCCCAGACCATAGATCCACACCTGCCACAGAGCACATGCCTACTCCAGCCAAGTGGGCAAGGGTGAGGGGCACAGTGCCTGGCTCTTCTGTGGGAAATGGGTAGGGCGGGGCCTGCCAGCTCTAGAAGGGACAGAGCAGAGGACAAGGTGTACAAAGTCCAGGTGTCCAATCTCCCTGTGCCTGGGCCTCGAGGTGGAGGAGCTGTGGCCTGTCGCGGCAGCTTCGTGGGGCTCCTGTGGCGAATTACCATGAACTCTGCTGGCTTCAGTCATCACTCACGTGCTCTCCCACACTGAAGCATTGTGCACGTGCTCTCTTAGCGCGCTGGAGGCCAGAAGACTGAAATCCAGGGGTTGGCAGGGCTGAGCTCCCTCCGGAGCCTCTAGAGGACGAGGCCTCCTGCCCCTTCCAGCTCCTGGGGGCCCCGGGTGTTCCTGGGCTTGTAGCTGCACGGCTCTACTCCATGCCTCCTCCCTCCCCAGCCTCCTCCCCACAGGCCTCCTTCCCCCGCAGGCCTCCTCCCTCCCCAGCCTCCTCCCCACAGGCCTCCTTCCCCCGCAGGCCTTCTCCCTCCCCAGGCCTCCTCCCTCCCCAGCCTCCTCCCTCCCCAGCCTCCTCCCCACAGGCCTCCTCCCTCCCCCGCAGGCCTCCTCCCTCCCCAGCCTCCTCCCCTGGGCCTGTGTCCCTGTGTCCTCTTATAAGGATGGTCATTGGATCAGGGTCTGCTCTGCTCCCTGGCCTCATCTTGGCTTGATTACACTGACAATGATGCTATTTCCAAATAAGGTCCCATCCATGGTTCCGGGGAAACGTGAATTTGGGACACACTATCCAGATATCTTAGGCATCGCCATGAGAGGCGGGAAGAGGGCGCGGGGGCCTCGCCGTGAGCGGCGCCAGGTCGCAGGAGCCGTTAGACACGCAGGCCTCGCCCAACCCGTGAATTAGCTGGGCTGTCACAGGGGCCCATGTTCGAAGGCGCCCAGAGGGGCCTTCACTTCACTGGTTTCTAGGGATGGCCTTGTCCCCCACTGTGGCTGCAGCGGTGCAGTCAAACCCTGCATGTCCCTGCTGTCCCCGCTCTCCTCCGCATCTCTGCTCCTAGGCCAGGGAGGCTCTGAACGACAGAGGCTCCTGAGGCCCCTTTGCCCCTCATGGTGCCTTGTTTGGCCCAAGCTGGGGCTGAGCAGAAGGAAGCCGGGCAGGGCCAGTGCTGCAGCCTCAGCCCCCGGAATGGGTGACAAGCGGTTCACAGCCAGCTCCGCCCTATGATGACCTGTCTGGGTGTCAGGCCCTAAGCCCTATGACCTTCATGCCATATGGCTGAGAAAGGTGCCAGTAGATAGTAATACTCATGATATCATCACCGGTTCGAGAGGTGCCATGGCCGTGGTGGAGCCGGCCTGGAGCCTGGGTCCTGCCCTCACCAGCCAGGGGACCTGGGGCAGGTGGCAGATGTCCCTGATTCCCGGGTGGCTGTGGGGGTGAAGGATACAGCGGGCCCAGGGAGGCCCAGCATGGCCTGCCTGGGGTAGGGCTCTGCCCCGCCGCCCAGCGACTGCTCCCCGGTCCCGGCACTCACGTCATGACCAGCGTCTCGTCCCCCGGCTCGCTTAGCAGTCCGTCCACAAACACCGAGGTGCTGGTGAAGTTGTGCGTGCTCCAGGTGAGGCCCTCGTCCACACTGAACCTGCCGGGAGAAGATCGTCAGCGTCTCCAGGGTGGGCTGGAAAGCTACGTGTGTCTGGGACTCTGCCCTGTGGGTCCTGCTGGAGGGCTGGGTGCTGCACCAGCCGCCTTGCCAGCACAGGTGGTATCACATCTGCTTATGTCACATCTGCTTATCCACATCGTGCTGCAAGTCCTGGGGGTGTTTTCTGGGGACCACACAGGCACTTTGCATCCCCTGAATGGCCCTGCCCATGGCCTGAGCCTGGCCTAGGGGTTGCCAGGCCCGTGGCAGGGCTGGTGTTGTAGTGCCACCATCTGGCAGTTGAGTAAGCTCTTTTTCAGACTACAGTGATACTGGCTTCCTGGCAGCTGCTCCGGCTGTGCCTTCTGGGTCCCGAGTTCCTGCCTGCCCTCCCTTCCCCATGAGGGCCTTCAGCTGCCAACCCTCTCACCTGGGCACATGCTGGCTTCCTTATCTGGGTTACCTGGTGCCAATCCCTGCACTTTACTAATTCCTCACCTCCTCGGGGAAGACCCTCTGTGCTCCCCAGGCTGGGATGGGGCCTCCCTCTGTGCCTGTCTCCCAAGGGCAGGACAAAGTCAATCTCAATGACTGTTCCGGAAGGGTTTTTGAGGTGTGCCCCAGCCCTGGTCTTTAGGATTTAGTGCTGTTGCCCTGTGATCTTGTGTCCCCGAGGGGAGGACATTCTGGGAAAGAGTCTGAGAGGGTTCCCAGGTGGAAAGAAAGAGCCCCAGCTCCGCCCCACAGCCTGCCCGCGCCACAGCCTGCCCGCCCCACAGCCTGCCCGCCCCACAGCCTGCCCACGCCACAGCCTGCCCGCCCAGCCCCGGGGCTAGCAGATGCCATTACTTGAGGATCTTCAAGGGGATGGAGGTGTCTTTGATGGCCACGATCACGCCGCCGTGGTCCAGGTACAGGATGTGATGCTCTTCCTCAAACACCTGCAGGGGACAGTGGTGTGGCTGAGGGCAGGGCCCTGAGAAGGTTGGAGGTCATTCCAGGCTGAGCGGCTCCTGGGAGGCGGGTCGTGAATGTGCAGCTGGGGGACCCTGGCAGAGGCCAGGGCAGGTCTGAGGGTTCCCTGCACGTCCCAGGCCACCCCCAAGCTCTCAGCCCACGCGGACTCAGCGCACCCTGGATGATTGAATGGCGGACAGCAACTTCTACCCTATCAACCTGAACAAGGAAACTGCAAACGAGCACGGCATGCAGCCCTCTCTATGTGGAAACCCAGGCACAAAGAGTGCAAGCAACACGAAGATGAGAAAGAAACAGAAAAACATTTACGATACACAGCCTCAGTCAAAGCAAACCCCAATTTGATATGAAGACTCAGCTCAAGTGCCATTTCCTCCAGGAAGCCCTCCCTGATGCCAGGCTGAGTGGGGAGTGGCCTCCGGGCTCCAAACCCCTGACCTAACACTTACTACGCTAATCTGTCATCGTCTCTTCCAGCCAAAGCTCCTCCAAGACAGGGCCGCTGTGAGCCTTCTGTACCCCACAGAGCTCAGCTCAGACCTTGGTGCCCAGGGAGTGTGTGTGGAATGAATAAGTGAACAAGTGAATGAATGACCGACCACCAGATCCCCAAGGGACAAAAGGCTGAGTGGCCTGGACAGGGCTCACCCGGGAGGAGATACCGGAGGTGGCCTTGCTTGTTGGCAGACAGCCTCAGGGTGGGGTCCCATTGTATACATGAGGACGCTGAGGCTCTGAGGGGTGGAGGGTACGCCAAGCCCTCACAGCTGGAAGGTGGCAGAGTGGGGGATGGCTCCAAAGTCCCACCAGGACACATGGGGCCTGCCACGAATCTCCAGTGAACATGCATGTGTGGGCGGCCAGCACATGTCTCAACATGCCCAGAAAGGGCACTGCCATCTCCGCCACATTGCTCTCGCCCCATACCGCCCCTCCTCGAAGGAGGCCCCCTTCGCCCTCCCACCCTCACCCATCTGTCTCCCAGGCCTGTGGCCCACAGCAGGACACAGGGAAGCCCAGGAGGGGACAGAGGTCAGCCATTCCAGGCAGCCCCCACTAGGGCCAGCACGCTCATCCGTCTCAGTGTGCTCAGGGTCTCGGCGAGCCCTTGGGGACTATGGACATGTCCACCTGAGCCAGGCTCCTGGGCCTCCCAGGAAGGTGCAGCTGTGCAGACCTTCCAGGGACACGCATGCAGCAACTTTGTGCCATGTTGGGCAGGATAAGTAGCTTGGCTGACCCCTTCCTAGCAGGTGCGGAGCCTAACAGGGCCGCGCGTGCACTGTCCCCAGGGGGGCTGAGCTGGGGACACCCCAGGCTCCAGGAGGACATTCAAGGGCAGCTGGAGAACAATCATGGGGACGCTGGAAAGAGAAGCATCTGCCTCCATCTTTGCTCTGCCCCTCCATGTGGAGTCTCCCTTGGAGTTTGAACGCTGGGTTTTCCAGGAGCCAGCAGAAGGCCCTGGGGAGGACACGGACTGAGGCCCCACATCACAGGAACATGAACCCCAGCAGACCTGGGTGGGGGCCGACAGACCACACCCTTGGCCCTGGTGTCCAGCAGGTCTCCTGACCCCCATGCTCCTCAATCCCACCAGAACTTTCCAATGCTTCCGTGACCCTTAGAGTCAAGCCCAAATCCTACCATGGCCTCAGGGCCCCGAAGGAGGGGCCCCTGCCCACATTGCTTCCTTTCCCTGAACACACCCAGGCCCTCGGCACATGCCGTTACCCTCCCTGCAAAGCCCTTCCCCAGGCGTTTCCTCCTGGTTATCACAATCTGCTGGCATTTCCCACCACTCCTAGGAATTCTCCAGGAAGCACTTTTGCCTTGGATAACGAGAGGCTCCTTACGAAAAATGATGGAGGGCGAGCAGCTGTGTCCCAAAACCTGCCCTCGCTCTTCCCGTCTCCCTCCCTCCCTCTTCTCTCCCCTCCCTTCCTCCCTCCCTCCTCTCTCTTGTTTTTTCTCTCTCCCTTCCCCCTTCTCTCCCTCTTCCCCTCTCCCTCCCCTCCTCCTTTCTCCTTCCTGTTTAGAGTCGGGGTCTGTCAGGTGAGGCCAAATGACAGAGAAGGGTGGCGCCTCCAGGACCTCCCTGGTGGGGGTGCTGCTGCTCGTCAGGGACTTGCAGGATCCAGGCAGCCACCTTGCGCCCGTGAGGCGTCCTGCACACAGGATCTCACTGAAGAGCAGCCAGGCTCACAGGTTATTTGCCCACTTTCCAGAGACACTGAGGCTCAGAGACACAGTGACTTGCCTGAGGCCACACAGCTGGTGACTGCCAGACACCAACCCCTGCCCCTTCCACGGGGACTCTCTCTGTGGGCATCTTGCCTCCACACAGGTGGGTACACACTCTCGTGGGTGGTGGGGTCGCAGGCTGGAGTGGGGACTCAGAGTTAACTTGGGGGCTCCCCAGATGTCCCCCAACATTCTGTGCTCCCCCTGGGGTTCACAGCCCTGTCTGCCCGAGGGCGGAGCGGGGGCAGGGGAGTTGCCATGCCCGGATCCTCTGTCCTGACGCTAGCTCAGGAAAGTGCTTGGAGAAGCACACTGCCTATGGCTACATTCATAGAAATTGTTTCCTGGACAAGAGTTGACAGCCTGTAGGTTTTACGGTGTCACAGGCACAGATTTTAGGGGACTAGGAAGAAGAACTTTCCACAATTCTCCTCCCCATTGATCTACCCATCCGACAGACCCATTGGTCTGGGTCCTCTCTGTTGGGGGTGCCAGCATAGATGCAGGCCTGGCCTCTAGGGATTCATAGCCTAGGGAGAGACTCCCAAGGAAGCAGACCGTCCCCACACAGGGACAGTGACTTGCCCATGGGGTACCAGCAACTAGAAAGGGGGCCCTGTCATCTTCACCCTTCAGGCCCTGCCACAGGACAAGGGGCTCAGCCATTGTTTTGTGAACAAATGACATCTTGTTTTAAGGAGAGTCCAGTGTTGAATCAGTGGGTAGCCCAGGGAGGGGTTCACAGGGCAAGTGGAGCTTGGGGAAACCTTCAGAGGCACAAGGGCATCACAGGCGGGAAATGGAGGGGCAAAGGCCTGGAGGTCAGGAGGGCAGCTGTGTCCAGGCAGCAGGAAGCATGTGGCTGGGGCGGGAGCCCTGGGGGCACACGGACAGGCCCCAGGACAGATGGGCAGCTTGGAGGCCGGTGTGACACCCAAGGCTTGATCAGGGAGTGACAAGAGCACATTCCCTTTCAGAAGATTCCTTGGTTGCTGGGGGAGACGGACCAGAGGGGCAGGGGCTCGTTAGAGGCTCCCACAATGATTTAAGAGGAAAATGAATCCCCAAGCAACGGGCTCCCCTCCAGGAAGGAGGAAAATCCGAGGAGAAGCGAGGCTCCCTCACCAGGACAGCAATGGAGGTGGCGGAGGCAGGTGGCGGAGACCACGCTGGGTCCTGTGAGGCTGGAGGAGAGTGGCCTCGTGGATAAGCCCACCCGCCATGCCTGAGCATGATTCCCCACCCTTCGAAGGTGTGGCTGCAGCCCCCTTCCCTGGCTCCACTGGGAGCCTAATCGGCTGCTTTGGGGGTCCCCTGAGGGAGATGGGGTTGCTGAATAGCAGGGCGTGGTGCAGTGAGAGAACAGTGGGCTTCCCAGAGCCTGACAGTCCTCGAGTACAGTTTCCCTTTGGTACCGAGCTGGCCCCCTGAGCTGGTGCGCGCCAGGGCTCTGCACTGGGACACCCGGATGCCTGCCCAGCCACCCTCCTCTCCAAGCATGGGCAGGTAGGTGTTGCTACATCCACCCCCAGGGAGGCGAACAGAGTGCCTCCCGGCCATCCTGGGAATGACATCTGCTCTCATTAGCTTGGGGCCCTGGGAAAAGGTGGCTCCAGGGTTTTCCAGACCCCACCAGCAGGCTGCAGGGTCTTCAGACGTCCATCGCTGTGGTTTCCTGCGCCCTGAGCAAGCAGCAGGGCCGGGTGGGGAGAGCAGAGTCCCTGTCTCCACTTCACCCTTTCCCTGCCTCCCCCACACACTGGGTTTCAGCCAGGGGCTCTGTAACATTTTCTGGCTTTAGACAAAACACCCTAGGAAACTCATGTTTTTGAAAGGTGATGTCGATTAAACCAGATGCACTCTGGCATTCCACATTCGTATTCTGAGTTCTCTCTCGATGCATCTCACTGCATCCCTGACAACCTGGGCACGAGAGGAAGCCATGGAGACCGCCCTGGGCTCACCACCCTGCCCTCTCTGCCTCTGTCCCACTCTGCCCCTGCCTGGGCATTCTTCCTCCCCAGCCCACCCTAATAAACTAAAAAAAAAAATACCCACAGGAGCATCCCTCCCTCCCCTGCCACATGCATGCACAGGCCTGCCCCCTTGGGCTCCTGTCCCCCACCGCCAGCCAGGCGAATCCCTCTCCTTCCCTGCACCCCGCCGTCCTTCGGGAGGCACCAAGCACAGACCTGGCCAGGCCTCAGCTCAGCACTTTCCTAGATGCTCTCCCATTTAATTCTGATATTCCCAAGTTTGAAATCTAAGCAAATTGCTCAGCAAAAGCGACGGCTACGACTATCTTGCAATCCGTTTCTATGAAATTAGAAAACCTTCTATTTCACCCTGTCTATTGAATCTCATACGGGGGAACCTTCTCTAACAAATAGACAGACGTGACCTTTAAGAAGCTTCAGACATGTTTCACTAGTTTTAGTGAAATAGAAATATTAAAATACAATAAATGGCCTTTGCCCTTTTGAAAATTCCATGTTTCTTGCATATTTTTAAAAAACGTCAAGGCCCGGGCTGCAGGTGAAGCCTGCACTCTGGGATTACCACGCGTGCCCAGAGCACTGCTGTGTGGGAGGGGGGCCGTGGCTGGGGTACTTGGGCGTGTAAAACACTGACCTCAAACAGAACGTCTTGTCTGGAAGGAGAGAGTCACATGTAGGTTTGATTGATTTCCCCAGTATGTAAAGCAGACACTGCCACTGCACGAGGTTGGCAGGCCAACTTCAGCCAGAAAGACCATGTTCCGCCTCCCAGAAAGAAACCACCAGTGTACAATGAGGCAGGGCCCCCTCCTGGGGTGGGGAGCTCAGGCTTGGATCCTAGAGCTGCCTGGACCACACAGGACACGTGGCACCGGCTGGCATCCCTCCCTCAGCCTTGCTGTCTCTACACGCTGAGGGCCACCAGCACCATCGCCTCTAGTCTGAATATCTGAGGTCTGCGCAGAGCTGCACAGAGCACAGAAGGACCCTGCCCAGGCCGTCCTGTGCTGGTGGGAGTGGCCGCGTCCTGCGTAGTGTGCACTTCCTCTCCACTCCTCACTTCCTTTCTCTTCTCGGGACCTGGGATAGCCTCCAGACACCCCAACCCAGACTCATGATGACCCCCACAACCTGTTCCTCCCCCTGTATTCTCTTCCACTGCTGTGTCCACAGCCCCTGCCAGGAACCTGGAGTCCCCCGTACTCCCCTCCTGGCCTCTCTCTGGGCTCCCGAAAGAGCCCAAGTCAAGCCTCAGAAGTGCCATGTGGCTTCCTGGCCGGGACTTCCTCCCTGTTCTGTTCCCTGGCATTTATCCCCATTTATCAGATGTTCACAGTGACATGTCCAACTGTGTGGAGATGTTTCTCGCATCTGTCACTCCCCATCAGTGACCATGGGAAGAGCAGCTGGGTGGTCCGAGCCATCTGCCTGGACTTGCTTTTCAAATGCAGCAGATGCACATCTGCTAACGTGAGCCCTGGCTCCAGCCACTTGGGCTGCAAGATGGGAGACATGGCTCAGAGCTTCTCCCACGGAGCCTCTGGAATGGATGGGATGACAGAAGTGTCTACAGAGGGTCCCGGCTGGACGGGGTGGGGGTGCCGGGCACCTCCCGGCCAGCTTACCTGCCGCCAGGTGTGACCGCAGTCTGACGTGATGTACATTTCTTCTTTATATTCCACCAGCTGCGAGCCCAGGTTACCTGGTCCAAAAGAAAAGGGGCAGCACCACCCTTAGGACTGTCCAGCTTTCCCCCTTTAACAAGTCTGAGCCTGGAAAAATCCTCAAGCAACAGTGGCCTGTGCCCTGGGTCTCCATCTCCCACACAGACCTGCTGTGGCTGCTGGGCTGGGGCCCTGGGTCTGGTTCTCCGTAGTGAAGGGTCAGTCCTGCCCAAAGACAGCCACGTGAGGGGACTCCAGCAGGGGCCCAGGGCAGGCAGAGCTCGGGCACCTCAGAGAATCCACTGGTGTGGTCCACAAATAAGAAGCATGGAGTGTGGTTAGGGACGGGTTGGAGAGGATGTGGGCCAGGTGGGCCAGTGTGGGCTCACGGGCAGCCCCTGTGGGGTTTGAAAGCAGGGCAGGACATAGCCAAGTTTGTGTTTAGAGACAGCTCCTAGGGACTGGGTGCAGGGGAGCCAGAGGCAGGAGAGAAGGCAGGTGGGCACACAGCAGGGTCTCACTAGCTGCTGGGTGGATATTTGGGAGGAAGGTGAGGTGGGCACCAAACCAACAGGGGGCACAGAATGTGGTTTGGGTTTACTGGAGCCACAGCACTGGGCTGATTGGGTCCATCTCCAGCCTTGATGTCCACTCAGAGGGGCTCAGACTTAATGCTGTGGGCAGCGTCAGAATGGGAAGAACTCATGCCCAGCATCCAAGCCAATCTCATGTTACAGATGAGGAAGGTGAACCCACATGAGGCTCCTATAGAAAGAACAATGGCCATGCATAACAGCACGAGCACCAGGAAAATCGTAGCAGCCTCTGGTGCTGCGTCCGGCCCACCCTAAACAGCATCCTGAAATGGTTCGAACAAACGGATTTCTGATGAGACAGATTTGGGGCTCCCACTGCACCCCGTGGCTGTGGCAGAGAGAGGGGTCCAAATCTCCAGGATGATGGGGACCCTGATGATGGCATTGAAGCTGTTCTGGGGCCCCAGAACAGCTGAGTGACTTGTATATCACTTGCCCTTTGAAGCTTTATTTAGGTGGCACTTTCAGAAGTACTTTATCCAGGGTCAAGTTTAGAAGTCACTGGAAAATTCCAAAGGGGATGGATTGTCCTCAAATAGATGAATTAAAAGTGAGTTCTAAGAGTGGCAGGGTGTTTGTGTGCCTGTCTTCTCTGTTGAAATTCATTTACCTACCTACTCGTAAATCCACCCATCTATCGACTCATCCACCCACCTATTCATCCATCCATCCACCCATCTGCCCACCTGCCCACCCGCCCACAAACCCGCCCATCCGCTCACTCATTCACTCACCCATCCATCCATCCACCCACCCACTCACCAATCCATCCATCCATCCATCCCCGCCCACAAACCCGCCCATCCGCTCACTCATTCACTCACCCATCCATCCATCCACCCACCCACTCACCAATCCATCCATCCATCCATCCATCCATCCATCCATCCATCCATCCATCCATCATCCACCCATCTGCCCACCTGCCCACCCGCCCACAAACCCGCCCATCCGCTCACTCATTCACTCACCCATCCATCCATCCACCCACCCACTCACCAATCCATCCATCCATCCATCCCCGCCCACAAACCCGCCCATCCGCTCACTCATTCACTCACCCATCCATCCATCCACCAACCCATCCATCTAACCATCCACCCATCCACTCATCCATCCATCTATTCATCCTCCCATCCATCTTTTATTAATCTATTATCCATCCAGTTGATCATCCCTCCATCCACCTATTCTCTCAGCTCCACCACTCACTCTCTCCTGCATGTATTCAATGGCGTTTGCTAAGTGTCTACTCTCTGCTCAGTCCTCTGCTGAGCTCTGGGGAGCCTGAGCTGAATGAGCTGTGGCCTTGCTCCCCGAGGGCTCTGAATCTAGCAGACGAGGGCAGCTGCGCAGGTGCACACAGAGCCAGGACAGTGGACCCGTGAGGAGAGCCTCAAGGAGAGACTCAGGCAGGAAAGAGCCTCCGAGTGGAGCCTGGAGACCTGAACATGGTTGGCCCAGGGAAAGAGGACCGGGTGTCCAAGGAAGAGGGAGCAGCCTGGGAAGAAACACGGACCTGGGCAGGTGCAAGACAGATAGGATGGATGAGGCAGAGGGGTAGGTGTGGAATCTGGGTAACGCTGGACCTGTCCCTTCTGTGCAGTGTGGTGCCTGGCAAACAAAAAGTGCTGAGCAATGGCTACTGAATGAATGAAGTGAGTGAGGTGAATGAATGAACAGAACAAGCAGCAGGGAGAAGAGAAAGAAGGGGTGCCTTTTATCTTTCTGCTATCGCAGACACCAGCAGCCGCTCCGGGACACACACATCACAGGCAGAGCTGGGCGGGGAGTGTTGCTGCGTCAGCACACCGCACGGGCCAATTTGCAGTTTGTAATTTCAACTGTGCACACGTCTGTCTTTTAAGAAATGCTATCTGTTTTCCTTGCTCTGTCTACCAAAGCTGTCAGGCTGCCAGTCACCTAACAGTCTCAGGGGAAAGAAGGAGGGATTCACAGAACACATTGCAGGCTGTCAGAGTGGAAGGGCCTGCGGAAAGCTGAGGCTGACACCCTGATTTTGTGGATGGGAAACTGAGGTCCAGGGTGGTGGGAGGTGATGAGGGGAGAAGTTTCCCTGCTGCCTCCCTGCCTGGGTGTTCTGGTGTCTCCTTGGGCCTCCTCTCCCCAGGCCCAGGACCCCTGCCCTTCCTTGGTGCCAGCAGAGTCTGGTAGGAGTTAGTGCTCACTGAATGAAGGCATGCTTCCTCTCCATCCTTCCTCTGCCCCTGCAGCCAGAAAATAGCAAGGCCACACACCAAAATCTACCCCACCCACACTTCATCAAGGAGGACTGCGGGGCAGCCCAAGAGACAGGGAGCACCGACGATCACCGAGACACAGCTGGGGCCCAAGTGAGTGGGCTGCCCCGTGGTCCTCCAGTTTCTGCTGATGCTCCCACCTTCAGAAGGGTCTGTTGAGCGTTCACAGGGCTGGTGGGGCTCAGGTCAGCTCCCAACCCCACCCAGGCCCCTCAGCCAGGCCAAGGGCTTCTCGTCCTCACATCTAGACACGTCCTGACATTGATGGGCCCTTGACTGGCCAAGTCGCCAAAAAAGGGACTGCACTGGGGAGGGCTGCGCCTGCAAATGGCTCTGAGACTCAGTTCCCCAAGCCAAGCCAGCAGCACAGAGCAGGCTGTGGGGCTCCCAGCTCCCAAACAGCCCCCTCAAGGTTTTCTTGGCTAAATGCTACCATCACCTCTGCCAGGGCTAGGGACGGAGAAGTGTTCACCGGCCTCTGCTCTGTGTCGGGTCCTGAGGACGTCTGGATGATCAGCTGGGACATAGACCAGTGACCAGGATGGGGCAAAGGGCAGTACAGGGAGCGGACTCCATAACCACCTGGGGCACCCATGGTATCTGAGGAGCAGGTGGGGGTTGGCACCCGCTCTGCACTCTTTGGCTTTCTGAGGGAGGCACATGAGCTGGAGCAGGAACCCAGGGACCTGCCCTGGGCATGGAGAGTAGCCTCGGTGATGGGGGTGGTAGGAAGCAGCTGGCCACAGACTGTGCAGGGTCCGGGAACACTGGCTCACTGGGAGCCCCGAAGGTGTGGAGCAGGAAACATTGATCTCATAGGGTATAACTCAGCGTGAGGATTCCTATCCTAGTCTATTGAAAGGAAGAAAGGATGAAGATGAGGAAGAAATGATGAAGATGAGGAAGAAAGGGTGAAGATGAGGAAGAAAGGGTGAAGATGAGGAAGAACGGATGAAGATGAGGAAGAAAGGGTGAAGATGAGGAAGAAAGGGTGAAGATGAGGAAGAAAGGGTGAAGATGAGGAAGAACGGATGAAGATGACGTATCCTTCAGATGCCACTCAGTCCACCACAGGAGCACTCGGAAGGGAGCCAGCCCTTCAGTCCTGCGACATGCCCAGTCGGGAAGAACCCGCCACCGGCACCCTCAGCCACAGCTGGGTTGATTTCTGGGCTCAACATGGCTGATTCTCTACCGGGGGGGTTAGAAGTCAAGTTTCTGTCTTTGCTTCTCAAATCCATCCCCTTCTATTAATAGTTGGAGCCACGGCCCCACTTTCTGGGTCCCTCTGCAGTCTGATCTCTGCAGGCTGGACCTGAGGATGGTCCCCAGAGACTAGAATGCATCTCCTCGAGCTTGAGACCCCAGTGCGGCACTCCCCCACCTCCACCCTGCACACACGGTGCCCTCTGCCTCAAGCGTCCTCCTCCCTGTGGGTCGGCTTGGCAGATGCCCATTTGTCCAGCAGGCTCAATCCAAACCCCAGGGCAGAATCGAGTGCCCATACCCTACGTCCCTCTGGACCATCTTGTAGGAACTTGGCATCAGGATGCATCTGGCCCTGTGGTCATCATCCCTTTGCTCCTCTGCTCACCCCTGAGTGACTGAGTCTTAAGTTCCTCATTTCCAGCACCCAGTGCAGTGCCTGGCATGCGGGCGGGAGTGTCCAGCGTCCCCTTGGATGAGAGGACAGCCTGGCAGAGCACAACTGCCTTGAAGGTTTCCTGTCTTATCCTGTCTCATTCCTACAGTGGAGGTTTTGTCGTCTCATTTTGCAGATGAGGAAACAGGCTCAGAGAAGTGCAGTGAAATCTGAGTCCTACAGCTGGCAGGTGTAGAGCCTGGGGCTTATCCCTCTTATCTGCCTGGCTCGGGGATGGAATTCAGTAATGAATGATGGGGTGGGCAGGGGAGCGACCCTGTGGAAACAGGTAGCCATCATCCCCAGCCGCCTCCAGCAGTGCAGCCACATGGCCTCGGGACCTGTGCCAGGGCAGGCGGCCATGTCGGGCCAGCAGATGTGCAGCCAGCCCACGTGCCTTTTCCTCCTGCTCTCAGCAGATGCTCAGGGCTGGAGAGGAGGATGGAAACAATGGACACATCAATTGACCCACATTGCACAGCTGGCTCCATCTTCCAGGAAAGCCCTGCCCAAGACTGAACAGAAGTGGAATAAAATAGAAGTGTAGCCTCCTGCCCTCGTAGGGACAGTGTGGGGGCAGGCAGGGAGGGAGGAAGGCTGTGACTGATACCCCCATAGAGCGAGGGGAGCTGCTCTCAGTGCTCTGTGTGACTCCTGCACAATTCAGGGATGCACTGAGAGATGGTGGGGGACCGGGATGCTCATTCTGGGCTCTCAGGGCCTTTGAGTGGTGGAAACATTGGAAATTATGCCTTTTGTATTTTGGTCAAGAATTTGGGGTTTCAGCCAATCAAGATAGTGCATTTTAAATACCCTGTCACTGAGAAGCCCAGGAAACCAAGTCCACAGGACTGGGGGCATCTAACGTGGCTGGTGAGCCTGTCTGTGCGTGGAAGCTGATAGGCAGTGAGCGGCTTCACATTGACGCTGATGGGTCACATTTTCATTGGTCATTGTGGGGGCAGACAGAGGCTGTCCAGATGGGCTGTCACTGCCTAGGACCTCGGGCATAGAGAGCACACAGAGGAACTCCAGAAGTTAAAGGGCTTTGTTCACAATCCCCTCTCTTCCCAGCTGCAAAGCCCCAGTCTCCCCAGACAGGCCAGGTCTCTGCCATCAGACTAGCCCTGCACGTAGGCTTCACCTCCAGCCACTCCATTCACTCTGGTCTGGTCCTTTGGGGTCCCCATGTTCCCCCTTCCACCCAGAAGGCCATTCCTGCCATCACAACATGGCCACTCATTCACTTGTCCCTTCACTCACTCATTCATAAACAGCCTTGGAGGGCCCACCCTGAGCCAGGCCCCAGCTCGGTGCTGGGATATGGTGAAGGGTCAGATATGGTATCCAGCTCAGAGTCTGGGGTCCACATCCATATGGTCCTTGGCTGTTGGCCACATGGCCAACCCCTCTCTGTGGCAGATGGTGCTGGGGGAAATGGAGGGAAGGGGTCCTGGGTTCAGGAAGTGTGAGCTCTGGGCCTGGGCCTCTGCTGCCCAGTGTCTGCAGGAGACACTGCCTCTCTGACTGTCACAGACCCCATGTGCAAAGTCTTGCCCGGCTCTCCCACATACCAGCCGAGTGACCCCAGACAGGTGACTCTACTTTGTGTTTTGAATGGTTCTTCTAAAGCAAATCAACCTCATTTTATGGTATTATTTGATCAGTATACCAGGATTCTTGGATGTTCTAGTTTAGGGGAAAAGACAGACACAAAAATTATAATTTTGGGTTTTTAAAAAAGTGCTAGTTGTATACTTGTTTTTCTCCCCCCACTAAACTAGAACTTTTTTCAGGGGCCAATAAATATCAACCATGATACAAATCATCCATCCATTTATCCACCTACCCATCTATCCATTTTTCTATCCATTTGTCATTCATTCATCATCCATCCATCCATTCACCCATCATCCATCACCCATCATCCATCTATCATCCACCCATCCACTCATCCATCCACTCACCCATCCACCTATCCACCACCCATCCACCATCATCCATACATCATGTATCATCCATCCATTCATGTATCCATCCATCCATTCAGCATCTATCCATCATCCATCATCCACCCACCCACTCACCAACATCCATCCATCATGCATCATCCATCTATCAATTCAGCATCTATCCATCATCCATCCACCCACTCATGCATCTATCCCACACCCATCCACCCACCCATCCACCTATCCACCATCATCCATACATTCATCTATCCATCCATCCATTCAGCAACTATCCATCATGCATCATCCATCCATCAATTCAGCATCTATCCATCATCCATCCACCCACTCATCCATCCATCCATACACCAATCCACCCATCCATCCACCTATCCACCTATCCACCACCCATCCACCATCATCCATCCATCATGCATCATCCATCCATTCATCTATCCATCCATCTATTCAGCATCTATCCATCATGCATCATCCATCCATCAACTCAGCATCTATTCATCATCCATCCACCCACTCATCCATCCATCCACACACCAATCCACCCATCTATCCACCTATCCACCACCCATCCACCATCATCCATCCATCATGCATCATCCACCCATTCATCTATCCATCCATCCATTCAGCATCTATCCATCATCCATCATCCATTCACCCACTTGTCCATTTATCCACTCATCCATCCATCCATCCACTCATCCATCTACCCACACACCCATCCATCCACCCACCCACCATCATCCATCCATCATGCATCATCCATCCATCAATTCAGCATCTATCCATCATCCATCGTCCATCCACCCATCCAACCATCCACACACCCATCCACCCACCCATCCACCTATCCACCACCCATCCACCATCATCCATCCATCCATCATGCAGCATTCATCCATTCATCTATCCATCCATCAATTCAGGAGCTATCCATCATCCATCATCCACCCACCCACTCATCCATCCATCCACTCATCCATCCACCCACCCACCCATCTACCACCCATCTACCACCCATCCACCATCATCCATCCATCCATCATCCATCCATTCACCTATCCATCCTCCATCCATCCATTCACCATCTGTCCATCATCCAGCCAGCCATCATTCATCCAACATCTACCCATCCATCATCCATCATCTATCACTTCATCTATTCATCCATCCATTGATCAACTCTTCCATCTGTTCATCTTTGCATTCTGCCGACATATATCATATGCCCACCCTGGGCCATGCACTCACTTCTCAGAATTTGCCATGAGAGCTCAGCTTCCTGGAGATGCAGTAGTACTGCTTCCTAAGGGACATACTATGCCCTCAGGCCCATGACCATCCATTTTGACCCTTGAGATTGGAGGTCCTCTTGGGCTGTAATGGCACCTGCCAGCCGCCCATGATGGAAGCCACCTACCTGCCCCCATGATGAGGCCTGGGGCGGTGTCCTTGGTGTGCACGGTGCCTGATACATAGGGGTTGTCTGCCCAGCGCAGGTGCAGGTGCAGGTGGCAGTCTGGCTGCAAGGAAGAGAAAGGAAGCAACTGTCAACACATGAGTAGGAGCATCCTTAGGAAAACTAGGCCTGATGACAAACCTGCCCCTGTGGCTTTTTGGGAGAGAAGGCTGGGCCAGGAGTGCCTTGGAGGAATGGATGGAGGATGGGAAGCAGGTATGAGGCTGACCTGTAGGGAAAGGGTGGGAAGGACAAGGGAAGCTTCAGCAGGTCTTGTGCTGACAGCCTGGGAGGTGGAAGCGGGCACAAGTGAGGCACCTGGAAGGATCTGTTGGTTCCCAGGTCTAGATTAGGGACCCCCACAGCATCTAGGTATGGCGAGACACCCAGGAGGATCTGTTGGTTCCCTGGTCTAGATTAGGACCCCCGCAGCCCCTGGGTGTGGTGCCTCTGCTCACAGATGCAGCTGCTGGGGCTTCTCCCACTGAGGGCTCTTGGGAATGGGTCCCGGCAGGTGGATTCACCAACACAGTTCCTGTGTGCAGTGCTGGGCTGTGGGATGTGATTCCTGGAGCCTGCATGGCCCAAGCTCATATTCATTCATTTACCTATGCAGAACTTTTATTGGGAGCCTCTTATGTGACCACAGTATCCCTGGCATCAGAGGATGTCACCCCACAAGACCCTCCCACTTTGAGATACAGAGGGGTGGATTAAGTGTGCAAGAGCCCCAGGGAGCTGGCTCTGGAGACCCCATTTCTCCTGATCTCCCTCTGGCAGCCTGAGATACTGGGTCTCAGAGGTCTGGCTGGCCGAGTCCTCCTTGGTGACACAGGTGCACCACCAGAGACCCCACTGAACTGACAGATGCCGAAAGGCTTTGTCGGGGAATGACTCTGGGCTCAGCCTTCCTAATTTCCCCAAGTCAGGAACTCTACAGGGTGAAGTGAGGCAGGGCAGTCCTCAGGCTGGTCACAGAAAGGACAGGGCTTGGACTCCTCGTACCTCCTCTAAATGGAGGTGTGGCCTTAGGAAAAATGCTTAACTTCCCTGTGCCTTTCTTTCTTCTCTGTGAGATGGGACAATAACCTCTGCTTCACAGGATATTGGATTAATATGGCACACCTCTGGGGTCCAGTCCTTCCCCTGGGCAAGGTACTGCTTAATTGTTTACTTATAAGAATGGTAAACATTGTATTTGCCGCCTTAAAATTATTTTTCTTTTCTGTCAAAAATCTGCAGCTTAAAAATATCCTAGAACTGGGTGCCCAGAGATCCAAATTGTAACTTAAGAGGCACCACTAATTTTCTGGGCAGCCTTGGGGCTCAGTTTCCTCATCTGCAAAATGGAGACAGTGACGGTGAGGCCTGCTGACCCGCTCTGCAGGGTTCATTCCAGAATCCCCTCGTCATTGCGGTGTCATATCATCTACTAACATCCACGTCAGAGATAACCTCTCTCTTCATTTCATGTTATAATAACACTTTCTTCTGGCCCATGAATTGCTTACGTTTTACACAGGTGACCCTAACTTAAATGTTAAACCGTTCAGGAAATTGGATATTGACTTGGATAAGATGCAACCAGGTGGCGGCTGCAGTCGGCAGATGGGCTTTATTTGTCTGCTCTAGGATTTAACAGATGTACAGGTTGCATGCACTATATGTTGTACGATTCATCCATAAGCAATGCCTGGAGCAGGGAATCTACAGAGCCAGGAATGGACAGGTGGTTGCCAGGGGCTGGAGGCTGATGGGGGATAGGGAGGTGACAGCTAAGGATCAGGGGCTTCTTTTTTGGGTGGTGAAAATGTCCTAAAAGGGACAGTGGTGATGGTGGCCTAACTCTGTGAATAGACTAAAAGCCACTGAACTTGCACTTGAAAGGTGAACTATGTGGGATATGAGATCTCAACAAAGCTGTTAAAAAACAACAAAAAAAAGAGAAAGGTTGCAAATTCGGCTGAAAGGTGCCCCATGTCCACTGCAGAGGCACATCCTAAAGATGACTGAGGGACTGAGACCATCCCCAGGGGAACCCAGGGAGTCCTGAGCTGACAATCACAGGGCCCCGGGTGGCAGGAGCCCGGGCACTATGTCACCCCTGGAGAGCCACCTGAGGGTTCCAGAAACACCTGGATCGAATGGCGACAAATAGGCCCCACTGAACATCTGTGAGATGTTAAGACGTTGCCCGCTGCAATAGATTCTTCTGATTTCTTACAACGGAAAAGCAGGTCTGGCACCTTTCAGTCCTACCCTCCTGCCCCCCCAGATAGCTCAGGAAGGAAGACAGAGGCGGCTTGCTGGGGAAGGAGGCCGCTGTGATCTTGGTAGGCAGCGTTTGGCTTCCGCACTGCAGAAGGCAGCTCTAATCAGGAGAAGGAGCTCAGCAGGGGTGTGGTGCGGGAGTCCCCAGCAGCAGTGTGCCTGGCAGAGGCTGCCCTGGCTCTGCCATGCTTTGATATTCTAGGTTTTCTAGAAGACCAGAGCTCATGGGCTGGTCTCCATCAACCTCTCCCATTCCCCTGATGAGCTGTGCACATCTGGTCACTTGCTGCGTGCACAGTGGGCAGAGTTGAATTAGAGGGTGCCGCTTCACAAACCCTAGCTACCTCTCCCCACCCCTCACCACTAGTGGCCTATCCTGGTTGCCTGGCACTCAGGCCAGAGAAGTGGAACCCTCCTCAGGGTTCCCTGTGGGGTGGCCAGTTATGGCCTGCAGGCCACTGGTGAACACAGGCAGCACTATGAACCCCTTTGCATTCACCTTGGGGCCTGCTGATGGCCAAACAGACGTCTCCCCCAGCTCCTGAGGCGGCTGCAGGCACCGTGCTGGTGTCTGACACAATCACTCCCACCCGAGCCTGGGCCACCAGGTGAAAGGAAGGGCAATGCCAGCAGGCCTGGAGGAGCCCGCCCACAGGGCACCGGATGCCCTGCACAGGTGGCAGGCCAGTGTGCATCAGGAGCCCCAGAACTAACCTCGGGTGCATGTCGTCAGAGACGGGGCTTCCTCCGAGGCCACCCAGGACAAGGACCGGAGACCCCTGGGACAGGCTGTGGCCCTGGGAGTCCGTGCAGAATGCTGCAGTGTTGACTGAAGTGGGCCTGGGTTCCTGCAGGGCTGGAGGCAGGCCAAGCTGGGGGCTGATGCTGTCCCAGGACTCTCCCTTCTCTGCCTGTTTGGCAGATAGGGGCCAGAGGGTGCCCTAAAGAAGTGTCTAGCAAATCATCAAAGACTGCCAGATGGACCAGGACTGGGAGATGCAGCACCAGCCACCTGGATGCCTAGCACTCATCGCAGCCTCATGCCTCAGAAGAGTGACCATGGACTGTGCAGTGAATGAAGTTTTATGCTGAATTCAAGATGCAGCTGGAGTACTCCCAAGCTGGAGTACAAAACCACCTTCCAATGAAGCTGGATCATCCTAAAACAGATCTGATCATGCCACTCCTCTGTTAAAGCCATCCCTGCATTTCCCCATTGAGGGAAGGAGGTATCCCCAGATAGGGCACAGGTCAAGTGGCCTGGGCGAAGTTTCGTGACCCAGAGTTAAGAGAAAAACAGAGGGCTGAAAAATCACACACATGTGTGATCCCAATGACGACTTGGTAATGTGTGTATGAGTGAAAAGATTGTAAAGAACAAAAATACCCAGTTACTATTTTTCTGGATGGTGTGATTCTGGTTATACCTTATTTCCCTTTTTATAACTTTCTGTATCTTCCAAGAATTCTGTAATAATCAGGCATCACTTTTATGAGCACTAAGTCCTCAGGTACAGTTTGCCCATTCATTGAGAGGTTGTGTGGCTGCAGGAGGGACGTAGTCAGGAGGTCCTGTGAGTGGCCCAGGAGGTCCTGTGAGTGGCCCAGTTCGTCCTGCCTCTGCACTTTCACCCTTGGAGATGCCATGGCCACACATACAGGATAGCCCAGGCCTTCTGAGCCATGCGGGTGTTTTTAATATATATATCTATAATATTTATTTATTTTTTTGAGACGGAATCTCACTCTGTTGCCCAGGCTGGAGTACAATGGCACGATCTTGGCTCACTGGAACCTCCACCTCCCAGGTTCAAGTGATTCTCCTGCCTCAGCCTTCCAAGTAGCTGGGATCACAGGCATGTGACACCATGCCTGGCTAATTTTTGTATTTTTAGTAGAGACGGGGTTTCGCCATGTTGGCCTGGTTGGTCTCAAACTCCCAATCTCAGGTGATCCGCCTGCCTCAGCCTCCCAAAATGCTGGGATTCCAGGTGTGAGCCACCATGCCCAGCCTGTGAGGCTGTAGTTTGATGTCTGTTGTGCCCCCATGGGCTCCCTGCACTTGGTTCTACATTCCCCCGTGCCCAGTCAGGTTCCCACATGCCTGCCTGGGGCTGCATGCTCACCAGTTTGCTCCTATTTCATTGTTTCAAGGCCAAGACATAAATCTCACCGAGGTTATCTCCTCACTGAGCTGCATAATCGCAGACAAGAATCTATTCTTAGCAAAAACTTGCTTTGACAGATTAATATGGCTTAACTTTGCCGATGATGATACAAAAATTAGCCCTTTCACAGCAACTCTGTTCTGGGAAGCATTTTTACAAAGGGCAGGTAATTAATTCTCCACACAGGTCGACAGGTGTTATCAGCAGGAGTGGGGGGCTTAAGCAGAGGCGGACAGCAGGCTTCTGAGAGGTGAGTGTTCCCAAGTCAGAGCTCAAGCCTCAGCTTAGAGCAACGGGCTGCCCTGGGGGCCAGAGTCCCGCCCTGGCTCTGGAGTGAGGGCTGTCTGGGAGGAGGAACTGCTCGCCTCTTAGTACCATGGCCTTCATGGGCCAACACTGGGGCCGGTGGCGGCAGTGGCTCACCATTTTCTAAGCCCTGCTGTGTGCCAGGTGGAATCCCAGGAAGACAAGGAATGTCTTCTGGTTTGTTGGTTGGTGTGTTCTGAGCCTGCAGAACAGTGCCTGGCACATAGCAAGTGTTCACGCAGATTTGCTGAATATAACCCTGTCAAACAGGTACTTTTGTTCTTTCTATTTTATACATGAGGAAGCTGAGGCAGAGAGATGGGTGGTTTCAGGCGTCCCCAGTGTGTAGTGTCTAAGAGATGCTTCTGGGTGACAGTGGGAAACAGAGAAGCAGTATGCCCAGGGAAGGCTCCTCAGTGGAGGGAACATGTGGGCAGGGTTTTCAGGTGTTAGTAGGAGCTTGCTAGATGAGGAAAAGGGAGGGGGCATTCTATGCCTTGGGGACAGTGTAGAAAGAGGGAGAGCTTGGAAGGGATGAGATTCGCTCTTCCTTGCAGCTTGTTCCATGTCAGGCATAGGCCGGTCTCTGCATTCTTTGATCTCATCCTCACCCCAGTGCCACAGGGATGTTTATCATCTTCCTCCCTTTTCCACAGAGGCTCAGAGTCACTGGTTGATGTAGCCAAGATCACACAGTCAGGGGGCTAAGACAGCAGCTCTGTGCAGCTCCAACACTAGACCCTTCTCCCACCCTGAGTTGCCCAGCACCCAGAAAGGGGCAGGGATGCTGGTGGTGGTGAGCTCCTTGTGGTATGCAAGAAGAGAGGCCCTGGGAGAGGCCAGGTCTCTTGGGGGTGTTGGAAGGGAAGTGAGAAGCCTGGTCAGATTCTCTTGGCCCATTCAGCCTCTTCCTCCCTTGCATCCACTGGACCCTGGTAGCTAAGTGCTCACCTTAGCTAGGATCAGGGCTCCTTACAGCTCTATCTTTCCCTCCTCACCAGCATGGGCCTGTGCACAACCTGGATCCCTGGTAGCCACAACATAGCTGGCAAGAGTCCCAGCTACTTTGAGAGATCCCTCCCAACTCTAGGCAACCAAGAACTCAGGCAGTCGACACTTCTATTCATGTAGAAAGGTGTCCCTGGGATAGTGGGCCAGCTTTGGGGCTCATGATGTCTGAGCTCTGGCCCAACTCCATCACTTACTGACAGTATGATGGTACACTGCCTTCCATGGCAAATTAGAAGCAAGTGTCTGCTCTCTGGCCCTCATTCCCCTGGGCAGAGTACACTTCCCAGATCCTTGATATTGACCAGTAAGATTTAGCAAATGTACCAGCAGGCTTGAAATGTACTTGCCTGTTTCTGTTTATCCTCTTGTACTTCTGGTATCACCATGAGAATTAAGCTGACTCCAGGAGAAGGATGCAAGATGTGCAGAGCGGAGACCAGCCTAAATCAGTCAATTCCCTGACATATGAGCAATCCCAGACAAGATCAGCAGAGCTGCCCAGCTGAGCCCAGCCAAGATCAGCAGAAGCCCTCAGCTGAACCCAGCCAAGGTCAGCAGAGCCGCCCAGCTGAGCCCAGCCAAGGTCAGCAGAGCCGCCCAGCTGAGCCCAGCCAAGGTCAGCAGAGCCGCCCAGCTGAGCCCAGACAAGGTCAGCAGAGCTGCTCAGCCAAGGTTGGCAAAGCCACTCAGCTGAGCCCACCTGTAGATCTGGGAAATAAATGTTGTTGTTTTCGGGTGGCTTATTGCACAGCAATTCTGTGTGAAAAACTGATACACTTCCCTCTCTGACCTCCAATTAACTTTTCTGTAAAACAAGGAGTTTCATTTGACCCTCTCTACCACGCCCAGCAGAAATAGGTGGTTCATGTGTCTCAGATGGTCCTTCTCAGACATCACCACCTCTGACCTTTTTGATTACTGAAGCTATATCTAGCATCCACCCCATGGATGGTATGTGATGTGAGCCGAGGTACTTACAGGCTTGCAGTTGGTTGGTTTTCCATTCATGTCCATGCTGGGTGGCCTCAGGTAATCCCAGTCACGGCCCTTGTTGTAGGTTATAAGTGTCATCACTTTCCCATCAATTTTTTGGTTTGCCAGGAAGACTCCTTTCACCCCTCTGACCTGGGACAAAAATACAAGAAGGACTGTAACCTTACACTGGAGCACTCTGATGACCATGTATCCAGCGTGCTCCAGCCCACATGTGGCCTCATTTCACACTCACAATGGCCAGCAGCTGAGACACATTCTAGAGGTGAGTGAGGTTTAGAGGGACAGAGATCCAAGACTCCGGCCCCAGCTTTAATGGGAAGCTAGTTCAGTCTAGCTCTGAAGCCTGAATGATCTTCATGGTGCTGAGCTGTTCTCCCAGGTCCAGATACCAACCATCAGATGGCAAGTGGGGTTCTGGACCCCTGACCTGCCTGTCCCTCAAACTCACCCCATCCTTGCCTCAGAGGTCCTGATTCAGAGCTCAGATCCCCTCAGTGCCTCTTGTTTCTATTGGACCATGCATCCTGGACCAATAGAATTGCCTCTGGGCTTGCCTCTGGGGACCTCCAGCTCAATCCCCATACAAACATGCCAAGGAATGAAGACAGGAGGGTCCATGCTTCCACTAGAACACCCAGGACAGGGCTCCACTTGCCTTCAGTGCTCAGAGTTAACCTGGTCCCTTTCTCAAGGTTTCCTAAGAGGCCCATGGCAGTGACCCAAATGTCCAAGAGTGGTTACTAAGTTGACCTATAAGAAACGTGCAACTGTCGGCAACTTCATATAGTTCAACCGAATGGTTTGCTCCCAGAGAGGGTCTTTTCCTGCAAGTTCCTTATTTCATGGAGGGTTTTGACTCATATTTATCAAGATCCACTAGTGTGGTGTGAAGAGGCAGAAGAACGCCCACCACTTGTCAAGGCCTCCTGTGTTCCAGGCCAGAAACTGTTTCTACACCTGTATATGCAACCTGCACCATGGGAAACTGAGGCTCAGAGGGGGTGCCACCTGCCCAAAGGCCCATAGCCAAAGATTCTAGTTAGGATAGTAATGGCATACAGTTATTAAGTGCTTCTATGTTACAGGCACTGAGCTTAACACATGTCCTCTCACTGAATTCTCATAACTCCAGCAGGTCCTCAAGGGGAGAAGAACAGCAGCCATGATGATGAAACCAGAGGACTGGGGTCTGAGCTTCCTGCAGCTGCTATAACAGATGGTCACAAACCCAGTGGCTTCAGACAACACACATGTATTCTCCCACAGCTCTGGAGGGCAGAAGCCTAGCATGCGGCCACAGTCAAGTGTCAGTAGAATCACATTCCTTTCTGGAGGCTCCAAAGGAGCATCCCTTTCCTTGTCTTTTCCAGCTTCTAGAGGCACCGGCATTCCTTGGCTAATGGCCCCTTCCTTCGTGTTCAAAGCCAGCAATGCTGCATCCCTCTGACCATGTTTCCACCATCACATCTTCTCTATCTCCTGCCTACTTCTTCCAATGTTAAGGACCCGTGTTCAAAGCCAGCAATGCTGCATCCCTCTGACCATGTTTCCACCATCACATCTTCTCTATCTCCTGCCTACTTCTTCCAATGTTAAGGACCCGTGTGCTGACCCTAGGCCCCTCCAGATAACCCAGGTCATCTTCCTGTCTGCTGACGAGCAGCCTTAATTCCATCTGCAACCTCATTCCTCCTCTACCACATAAGGTAACATACATGCATGTTCTGGGGCTCACGATGTGGCCATCTTTGAGGGGGGCACTATTCTCTCCAGCACAGTCCCTCCTCTGACCCCCAAGGACACACATCAGTCTTCAAGCAAAATACATTCACCCCATCAAGGTTTCCAAAGTTCTCATCTCATTACAGCATTAATTCAAAGTCAAAAGTCTCCCCTAAATATCACCAGATCAAAAGCTCCAAATCTTCTCATCTAAGTCATCTAAACCAGATGTGGGTGAGCTGTGGGTAAAATCCATCTGTGGAGCTGGGAAACTAGCAAACGAGTTGTCTGTTTCAAAGTGCAAGGTTGGGGCAGGCATAGGGTGGTAGCTACAGATCTTTTGCCTCCCACTGATGGCTGTGGCTGGTTTAGGTTACCCTCAGAGTTGGCTCTCAGAGACTCCGGGCTGCCTTCACTGGATGTGGGAGTTGGGGGGCAGGGCAGGCTGTTTTCCTTGGGACCTACCAGGTCTTATCAAGACAGACAGGCAGAGTTAGGAGCCAAGTGGATCACACTGTGAGCATCCTCCCAGAATTTCTAGGGAACGTCATACATGTGGCAAATCCATGCACAGAGCATTCAGCTGCCAGTATTATCTGCATAGGATGCTGTGGTCTAGGGGGTAGCCTTCCTCTCTGCAGAGGAAGCTTCATCAATGGTCCTGCTGGGCGGACAGTCTCAGAGGCTAGGATGAGCCAGCTCCTTCAGCCCATATGGCATCACTCTGTCTCCTGTTCACTCGACTTGATGACTGCAGATGGGGTCCCTGGCCCAGAGTCCAGCTTCTTTGTGAGATGCGGTACCAAGTGCAGGCCCTGCAGAAACCCAGGACTCCATGTCACAGGGGTCTTGAGTTCCCTCCAGACTCTGGGCTTGGTCTGCAGGAGATGAGCTGCCGGGGGCTGGGAGAGGGCAGAGCGTGTGCATGTGTGTGAGCCTGTGTGTGTGTGTGTGAGTGTGAGTGTTGGCTATAGATCGGCTGCAGACAGGTCCCTCTGTGCTAGGCTTCGGACCAGCCACACGCCCACCAAATGGCTGCACATCCTCTGCTGTGTGGTCTGGTGCTGAAGGGAGGCCCGGGGAACGTGCTGCAAGTCTTTGTGTCTTACAAGCTCATAGAACCCCGACAAGGCAGGCAGGACGGGGACCCAGGGACATCACCCAGAGGGCTTCTGCCTTGCCCATTGCTTGGTGGAAATGCTTTTCTGCTGTCCTCCGGGCAGGTAGAAGGCTGATTTGCCCATGATGGTTTTTGTTATTGGGTAATTGCCATTTTATATCCCAGCTGGGTCTCCATGAAAACGCTCAGCAATAAATAACGTGGATCCAGATATAGGCCAAGGCCCCTGGGTGGGTCTGACTGGCGGAGCATTAGCTCAGAATATCAGTGTGTCGCTGCATAACTGCCCACATCACAGCTGTATTCATTCCCGTGTCTGCTGTGAAAAAAAGTCCCACAAGTTGTTTGGCTTCAAACAACAGAAATTCATTCTCTTGGAGGCCAGAGCCCAAAGTCAAGGCGTGGGCAGGGCTGTGCTCCCTCTGCAGACCCCAGGGAAGGATCCTTCCTGCCTCTTCCAGCTCCGCGCCTCCAGCCCTCCCTGGCCTGTGGCTGCAGTCTCTGCCTCTGTCCCCACGGGGCCACTCTGTGAGCCTGTGGCTCCTCTCCTGTCTCAGATAAGGACACTTGTGATTGCATTTAGGGCCCCTTGGATAATTCGGGATGATGTCTGCTTAAGTCTTTCACTTCATGACGCTGCAAAAATCTCTTTTTCAAATAAGGTCACATTGTAGGACCTGGGTATTAGGATGTGGGCCACCATTTCCGTGCCTATTTCGGGGTCGCCATTCAGCCCATTGAGATGCCTGCTGCCAGGGCTCCTTGGGGGTAGGGGACAGGGCTATGTTCCCTAAGTCCCCATTCATAACCCAAGCTCCAGCACAAGAGGAGTCCAGGAAAGATTTGCTGTCTTGCCTCGAACCTAGGTTGTGCCCCGCAGGAGAAGAGATCCCCGCAGCCTTCTGAGGCAGTACCTGGCTGTGTCATCTGCACCAAACATTTTTCCTGGATGTGCTGCTGGGTGCACAACAACCACGACAGCAACAGTACTGGCCGTGTGCAGTGAGACTCAGGTGTCAGCCCCAACCCAATAATTATCCCTGATCCCTAGAAAGGGCAAGTGCTGGGCAAACAAAGTGAGTCCTCACTTGGAACCAGGCGCTGCTCTGCCTATTCAATAGGAATGACAGCCTTAAAACTCACGGCAACCCGGTGAGGAAGGTGCTGCTACCATCCCTGTTGCACATAGGGAAGCACAGAGAGGTTAAGAAACCCACCTACAGCCACAGAGCAAATACATACCAGTTCATGGACCTGACCCTGGGCAGTCAGGCTCCAGAGTTGTGCTTGTAACAACCAGCTGTGACCCATGTTTGATGGTTTTCAGAGAAGGGATATCCCTTGGGAGGGCACCCAGGTGGTGGAGAGTGGGTGTCACCTTTGGACCGGGCCACTGCAAACCTCTTCCGGCTCCTTGCTTCCTCTTGCCTTGAGGTCTCTGTGTGTGGCTCTGAGCTCCTTCCGCACCTGGCTAACTCCTGCTCAGCCTCCTCCGGGAAGAACTCCCTGACTTCTGCCCCAGGCTGGCCAACTGCCTCTGTGCTGTGTCTTCAGGCCCCGGCACTCTCAGTCAGAACTACAGCTGGGAGCCGTCTTCCTGCTTCATGAGGGGTGCATGGTGCATGTCATATCCAGCCTGTGTCCCAAGGGCAGGGCCCAGAACACGGCATGTGGTGGTGCAGGCATCACAGATGCCTGTGGACAGGACAGCCGTGGAGCCTCACCCCACCCTGTTCTTGGCCCCCTTCCCATCCCATCATCACCTACTCACTGCCTTCCAGAGCCACATTTGTGCTGGACCCAGTCCCCTCCTAGAGGCTCACAGGGCAGGGCCTTTGGGACACTAGGGGTGGGGTTGGGCGCTGCCTGCAGGGGGCTTTGGGCAGTGAGACTGTATCTGCATCGTCCGCTGAGGAGGTAAACCCTGACAAATGGGTTATCATTGCAAACAAATGATTCCATTTGTGACTTTCCTGGGGACCACAGTTCTGCTGCTTCTGGCTAGGGAGGGATGAATGCTGAGCCTGGTGCCTCCCACTCACAAGCCCATCAGTGCCACTGCCTGCCCAGGGTCTACTGGCCACCCACAGGACACTCCCCCAGCCTGCGTCAATGGGCCACTTGGGGGTGTCCCCACAGGCAAGAGGAAGGAGCTTGGAGGTGAACAACTGAGAGGGGTCCCAAGAGGAGGGCACTAGGCTCAGAGCAGACAGGCCTGGGCTGGTCCTGGTTTTCCTGCTTACGTCTAGGTCTGCCTGGGCGGGTCGTTTGCCTTCTCTGAGCCTCAGTTTTCTGACCTGTAAATGGGCCTGGCCGGAGCAGGGCTGCTGCAGGGATCCAGGTGGAAATGGAGCAATAGTGGCGCGATGTACGGGGCATTCTCTGGGGTCAGTGGAGGCTCATGCGAGAGGCCCAGGGGGGACCCGGGAGGGCAGCAAGGAAGGCTCCCATCCGAGCTCGGATGGCAACCCAGCAGGGGAGGCCAGGGATTCGTATGTGGTGAGAGAAGTGACAGGAGGGAGGCTGGAGGGCTGGATTCCGGGGAGACAGAGAGAGCGAGAGCAAGAGAGAGCAAGCAAGAGAGAGCAAGCGAGAGAGAGAGAGAGAGAGAGAGAAAGAGAGAAGAAAGGCCAACTTCAGACAGAGAGAGGGAGAGGAAGGAGGAGATGAAGGGGCTGGGGTAGGGGGGGTGGTGAGAGAGAGAGGAAGGCAGACTTCAGACACAGAGAGGGAAAAGAAGGAGGAGATGAAGGGGCTGGGGTAGAGAGAGAGAGTGAGAGAGGGAGAGAGAGACGGGGCACTCAGAGAGAAGCACTGCCCTCAGGGGTGACCCCAGCCCAGGACTTCTGATGAGGGCTTGTGAGGGAGTTGGCAGAGAACACTCAGGCTGAACCCAAGTCAGTAAAATGTTATTCCCTCAAAGATTCCATTCTTCTCATGACAAAAACTTGTACTCGATGATCATTGTACTTCATATTTCCTCAAGAAGGAAATTCTCTTCCTCTAAAAATACCTATATAATAGCCTCTTGGCCTGCAAAGCTTAAAATATTTGGCTGTTTACAGAAGATGTGTGCAGACCCCTAAGATAGCATTAGAGACAGGCAGGAAGGGAGGGAGGAGGAGGAGGTGGGGGAGAGGGCAGGGGGTTGGCGGCAGACCCCGCCCACATCCACGCGGGACCCACCTCCAGGATGTCGATGAGCACGCTCTCCTCCGCCTGCCGTGAACTGCGCACGTCCTGCAGGACCAGCGCGTAGCGCACGCCGCGCGGGTCCGACTGGTACAGGTTGTAGGTGTCCATCTGGTACCACTCCTGCACCGCCACGAACACCTGACTCTCGTCCGTGCTGATGATCTGCAGATCCTGCGGGGATGTGCGGGGAACACAGGGTCAGGGCCAGGCTGGGGGCCGCACGTGGGAGGAAGAAGGCAGCTGCACAGGCTTTGAGGGTGGGGAAGGCCTCGGGCTCTCCTGGAGCCAGTCTGGCCTGGATTTGCCTCCTGGCTCGCCTGCTCTGGGCTCTGTGGCCTTGGACAAGTCTCCTCACCTCCCTGGGCCTCCATTTCCCCATCTCTAATATGGGGATGGCCTTGGGATGCTCTAAGCCAGGTTATGGGAGGGTGGCCTGGGGACACCTCCTCCTGGTCCCACATCAGGCTATCCATCCATCCAACAGTGGGGAGGCGGAGTTCTTCCTCCATGCACCCCCAGATGGTTGATTCCGGGGGTGAGGGCTGGAGCCCCTCCCTCTCCTCCTATCCACAGGAACAGGTGAGTCTCTGCTCCCTCCTTCATTCAACACACATTTGGGAAGCACCCACTCCATACCAGAAACTTTCCGGCCACTGGATACCTAGAAAGGCCCTGAGTGCAGTGGGGAGCCAGGTGTGGCCCTGTCCTCTGCGACCTGCAGGGAGGCATCTGTGGGTTCATCCACTAAAGCTTCGTTGTCCAGGGACACTATCGCCACCTGTACACGCTCCAGCCTTCCTCCTGGTCCCTCTGTGCAGGTCCCTGCCCGCCCTGAGCCCTGGGGGCACAGTCTGGAGGGGTAGGCAGAGAAGGAGCCCCACCAGGACCCCATAAGGTGGTCTCAGAAGGTGAAAGGGCAGCCAGGGCAAAGTCCCTCGCCTCGGTTTCCATTCGGAAGCAGGTGTGTTGGGCAGCTCTGGAGTGGGCCCAGGGCAGTGGTCTTTGGGTTCAGTCCCAGGTTTTTAAACTCAGAAAGCAGCCAAAACCCAATAGAATAAAAAGGAAAACCGGGAATACCTCAGTTTCTTGTTTTCTTTTCTTGCCCAGCCAGCACCAAATGCGTATGGGAGGCATGAGTAAAGGGGTCTGGACAGGCCCATTTTGAAGCCATAACCAGCTTCCCTCCCACTTCTGTTCCTTTGCCTTCTCTCACTCTGGAACTTTATTGCCCTCTGAGAAGACAGTGCCAAGTTCCAGGGGCAGAAAACAGGTGACAGAGAGGGGCTCGACTGGCCCCACCTATGGAGTCACTCCTCCCAACTACGGTGTGGCTGTGGCACATGTTCTCATCTAATGGGAGGGCCTAGGGAAGGAGTTTATTTTTTTTTTTTTTCCTGAATAATAACAGATCAAATCCCGATTCTGCCTAGTGGAGCTCAATTTTCAGTGGAGAGTGAGGAAGAAGCTGCCTTAGCAGGTGGCTCAGGGCCGGGCTGGACTCCTGAACGCTGAGGCCTGTTCCCTATGCTATGCAGCCCCAAGGACTGTGCAGAAAAGGAGAGTGATGCTATTTTGCAGCTACCATGCAGCCCACAGGCAGAGAGGACCCCACAGTGGCAGGAGCTGCAGTCCTGTGTCTATGGACCGAAATTCAACACACAGAAATGACTGGCACCGAGAGACACAGAACCAGGGAAGGATGACAGGGCAAGGTGCCAGGGTCTGGCTGTCCCCACGTGTGAAGTGGGACCATAGGTGATGCAGAGCCCATGGAGGCACACGAAGTGCCCGGAGGCAGCAGGCTTGTGGCTGCTCTGTCCTCCTCACCTCAGCTCGCTGTTCCTCCCCACTCAGGGCCATGGGCCAAAATGCACTCTGTCATCCAGGCATTGGTCATTCTGCTGCCCAACTAGGGGAAGGCTTGTCCACCAGCCCGGGCTGTAGCAGGGAATTAGACCATGCAGTCAGATTGTCGGGTAGCATGTGAGACTCCTGCAGGGGTGGCGGGGGGGACTGCGATTATGGGTGCTTTGAGCTCAGGGGACTTGACGTCAACCATGTCATCAGGATTCAGTATTTACCGTGATTGCAGCAACTTACAGTGTGCCTCCTATGCCCCTGGGTAAATGTTTACATAACCTGGGTAAATGCATTTGGTAAATGTTTTCCACAATCTAGGAAACAAAGAAAAATGCATGAAGTGACTCGAGGTTACAAGCACTGCCCCCTAGAGAGACCTGACACCAGCGTGTTCAAATGTTTACGTTTGGGCTTTCTCTCAAGTGTGATGCACATTTTTTTTTCATGTGTAGTTTATAGTTTGCCCCTTTACGTCACAGGCAGAGCAGTGTGTCTGCCATTAAAATGATCTATAAACAGCACTTTTAATGACTGCATGATACTCCATTTTGTGGACGGGCCATATTCCACTGAGCTGCTTCCCTACTGGGAAACCATCAGCATTCTCAACATAACTGGCAGATGGTCATGAACGTTTCTAGACACAGATCTCTGGCTCTCTGGTTATTTCCTTGACATAAACTCCTAAGAAGGGAAATTGCCACATCGCAACATTTCGAAAGCTCTTGTTACCTATTGTTAAATTGCTATCCTGAAAGTTTACATTAGTTCCTTCCCCACCAGCAGGAGTAGAGAGCACTTATTTTGTTTGACATATGCCAATATTGAGAACGGTCTTTTTAAAATATTTGCTGATTAGAGATTTATAAATAACAGGCAATTTTTGCTTCCTATTGTGTTTACTGTCTTCTTTGAGAAAAGATAGTAGAGACATTTTGATATTTTTAAACGAAGGATGTGAGACACATTCAAATATACATCTAGTATATATGATTGTACATATTTGTGTGGCCTGGAGAAATATGCAGAAGGAAACACCAACCTTGCCAATATTTGTTATTAGGTAGAATTAGGTTTGCTTGTGAGTAACAGAAACAGGAAAAAACTTTCTTTATTAGAGAGCTCTAAGAAGCCACACAGGACAATTCCACTAGCATCTCACTGGCTAGATTTTAGAAGCACTGACCACATGTAGTTGCAAAGGAACCTGGGAAATGCAGTCTTTTAGCTGGAAAGCAATGTACTAGCCAAAGTCTGCGGTTTGTTGAACTAAGACGAAGGGGCAGAATGGATATGAGAGGAATCCAGGACTTTCAACAATACCTCCTTGAGGAATGAGGAAATGGTCAGGGAAGGGAGGACTGGAGAGGCAAGCAGGTAGAAAGGGTATCTACGCATATACATAGTATTGTTAATTATGTACGTAGTATTGTCTATTATGTTGTATTATAAGGTAAATAAATGTATTCTTCCATTAGTTGTAGTGAATGCATTTTAAATAAGTAATTTTGGAAAAGTTTAAAAGCATTTTTAATAGACATGACGGGAAATTTCTCCATAGATGCTTATATAAACTTCATGAAACAGTCTAATGAACCAACACCTTCATCAAATTCTTTTAGCACTTTGAATGTATCAGCTCACTGCCTGCTGAACTCTGGGGTTCCTGAAGAGACATCTGTTGATAATCATATTGATTATTGCTTATATGTAACAAGTCATTTTTCTCTTGCTACTTTCAATATTCTCTCTTAAGAGTTTCGATTTTTGGCCAGGCATGGTGGATCATGGCTGTAATCCCAGCACTTTGGGAGGCCAAGGCAGGTAGATCACTTGTGGTCAGGAGTTCTAGACCAGCATAGCCAATATGGTGAAACCCTGTCTCTATTAAAAATATAAAATTAGCTGGGTGTGGTGGCAGACACCTGTAATCCCAATTACTCAGGAGGCTGAGGCAGGATAATTGCTTGAACCCAGAAGGTGGAGGTTGCAGTGAGCTGAGATTGTACCACTGAACTCTACCCTGGGCAACAGAGGGAGATTCTGTCTCAAAAAAAAAAAAAAAAAAGAGTTTCTGTCTTTTGACAATTTGGTTATGTGTCTTGGTGTGGATCTCTTTGTGTTTATCCTTCGTAGAGTTTGAATTTTTAGATATTTATATTCATGTTTTTCATCAATATAAATTGATGGGGGAGTTTTGGGCCATTATTTCTTCAAATAGTCTCTCTGCCTTTATCTCTCTTCTGTTCCTTTTGGGACTCCCACAATCATATGTTGGCCTGCTTGCTGATGTCCAAAAGCTCCCATAGACTGTTCACTTTCAATCCTTATTCTTTCTGCTCCTAAGTTTGATGATTTTAATTGTCTTATCTTTAAGTTCTCAGATTCCTTCTTCTGCCTTTCAATTCTGCTTTCAAATCTCTCTAGTATTCTTTTCAATTATTCTTTTTAGCTCCAGAATTTCTTTTGGTTCCTTTTTATTTTTTCTATCTCTTTATTGCTATTTCCATTTTGTCCATACATCATTTTCTTGTTTTTCCCTATTTTTCCCTTCAGTTCTTTGAGCCTCTGTAAGACACTCATATTAAAGTCTTTGTCTAGTAGATCTGCCATCTGGTCTTTCTCAGGGAAGGTTTCTGTTTATTTTTTTTTCCTTTGAATGAATCATACTTTCCTGTTTCTTTGTATGCCTCGTAACTTTTTTAGGTCAAAAACTGGACAGTTGAGTCTAATGTCCGATTAGATTGGACAATAATATGGTAACTCTGGAAATTAGCTTGTCCCCTTTCCATAGAGCTTGCCATGTTTTGTTCTTATTTTTGATGGTTGTAGGCTATCTCTTTACCAAGGATCAGCCATACATGTAAGCTTAACATCTTCCTAGGCCTTTTCTGAGCCTCTGCTTTTCCCTGGGCATGCCTGGTGATTTTCTAAATTCTCCCATATATACAGTTGCTTTTGAATGTCTGGCTCCCAAAAGGGAAAAGGGGGAAAAATAAAAGAGAGTAAAACAGGCTGTGACCCTTTAAATCTCCTGGAAGCTGTTTCAACTCATGGTGGTTGCAACAGTGGCTGCCTGTCTGGGTATCTGCACGTCTGTCATCAGAAGCAGTCAGTAATCAGAGCACAGATCCCCAGTATTTGGAAGACAAGGTCCTTATAGCACCCCTGCGCCCTCCAGCTCCTTCAAGCTCTGTGCCTGCTGCTCTAGGCATACATGCACATTTACCTGCCATGAGGCTGGAGGAGTGGGGGATGGGAAGCCTCTACCAGGCTAAGAGCTGACATTATCCGAATTGACTTTGATATGCCATCCATGCCTTGCCCTGGAAAATGCAGGCTCTAAAATACACTTGAGAATTCCAAAGCAGTTACACTGGATGGGTTCTGCCAGTGCCATTGCCGTCTAGGTGGGAAGATGGATTCCTGGGGCGTCCTGCTCTGCCATCTTACCTGATGTCACTTCTTTCTTTATTCATATGGTTTAGAAATTTTATTTTACTTTAAATACATTTATGGCAAATACAGGAATATTTCACTTTAAATTTGCTTTTACCCATTGTTATGAATGCCTTTATATAATTGATAGTTATTTGGATTTTTCTTCTCTTTTGTCTGTTTATAGCTTTGGCCTATTGTTTACCTCTGTTAGGGAAACTGAATATTTTTTTTTAAATGATGACAAATAAATAAGCAAAGGATATTGACAAATATAAAAATGGCCCACCCTTTACAGTTTTCATAGACAGGTAAATTAAAACAGCAGGATGGTATCATTTATACCCTTTAACATAGAAGGAAAATAGAAAACAATGGCAAAGCTATGTTGAAGCTGATCTGTTCCAACTCTGTTGGTGACAGCAGCCCAGCTTGCCCAAGCAACTAAGCTACACAAATATTTATATCCTTTGTTCTGAAGTTCTTCTTAGACTTTAACTTGAGAAAATTAAAAAGAAATACCTGTGGGCACACATAAATTCATTGCAGCACTGTTTATAATTATAAAAAAATGGAAACAACCCAAATCTCCAAGCAACAAGAATCTGGCTTAGCTCAACGAAGTACAGTCTCCTCAACAGAAAGCTTCACAGTCATTTAAAGCAGATATCACACATCATTCAAGAAACAGTCTCATGTGAGACCTTCACAGTCTATAGTGTCCTGTGAAAGCAGACTGGAGACCCAGGACTGCTTGTAATTCAACTACGTAAAAGCCCTTTTGCATATGGCTGAGGAATGCGGGGAGACCAAGAATTGGTGGGGGAGACATCGGGTGCATAGGGTGAGAGGTTTGCAGGTGAGCCCCCTGCTCCAATGTCTATGATTTTCATAATGTTAATTAAGCAATTAAAAATACAAAGAGGAAAAAAAAGGGGGTTGAGTCTGTGGGAAGAGGAAATAGGCAAGCTACAAATTCACCATAAAACAACAACATCTGATGAGGAAATTCAATTAGCTACTTCTACAAATTGTTGATGGGAAACACTGGGCGGGCTGCTGTCCTGACCTGGGTGGAGAGGAAGCAGGCTAGCTGGCTGGGCAAAGGTCTCAGCTACATGAGATGTGGTCTTGAAGACCCCGGAGGGCCCTGGGGGCCCATTCTCCTGACAGCAGCCCAGCTTGCCCACTTCTTGATGAGGAAGTGACCATCATCTTCAACTGCTGGTCACTGGGTCCTGTATATGGACCCCTGAGGGAGGACATTGACAGTCACAGCACATGCCACCTGCCCTGGATGAGTCCCTGGTCTTCCCTTGAAACTTAATGACATGAGGCTGGGTGTGTGTCTGTCACTGCTGTGAGAGCCTCTTGATTCTTTTCTATGACCTCCAATTTCCGTAGAAATGGGGGAAGAAGAGAATCAGGGTAAAATGTACACTGTTAAGGATCCACAGCAGGAGACACGACCTGGTGCTTCCTGCAAATCTCACTGACATCACATCTGCAGGTCTAGGGAGCAGAGGTCCAGGGAGCCATCGCTCAAGGTCACAGAGGTCATGACTTACAGCCATAGGCTCCTGAGAGCACCCTTGGCAGCAGGCTGACTCCTGGCCCAGCCACCCCAGCCTCCAATGCTAGAGGGGAGCAGAGAGGGTCACTGTATGGGCCTAATTCTGGGCTGTGCACTTTCCTCTCCCCAGCACCAGGACAAAGAGCCCAGGACACAGGAGCTTCTAATGCTGTAGCCCTCAAAAGTCAAGGGAAGGCTTCCCAGATGCTGAAAAGATCCCTCACTCCAGAGACAGACACCTAGTGCCTTTGCCTGAAATGAAACCATTAGCTTTTAATTTACATACTCAGCCAAGCCTGGCGTTCAGTCTATTAAACTCACTCCTTTTTTCCTTTTCTTTATTTTTCTTTTATTTTTTTTTCTTTTCTTTTTGAGGCGGAGTCTCGCTCTGTTGCCCAGGCTGGAGTGCAGTGGCTGGATCTCAGCTCACTGCAAGCTCCGCCTTCTGGGTTTATACCATTCTCCTGCCTCAGCCTCCTGAGTAGCTGGGACTACAGGCGCCCGCCGCCTCGCCCGGCTAGTTTTTTGTATTTTTTTAGTAGAGACGGGGTTTCACAGTGTTAGCCAGGATGGTCTCGATCTCCTGACCTCGTGATCCGCCCGTCTCGGCCTCCCAAAGTGCTGGGATTACAGGCTTGAGCCACCGCACCCGGCCTTTTTTCTTGTTTTTGAAAGAGAAGTTTTTAAAAGCCCTCCTAGACTTTTCCCATTTCTGGCTCAGGAGAGGTCTGAGGGTGCCCAGCGCAGAAGCTCCTGTGGCCAAGCACTTTACAACAAGCCACAGCCTGGGCTTGGGGGGCCCAGAGCCGCCAGCCCCTCCCACTCCACTCTCACTCTCTACCCCAGGGTCTTAGCTCCTGCTCTGCCCTCCTCCCGAATGACTTTCTCCCTTGCTGTCCTCAGAGCTGCCTTGGAGCTTTGGATAAAGAGTCCCTCCCACTCCCAGCCCCAGAGGGGCCTCCATCGCTGCCTGGCCTAAATCAGTCACACACATGAGCACGCCCACACACACAAACACGTGAGCATACACACACACACGCACATACACACTCATACACATGCCCTCCATCACTCTGTCTCTCCCTCTTGTTCCCTTCTTAGCACAAACTACAACCTGCAATTATTTTATGCATTTGTCTGTCTACAGGATCTCCTGCCTGTTCCCTGTCTGCAAAGCCCACGGGAGCAGGATCCTGGGGCTTCTGATTCACAGCACGGCCTCCTAGCACACATCCTGGTTTATATTTGGTGCTCAGTAAATACATGTGGAGGAAGGGAAGGTTCATCTGCTTCTCAGCTATGCATGTGTGACAGAGATCTTCAGAAGGTGTCATCCCAATGTCCTCAAGAGGGAGGTGTGGCATGAGGCTGGGCTGGCTCACCTAGACCTCAGTTTGAGATCTGCCTTTGTTTCTAACTAGCTGTGTGATCTCAGACAGGTTACTGCCTCTCTGAACTTCCATCACCTCCCCTGGTAGTTGGGAATAATATATTAACAGCAGGGAGAGAGGCCCCAAGGCAGGGGCAGGGGCAGAGTTGGGAAGTCCCCAGCTCCCCTGGTCCCCCTTCTTTGCCTTCCGAAGCAAGGGAAAGACAATAGCATTAACTGAGCACCTACTGTATGCCAGGCAGCATACTAGGTGGCTGGAATGCAGAGGTGAGTACAGCAGAGATCATCTCCACCCCAGCAATGTCAGAGGAGAGCAGGAGATGGACACTGGATGGAGGCGTCCCTGGCACTCTGGGCACCAGCAAGGAGAAGAATGGGATGGGACCAGAAGACAGACGCCTGGGCTTGCCTGGGGGGCCATTAGCAAGCAATATTTCTCCTGAAATACCACATGTGCAAGAGTTCCGGGGAAAGATGAACCAGGCAGAGGGAAGAAGCTGGCAGAGGCCTAGGATGAAGCTGGGCACAGCTGAGTCTGGAAGGGCTGGGTGGGCTGGAATGGAGTGTGTGAGGGGCGAGTGGCTGGAGGAAGTGTGGCCATACTGTTCTTGTCCATCCTGACCTGGAACCACCAAGCACCTGTGTGTGAGTCCTGTTGCCCCACGAGTCAGGATAGGCTTAGGGCCTGGCCACTGGGCCAGGCAGAGTGGGGAGCACCTTACCTTTGGCAATGCATACTTTGGCAGCTTCATCAGGACAAATTCATTGCGGCGATAAGAGACATAGTATTTTGTCCGGTTTGCTGATGTTACCTAACAGGGGGAAGAAACACAGTTTTGAGAAGCTTGATTCCCTCTCCAGCCAGAGTCTCATGAATGGAAAACTACATATTATATTCAGCAAGTGAAAATGCCCCTTTACTTTGCTTATACCTGTTCTGCTTGAAATGAGCAGACTCCTATTCATCCTTCAAAGCCCCACATTAACACCACTCCTCTGGGAAGTCGTCCTCTGCTTCCTTCAGTCAGAACTAACTTCTTTCCCCATGCTCTCTCTTTGCCTTGTTTCTCTGCATCCAACTTATGGAACAAGGTGGAAAAAGTTCCAGTGGAGAAGGAGACAGGCCAAAGATGAGCTCATCACCAAAGGTGACCACTGAACTTCGAGGCGTGACAAACAAAGCTGGCACCATCCTGAGTGCTTTTCCCGGGCAGCTCATTTGATTCCATAACAATCAACCCCATTAACTGTGGCTATGGACATCTGTTCCCAGAGACAGAAAGGCCCTTCAGGACAGGACCGTGGCAGGTCTCTGATCACAGAGGCCACGGATCCTCACTGCCACGGAACCGGAGGTGCAGCCTCCTGAGCCACCAGCACTGCCACCTTGTTGGTGGTGAGGTGGGGCTGGAATGGCTGAGGTTTCTCGCATCCCAGCACAGGCTCCCGGATCCTCTGAGAAGGAGGGTGGGAGGAGGGAGGAAGGGAGAGGGCAGGGGAGGCCGGGGCTGGGGCAGGGAGAGCTTTCCTCTGCAGTTGAGAAAGATGGAAACCAGGGTAGAAACTGGATGGAGCCAGTGGCCCCCCCTTCTCCTGCCCCTCACAATGTCGTGAGCACCAACACCAGACAAGCTCACTGTGACCTTGTGCAGAATGAGACCATCTGAGACCACCCCACGATCGAGTCCGAACACAGACCAGATGTGAATGTCGTTCAAACCTCCAAGACGCCCAGACACCCACCCTGGCTGAGATGAGCAAGGGCTGCTACTTTACAGCCCGGCTCCTGCCTCCCCTGAGGCTCCCACTCCCCCAAGTCTCCCGCCCCGCCGAGTCTCCCGCCTCCCCTGAGTCACCCCTCCCTCTAGAGAAGATTGAGACGCCCGATCCTAGCAGGACCTCATGTCCTCACATCCCCCAATCCAGAGTCACGCCCGGCTTCCTTGCAGCCCCCACAAATCACCTCCTGCAACCCACACCTGACAATCAGGCCCTTCTAACCCCTCGGAGACGCTCAGGTTCCTCAGGGCATGTGTTCCCGCTTGCTGCACTGAGTGACAACCCAGCCTGCTCCTCCATAGGTGAGCTCCGGGGGTCTTAGGCTGCAGGGATTTGACAGGCCAGCGGGTCTAATGTTTAGAAACCATTCAACATGGGAGATGGTTGCCCAGAGAGCTGACACTGTCTTTGCTCTAGTACTTAGTGAACATCCGCAGAAATGTAATGCTAGGTGCTGGGAAAGCAGGTGGTGGGTTCAGACCTAGAACCCAGCCTCAGTTTGCCTGAGTCAGGTGTAGAGACAAAAATGGTACGGAATGACACAGTGGGGCCTGGGCTGTGACGGAGGAAGGCACAGGGCTGGGGGTCCTCAGAGGAGGCACCAGTGAGCCTGAAGTGGAGGCAGAAGACTTCCTGGAGGAGGAAGTGCATGATTGAGTCTTCGGGAAGGAGCAGGAATCAGCCCGCGGAGAAGCGAGGCACAGCACAGGGAACGGTGTGAGCAAACGCACAGACTGAGGATCAAAAGCCAGGGGCTGGGCTCAGTAGAGAGCAGTGGAGACTGGGCAGGGCTGAAGGTCAGTGCTGGTGGCGGCAGAAGCCTCTTGTCTGGCCTGCTTTAACAGTGGGGGCTGGGATGCCCATGCCTGCCCTGGCACCCAACTCCATGGTGGCCCTTGGCACAGAGTGTAGAGTGGGGAGCTGGGGTGATCAAGGGTGGCTGAGACAGGGCAAGGAGGTGGCTGGGGAGCACGGAGGGCCTTCTGGGGAGAGGGCACCCAGCAGCTGCCCTCAAGGGGCTTTCTTTGGGGAAACTTTGGACTTGTTTTACAGGATCCCAGAGGGCAGAACGGACCCAGTGGATGGGAGTCCGATGAAGCAGACTCTGTCTCAGGGCCAGAAGAAATAGGCCAGTGACTGGGGCTACTCAGCAGAGGGCTAGTCTGTTTCAGGGATGCTGAGTTCCGCATCCATGAAGGTGAAGAAAAGCTGGATGGATTGGTTGTGTGCTAGAGTTTCTGAATTAGCTGGGACCACGTGGCTGCTGAGGGTGGGCCCACTTGTGACCTGAGGGCACAGGCAGCAGGGTCCTGGTCACAGGGCTGTGGACAGCTGGTGCCTGGCGGCCAAGAGCCGGGACCAGAAGCAGTCCTGGTCAGTTCCAAAGTCGCTGATAAAGCCAAATGGGGCTAAATGGGCTTAGGTCTGGGGACCCTGAGTGGCTGGGAGGTTCATGGTGGCCAGAAGGGAGGTGGAGCCTCCGTGTCCCTGAGCCCCAGTGCTGGGTTTGTGGGGGCTTCTGTGGATGCCTGTAGCCACAGCTACGGTCAGAAACCGTGACCTGCAAAGTAGCACTCGAAAGTGAAATACCCGTTTTATTGCCTCTTTTCTGAGCGATTCCATTTTGGCTGCGGGCGGCTCATCCGCCACGTCGCCTATTGCCAATTTCCCAAAGTTCCGGAAGCAACTTTACCTTAAAGAAGATGTAATCGTCCTGCACGGTCAGAGACCCGTGGTCAATGGGGCCTGCGAACGGGGCTGCCAGCAGCTTCTCGGAGCAGTTGTGGATCGGGCAGGTGACGTACCGAAAACCTACAGGAGAGAGGCGCCGGCCCAGGCAGTCAGACTCCAGCCGGAGCCAGAGACAGCCCAAGACATGTGCTGGGCTCCATCCTCCTCCAGCACCACTGCGGTGCGGCTTCGTGGGTTGAATTCTAAAGGCCACGGCGATGACACCTGCGGCCGAGGGTGTCATCCTGGACTGTGGGCCACCTGCACTCTGACATGAGCTCCTTCAACCCTCAGGAAGGTGTTCGTGCTACTCTGGAGCCTGCCATCTCCTGCAGGAGGGGTCAGCACAGCTGACGGTGGGCACCTCACCATGCCCAGACATGCACGGCCGCCACACCCTCCTGGTCTCTCACACCTGAGCAGGGGTGAGGGCGGGTGGCGCTCAAGGGTTCTTTTTCTCAAAATTTTAAGCAAATGCTTCTACCCTTTTCCACATGTTTATGGTTGAGCAATACTGAATGCATGCTTTGCCAGGGAGCTGCTGATTTTAAGTCCTTCTGTTTCCCCAGGGCAAATTTATGTGGAGGGGCTGGAGCCTGGAGGCCGAAGGAAGCTCTGGGTTCCAGCTTGTGAGCCAGGAGCAAGATTTATCCAAAGGGACCAAGGGAAGGGCACCTCCTCCTCCTCCTCTCCGTCTTCCTCGCCCTCCTCCTCTACCTCTTCCTCCTCCTCCTGCCTCTGGCCCTGGGTGATCGGCAGCATGGAGAATGGTTAAGGGAAGGGGTTTAGGAACCAGAAAGGCCTACCCCTAAGCTCAGCCTCAGCTTTCTGCACTGAACAATGGGGTAGGCCTACCTGTTCAGGCTGTTCCAAGGAGGCAGAAGGCAGTGTACACAGAGGGTACGTGGGCAGCAGCACCAGGCCACTGCCAAGCCCTCCTGAGCCACGCCCACATTCCTTTGAAACTGCGTGGTGTGCCCTGCGCTCAACACTGAACTTCCTACAGCTGGAGATGCAGTGAAATGACTAGCTCAGGGGCATGCTCAGTTGACAATCTACTGACTCACTCACTCATTCACCCGCTCACTCACTCACTTATTCACTCGTTCACTCATTTACCCACTCATTCACTCATTCACTCACTCATTCACCCACTCACTCACTCATTCACCTGCTCACTCACTCACTCACTCGCTCACTCATTTACCCACTCACTCACTCACCTACTCACTCACTCATTCACTCACTCATTCACCCACTCACTCACTCACCTACTCACTCACTCATTCACTCACTCATTCACCCACTCACTCACTCATTCACCTGCTCACTCACTCATTCACCCGCTCACTCACTCATTCACTCGCTCACTCATTTACCCGCTCACTCATTTACCCTCTCACTCATTCATCTACTCACTCATTCACTTACTCACTCATTCACTCACTCATTCACCCACTCACTCATTCACCTACTCACTCACTCATTCACTCACTCATTCACCCACTCACTCACTCATTCACCTGCTCACTCACTCACTCACTCATTCACCTGCTCACTCACTCATTCACTCGCTCACTCATTTACCCACTCACTCATTCACCTACTCACTCACTCTTTCACCCACTCACTCACTCATTCACCTGCTCACTCACTCATTCACCCGCTCACTCACTCATTCACTCGTTCACTCATTCACCCACTCACTCACTCATTCACCCACTCACTCATTCACCTACTCACTCACTCACTCATTCACTCACTCATTCACCCGCTCACTCACTCATTCACCCACTCACTCACTCATTCACTCGCTCATTCACCTACTCACTCACTCATTCACTCACCCATTCACCCGCTCACTCACTCATTCACTCACTCATTCACCCGCTCACTCACTCACTCATTCACTCGCTTACTCACTCACTTGCTCACTCATTCACTCATTCATTCACTAACTCAATCACTCACTCATTCACTAACTCGATCACTCACTCATTCACTAACTCGATCACTCACTCATTCACTAACTCGATCACTCACTCATTCACTCACTCACTCAATCACTCCTTCACTCATTTACTAACTCATTCACTCACTCACTCATTCACTTACTCACTTATTCACCTGCTCACTTACTCACTCACTCGCTCACTCATTCACCCACTCACTCATTCATTCACCCACTCATTCACCTACTCACTCACTCACTCATTCACTCACTCATTCACCCGCTCACTCACTCATTCACCCACTCACTCACTCATTCACTCGCTCACTCATTCACCCACTCACTCATTCACCAACTCACTCACTCATTCACTCACTCATTCACCTGCTCACTCACTCATTCACCCACTTACTCACTCACTCATTCACTTGCTTACTCACTCACTTGCTCACTCACTCATTCACTCACTCGATCACTCACTCATTCACTAACTCGATCACTCACTCACTCAATCACTCCTTCACTCATTTACTAACTCATTCACTCACTCACTTATTCACCTGCTCACTTACTCACTCATTCACTCGCTCACTCATTCACCCACTCACTCACTCGTTCACCTGCTCACTCACTCATTCATTCTTTCAATTACTCACTTATTCAGTCACTCACTCATTCAATCACTCATTCACTCACTCATTCACTCAATCATTCCTCACTCACTTACCTATTCACTCACTCGCTCCTCCCTTCACTCACTCACTCACTTACCTGTTCTTTCATTCATTCCCTCACTCACTCACTCATTCATCCATCCCACCATGGTCAGGCTCTCAGTGTTCCAGGCCTAGAGCCAACACAACAAACCAGGGCCACCTCTCAGGCTGACGGGTTGTGTGCTGGGTATAGTAGCCCTGATGATAGTGCTTGCCAATTTCTGTGGTATAAATACTCCCACATGGGCATGCAGGAGCCACCTAGATGAAATTGGTGAACATGGAGTTGAAAAGAGCTGTGAACAGTGGGTGTTTATGATCCAGGGCCAGCGGAAGCTCTGGAAAGGGCAGACAGCTAACCCTGACAATGTGGTGTGATGCGGGCGTGAGTCTTTCTCTCTGTAGCACGTTATTTTGCAACATTTTGCCCAGTGGGCTACTCAGGGGCAACCCTGGCATCTGGCTTATTCATTCAGCAGCCTTACTGGGGACACAGGTGATCAGTAGCCCCAACTGGTACTCAAGGAGCTGCAGGTCCTGGAGAGTGTGCAGAGCTGGGATGATGGAGCCCAGCAGAGGTGGCTGGCAGGGTGTGTGAGGTCAAAGGTAAGAAATTCCAAAAGGAAGAAGCATTCCCAGTAGGGATGGAGAGAGGTGCACCAGCCAGGACCTTGTGACCCCAGGCAAACCTGGACTGCCTCTGAGCTGTGTTGTCCTGGTTATCAACACAGAACAGTAATGGTACTGGCCCCGCCTGCCTGAGTGTGGCAGGGTGGGGGTGGGGAGGGGTGAGGGCCATGCCTAGCAACTGACCCTGCCCCTGAAAGCTTAGCCATGGGGACCACGCCCAGCAGCTGACCCTGCCCCCGAAAGCTTGGCCGTGATGATCCCGTGTTGAGAACTCTGCATTCACTTATTTTATATCACTATCCATTTCACAGGCCAGGAGACTGGGGTGACTGGCCTGAGGTTGGCCAGCAGCAGGACTGAGAGCTGACGCCTGCATTTCTGTTCTAATGGTGACACATCCTGGCTCAGGTGATCCTGCACAGAGGATGTCTCTGCGGGGGCTCAGCTGCTCTGCCCTCCTCAGAGCACCCTCCTGTCACACAGCATGCACGGCCCTGGGCAGGAAGTTGGCTGGGTCCAGGTGGGCAGGCCCGTACCCCCACCCCTGCCCCCGACCTCCACACTTTGCACATGCCGGGGGTCGCGGGCTGAGTGAGTGGGAAACACTCAATGCTCAGGAGCCAGAATAAATCGCCCTCTTAATAGACTTTTCCACTGGAGTGGAGCTCCTTGACTTCCATTCATCCCCAGCTGGAAAACAAGCACATTTAAAATCATGCCACATCGAGACGCAGTGAGGCCGCCTGTGTAGGGCCAGCCACTGGGGACGAGCGACTGAACACAGGCGCTGCCGAGCTGTGTCGGGCGCGAGGTGACTCAGGGCTGCCTGGTGCCCGTGCACTGCCCGGCTTACCTCCACCGAGGTCCTGGGCTTCCATGTGGACCAAGTCAGGGTCAGCGTCCACCCCAGACACAGCCCTGGAAAAGAAGAGCCGAGACTGGGGTCGGGAATGGAGTCACTGTGCCCGTCCCCCAGCAGCTCCCCACACCCCATGCAGCCATGTGGCCTCCCTGGCTCTGAAGCCACACTTGCTCTTTGGGTTGGAGGGCGTCACCTCCCCGGGACCCCACCTGCTCCTGGGATGCTTGGAGTCTCTGTGTCTTCCTTGCATGAGCTGAGGGGGTTGGGTTTCTTCCTGTCATGGAAGTGTTTGTAAAAGACTTTCTCCTTCATAAAAGATTTTCACATTGCTTTTTCATTGTTGTTTGTTTTGTTTTATTTTGATCATCTAAAATGACTGCAGGAGGCAGGTAGGCCTGGGACTCCCATCCTATCCGAATTTTATAAATACGGAAATTGTGGCTCAGAGAAGCCTGGCTTGAATCCCAGTGGTAAGGGCTGACCTGGGATTCAAGCCAGGCTCACCTGAGCTGTTGCTCCGTCTCCTGCTTCCCATGACCTGGTCAAGTGTGCCCTTGGGAAGATTCCTCTCTCAGCCATCGGCTCTCCCCTAGTGCTGCCTCCAAGGACTGGCCTGAATCCTTTCATGAGGGGGCAAAGGCTCCAGCGAGAGGAACGCATCACTCGACAGTTTGCACCAGGCTGTCCCCACACACGGGCCTGGACCATGCAGATGAAGGCAGGTGCCTTCATCTGCATTCATAGGTGACCCCACTAGGGCCAGGACGGGCCTCTGACTTGCCTGAGGCAACATGGCTCAGACTAGGGCAGTCCCAGGCTCCTGCCCAGGTCTGCTTGATCCCAAAATGCATGCTCTCCTCAGACCCCACACACTGCCCTGCTCACAACTAAGGCCTTCTCCTAATGCCACGAGTCCAGATGTCCCATCGGTTATGGGACTCTGCTTCCTTTGGGGGTGGTCCCAGCTTCAGAGAAGCCGTGATGGAAATGCGAGAGTTTTCCCAAGTGGCTGAGTTCCATAGACATCTCTAAGAGCCCGGTGGGACAAACCTACTGTGTACAAGGCCCGCTGCAGGCCCTGGGGACAGAGATAAAGGAGACACTGCGGTTGCCCTGTGAGCTCCTGGGTCAGGACACTCAGGCTGGGGCTGTGGTTCTCCTACTCCACCCTCAATCCACCCACAACCCATCCCTGCCCGACTCCTCTCCCCATTTCACTGCCCTGCTGGGTGAAGTCTTTAACTGGGTGGGAGGGGAGGGAGGAAGCTTCTGTCTTTAGAGGCAAAGCCAGGTCCTGAGTCTGTGCTGCACACAGCATGTCACTTGAACTCATTTAATAGCTCCATTTAGTGGCAGGTGCTCAGGTACAGGGAATGTCCTAGGTGCCGTAGTTGCCTCATCTCACTTACCTTGAATGATCGCAAATGGTTTGGTTATACCCATTTTACAGATGAGGAAACCAAGGCCCAGACAGGTGAAAACAGATCAAAGCTCATACAGCTAGCAGAGCCAGATCCACTACCCAGGTGCTGCCACTCCCAAAGCAACATCTTTTCATCACACAGGTTGCCTCCTGGCTTTACACAGCACGGTGCATGAAATAATGCAGTGAAGGGATAGTGGTGGGGAGGAGGAGTACAGTTGCCCCATCCTCAGTGCAGAGCCTCAGCTGGAGTCTACACATGCCCTGGCCCCTTTGTCCAAGGCCCTCCCCTGTGCTGTCACAGACTGTCCACCTGCATGGGGCTGCCTGGAGGTGGAGAGCCTCACTTGCCCTCTTGGACACTCTCCCCTGGCTGTTCCGGTAATTACTCTGGCAGCAATTCTGCCTTGAATTTATACAGTACTTGTCCTCTCAGTGCTGAAGAGCCAGGACAAGGCTGCTGCTCCAGGTTGGCAAGTCTGAAAGCCTCGCCTTTGAGGGACATCCAGCCATCCATTCACCACCTGGCTCACAGGGGTTCTGTGAGGGGCCAAGCCTATGAAGCACCTGGAATGAGGCCTGAGAAGGGACAGAAGACATGTCCCACGGTCACAGCTCCACAGGCTGGTCCTCCAGGGAAGGCAGGGATGGGGTCCAATTTTGGTGCCACATCCAGCATATGCCTGACATCCAGGGGAGTGCAGATTTTTTTTTTTTTTTTAAATGAAAGGAACCTTAGTGAGGATCTGGTCCAGGGTTTCTCAAACCAAGCATCACATCCCATCTCCCAGATTTCACCATCTCCACGTGCCCACTGAACTGTCATCTACCTGCCACTTTCTTCACACTAAAAACTGCCACCTGCTTTAGCCTTCTGCGAAGCAAGACTCCCTGGGATCTCCTGGATTTGGCGGCTGGTCATGTTTGTTATCACACACATTCCAACTAATATGACTGTTAAAGTCGCTTACCCATTTACCACAGCAGTCCCTCTCATGGACCCTTTGCCCAAGAGCAAACTGAGCCTCAAGATGAGGAAGTCACTTCCTGGTGTCAGTGGCCACTCAGCGCTGGGGGCAGGAGCACCCCCATAACCGGCTTGCAAGTTGTGGAGATGTCTCAGGCAGAGTGCCCAGTCCCCCCGTGGCCTCTCCCCATCACTGACAGTTTCCCACCCAGACCTGGCCCCATTTGCTTCCCAAACTTCCTCTCAACCTGCCTGGCACCAGGATCCCCATTTGCTTAACCTTCTCCAGGGACCAGGTCCACCCAAGTGGCCCCAGGTGGACAGGGGACATCCATAAATGGGTTTGAATGGTACAGACCCCACAGATGTGCCATGTGGCGGGAGCCAGCTAGGACTCCCCCGTAGTCTCTTGAGATTTCAAACACAGGGGCACCAGCATCAATCATTCTGACCCTAGGTAAAGAGATCTCCCTTTCAAGGTGGAGTGTTGATTTCGGCTTTTGTGAATAGACCGTTTGTAAGCTCCTTGGAAAGGAGGTCTCAGGCCTGACATTGCTCTCTCCTGAATACAGACAGGCATTGTTCCCTTCAGCAGCAGACCCTCCACCAGCAATATGGAATTTTAGCCTCATCATCCATCATCTGTGAAGCAGGGCAACGACACCTGGGGCACAGGCTCCCTCTGCCCTCACTCATTCACTCACCCACTCACCCAATCACAGACTCACTCACTCACCTGCTCACTCATTCAGTCATTCACTCACCCAATCATAGACTCACTCACTCACCCGCTCACTCATTCAGTCATTCACTCACCCAATCATAGACTCACTCAACTCACCCGCTCACTCATTCAGTCATTCACTCACCCAATCATAGACTCACTCACTCACCCGCTCACTCATTCACTCAGTCACTCACTCAGCCACTCAATCACAGACTCGCTCAGTCACCCACTCACTCACTCACTCACTCACTCATTCACTTACTCACAGACTCACTCATTCACTCACTCACTCATTCACTCACTCAGTCACAGACTCATTCATTTAACTACTCAGTCACAGACGCACACACTCACCCACTCACTCACTCACTCAGTCACTCATCCACTCACTCGCTCACTCAGTCACTCACTCATTCATCCACTCACTCAGTCACTCAGTCACTCACTCAGTCACAGACTCACTCACCCAGTCACTCATTCACTCACCCAGTCACAGACTCACTCACTCAGCCACTCACTCATTCACTCAATCACAGACTCACTCAGTCACTCATTCACTAATTACTCAGTCACTCATTCACTCACTCACTCATTCAGTGACTCACTCATGCACCCACCCACTCATTCACTCACTCATTCATTCACTCATTCACTCACTCACTCATTCATTCACTCTTTCATTCTCTCAATCACACATTCAGCTATTTACTCGTTCATTTACTCATTCACTCATTCATTCATTCTCTCACCTACTCATTTATTCACTCACTCATTACTTCACTAACTCATCACTCACTCAGTCACTCATTCATTCCCTCACTCACCCTCAGTTATTTACTCATTCATTTACTCACTCAGTTGTTACTCATTCACTCATTCATTCATTACCTCACTAATTCATCACTCACTCAGTCATTTACTCATTCATTTCCTCAGTCACTCACCCTAAACATTCATTCATTTACCATGTTTGTTCCTTTAGTCTCTTGCTCTGAGCACTTCCCACAGCCATTTCTCAGTGTACTGGCGAAGGCCCTGGGCTAGACACTGGTGTACAGGTGGCCTGAGGCCTGGTCCCTGCTCCAGGCCCTTCAGTCATGGGTTTTGAAGACTCTCTTAGACTCTGCACTTATAACATCTCAGATAGAGCCCCACTCCCCACAGGAAATGGCGAGCCTGACACACAGGCCTTCTTGCTTGTCAAGGTCTCCACTGCTTAGAAGCGGCAGGCCTGTGAGATGGCCCGGGGCAGGCAGTCCTCAGAGAGTGAGTGTTTTGGGGGAGGTGGGAACTGACTTTCACCCCATTTGTGCTGTGGGCAGCTCCAGTGCAAATAGTTCTGTTAAGCCCTGAAAGGTGTGATAACCACGGCTGTAGTGGGGAGACCTCCACCTCTTCCTTCTATGGACAGAGGCCCTGCCACCCCGTGCCCTGCACCCTGGAGCTAACAGAGAGGGAAGCTGAGGCTTCCCCTGGGTGAGTATGGGGCTGAGCAAGGAGGCAGATGCAGGAACACCCGGTGAAGCCCAGGCCGCCAGACCACCCAGTAGAGTGGGTAAGGGCCACAGGCCACAGCCAGGGGTGGACCGAGGCTCAGGGCTGCAGCTTGGGGGCAGCAGGACCTAGAATGTGGGCCCGAGCCTATCCGAGCCTCATTTCCCCGCTGTGACATGAGACCTAGATGCATGCCCGAGCCTCAGTTCTTCCCTGTGACGTAAGGGGGACCCTCACGGGCTGCTGTGGGGATGCCGTGGAACGGTGCGTTCAGAGCCTCCATGCGCTGAACAGGGGACACTCAGTATTCAAAGCAGGGTGGCTGCGGGGCAGCTGCTGTTATGATTCTGTTCTGGGGCGTGGAGAGACTGAGGGCGGGTTCGGTGGGGGGGAGTAGGCGCCCGAGGCCCTATTTAGGAGGCAGCAGGTATCAGGGCACCTGGAGCTGCTCCCTCCCGCTTGCAGGCCCCTCTAATGAGCTTGCTGTATAGCCTCGCAAAATGTTAATGAGGCTGAGCTCAGACAGAACACGGGGCTTTGGCAGTTCCCGCTGTCAGTTCAAGGACAAAGAGCTCCTTGGAAATGCTGTCCAAAACAGCATTATTCACCGCTTACAAGGGGAGGGGGGCATCCCTACCACTGTCACCACGCTCCAGGAGAGATCCCGGGGCCATAGCGGCCAGTGTCTGCTGGGATTCCCTCGAATAACAGCAGGGAAACTTGGGGGAGGAAACAATTTGATTTGCCTGAGATAATAACACGTTTGAATTATCGCCAGTTTCCTTCTGGGCGCTGTGGGTCGGTGACTTTCTCTGGCTGGAGAGCTGTCCATGAACCCGGCCTGGCCTGCGAGTGAACAGAGCTCTGCCCATTCCCCAGAGCGACCCGGCTCCGAAGTCCCCCCTCCTGGCTCTGCTCCCCACCTCTGTGAGTGCTTAGGCCCAGGCGTCCCACCGCAGGGCAGCTCTGGCTCCTGACGGTTGACAGCAATGACAAGGCCAGTGATGGATGGCGGTGCTCTGGTTTCCAAGGGAAGAACCGGGCCCTCCTGTGGGGAGCCCGCAGACAGACAGCTGTCACCTCTCCCCATGAGCCAACGGTGTGTACACCAGCAGTCGGCATTCCAGAGGAAAAAGCCTTCTTTCAGCCTGTGGGGTGGCCAGGATGCCACAGTCTGTGTGACATTACAGACGGCCCTTGCCCACTCTGCAGTCAGCAACTTGAACTTCTTAATAATTTTGTCTTTAATTGGAGCTTTGGAAGGGAAGGCTGAGGGGCAAGAGAGCATATATAGGGCTGATAGCCCGGGTTCCGTCTCCAGCCCTGTGCCCTCGGGACAGGTACAAAGCCCTTTCCATGTGTTTTTCTGTTGGACAGACCGGGCTGTGGCCTGCGCAGGAGCCTGTGCAATGGTCTGTTCCACACGTGGGATAAGAGAAAGGCTAGCACTGTGTGTGTGTGTGTGTGTGTGTGTGTGTGTGTGTGTGTGTACACGCACAAGAAAGAGGGATGCCGTGGAATCAGCACATGAAGGAGCAGTGTGCGTCTGGAAAGGCAGTGTGACCAGAAGGATGGGCCGTGGCCCCAGCAGGAGAGTGGCGAGCTTGAGCTCTGCGCAGCTGCACTGGCTCCTGGCCCCGTGCTGCCGCCTGCGACCTCGGGCAAGCCCTCCTCTTCCGTAGCCCTCATGGACACATCCCACAGACATTTCTCAAGGAAAGCCGAGTGCCCCTCGTGCAGTGAGGCTGGGGTGCTGCCCAGGTGGCACACTGAGAGGCTCCCCTGAGGATGCACTCGAGAGGCCAGTACCCACCGTCTGAACTCAGAGGCCCCAGTGGCCCTTTGCCTGGGATGGGAGTCTCCTTTCTCTGGTCTGGCTCCCCGGGGTGGGGGCTTGTCTGGGGTATGACCCCAAACTCATCCTGCTCATTGGCACCCAGCAGGCGCCAGGAAGGGTGACAGGTTGAGCAATGGGAGGGGAGCCCCGGCGTGGATAAACAGGAGGGCAGGGCCGAGGCAGGCTGGGTCAGCACCCACGGGGTCTGTTAGTCAGGGGCTGAGCTGGGGCCTGGGGTTGGGTGGGGAGCACAGAGTGGTGGGCCGGGGACATGTGGACGTCAGCACCTCTCTCCACTGGGGAGGCTGTGAGGCTCGGGGAGGGAACAGCAGTGGCACAGGGCCACATAGCTGGTTCGTGAGTAAAAACGTGGCCTGAGGGACACCAACCCCTGGACTCTACCATTTCTGATACCACCCACTGCAGAGCAGGAAGAACGACTAGGGGGGTCCCCTGGGAGGAGGAGGGTATGGGGCTGCAGAAAGAGGCAGTGGATGGTGGGGACCCAGTCCTGGGCTGGGGAGGGTCCAGAGGAGGAAAGGGAGCTGCGGGCCCCCGTCGGGCTCCCAAGGATTTGGGGGAAGTGCTCTCAGCGGAGCTGCGGGCCCCACGGGTTCGGGGTGGGGCAGTGCTCTCACCAGAACACGTGGTCTTTGGTCACTCGCTCTTGCAGAAGTGTCCACTTTTTCCCCAAGTCAGATGACACGTAGAGCTTTAGGGCAGAAAAAGGAGAAACAAAAACTTGGTCAGGACGTCAGGAATCAGCTGCTTCTGAGAGACGGAGATGTCCCTGACACAGTGCATCCCCCAGGAGAAGTCAGCCTTGTCCAGCGGACATGCAGAGGTGCTGTGCTCATGTTGGGGTGCAGACCAAACCCCACTGCCTCCAGGAGGAACCATTCCTGTCCCCAGTCCAGCTGACAGGAGCCGGGAGATGAGGCTCCCCAGGATGAAATCCAGAGGGGTCTCACGGAGGAGGTGCATCTGAGCCTCGAAGCTGGGAGGGGCTTTATAATCCTGTGTCAGGATGCGAGGAAGGGCGTTTGGGAGGAAGGAGCCACGTGTTGCCAGGGCTGGAGCCGTGAACGGACGGCAGAACAGGACACAGCAGTGGCCCCGGGCAGGGGTGTGGCATCTGCTGCAGGGGTCAGTGCAGGTGCAGGTGGGCTGGGGCCTGACACCAGGGCCGGCCTCACAGCGTGTGACCAGTGCCACAGCCCAGGGACCTTGCTCAGAAGGGCCCCACACCTGGGGCTTAATTCTCTGCAGCCGCCGACTTGAACTTAATAATTGTGTCTTTAATTGGAGCTTTGGAAGTGAAGGCTGAGGGGGCAACAGAGCGTGTGTAGCGCTGATGGCCTGGGCTTCCTCTCCAGCCCTGTGCCCTCGGGATGGGTTCTCAGCCGCCTGTGCCCATGGTCCTATCTCCACACAGTGACCACCACGGACCTTGTCCCTGGTGAGTGCCAGGGCCAGGCCTGGGCCCAGGAAGGGGCAGGGGTGGGCGCCCTGAGCACTGTCTTGAGGCCAGCCCTGAGGGCCTGGGAGGGTGTCCCTGTGAGCCGGGGAGCACCATGTTAAATGGCTCATAAAGAATATGGTGACAGGCCCAGAGAGAGAGCACAGAAGAAAGGAAAAGCACTTTACCTGATGGTCAACATTTTTCACTTTGCACTGCACCCCGCAAATGACACAGCTGGCCCTGCCCCAAACCACCGGCCAAGGCTGGATAAGATGAGGCGCTCAGGGGCTCCGTGGCCAGACAGTGTTTCAGAGAACCCACACCAGAGGCTGTGGGTGGAGGCAGGGCGCCCTGAGGAGGCCAGGCCTGGGCCCAGCTGGGGGCGGCGGGAGGATGGAGAGGAGGACGGGGCTTGAGAGAGGCCTGTGCAGGCAACTTGACAGGTCCTCTGAGGGTGAGCAGAGCAGAGAGGGTGAGACGGTCCTTGGATCTGTGCCCTGGAACCTGGGAGGAGTGAATGGGGCCAGGGGTACTCAGGTCTGTGCCCTAGACCTGGGAGGACTGGACAGGGCCAGGGATACTCAGGGAGCCCACTCCTAGACCTGGGAGGAGTGAGCAGGGACAGGGGCGTCCTCGGGTCAGTGTCCCAGGCCTGGGAGGAGTGAATGGAGTCAGGGGGTCCTCGGGTCAGTGCCCCAGGCCTGGGGAGAAGGGAAGGAGCCAGCTGGTCCTCGGGTTCACAGCCAGGGCTCTGGCCTGGCGATCTCAGGTAGAGACAGGACCTTGATCAAGCTGTGAGTTTTGGAAATGCCAGGTGAAGTTGCCAGGGCCACGGGCAAGGCCCAGAGCTCCTCCCCTTTCCACGATGGCCCTTGGGAAAGGGCCTCCCCCTCCTTTATGGAAGAGACAGTCCTGGAGGGAGCCGAGATCTGCTCTGGCAGGAGGGAAGCCAGCTCTCCGGCACAGCGGCGTGTGGGCTGGCGAGGACATCTCTATCAGGGCGCTCCTCTTGGCCACACCAAGCCCCACCATGCCAGGGGGGTGGGACTTCATAGCTCCATTCTCCATAGGAGAAACTGGCTATGGGTGCTGGAAATGCTACCCCAAATGTGGCATCTTGGAAACTGAGAAAACAGCAGAAGCAGGAAGCCTATTCTCCGTTCCGCCCACTTTCTTCCCTGAAACAGCCCCTAAACCGAGGAAGGGCATCCCCCGACCTTCTCCCACCCTCTCCCGGAAGACCCTCACGTGACAGGTGTCCTGCTCGAGGCCCAGGGAAGGAATGCCACACCAGGACGCTGAGACGACGCTGGACACACAGCTTTGCTAAGCCCCACTCCCTTCCCCACTGCCCCTCATCTGATCACACCCCTTTCCCTCCCATTGCACTTCTCCAGGACCAGCCCCTGTCCATCAAACCTAAGCATAAAGCACAAACTTCCCGTCTCTTCGGGTCTTCATTTCGAACACTCCCATGTCACAGGAGACGTAAATTACATGAATGTGTTGTGCTTCTGTCTGGCTCCTGTCTTTTGCAATGGAGGCCTCAGCCATGAACCTTGAGATGGGTGGGAAAGGAGCTTCCTTTTCTCCCTCCCCTGGAGCTCAGCGAGCAGGGGTGCTCTCCGAGGCGGTGGTGCTGGGTGTGTAGCTGCCCATGACCATGATGGGCGCCATAGGCAGCTGCCACACTCCGGAGGCCAAGAGGAGGCAGGGTCCTACGTGTCATCTGACACAGGAGAGCCGGGACGGGTCCAGCAGGACAGGCAGGGGCTCAGGGGTCAGGAGCTGTGACTGTGCCCGGGCCACCTGGGCACTTGGGCCCTGCAGCCTGGGGTGGCAGCTGCTGTGTGTGCAGCCACTCCTGGTGGACCTGCCTTCCTTGCGTGCTGCTCCAGCCCTTCCAGTGCCTCCTGTGTTCAGTTCCCCCGGTGGAAGCTCTGGATGGGCCCCTGGTTTCTTCCCCCACTGACTCACTGTCTGGCATCAGGACAGCATCTGAGGGGTGTGGGGGTTTCGGCAGCAGAAGGAAGCCAGAGGCCATTCCAGGAGGAGGGAACAATCAAACACAGGCCCTGCAGCTGGAGGTGCTGAGCACACAGTGGGGCTGGCTTCGGGTGCCGGCCCCCCATGGTGCCAAGGCCAGTGTCACCAGCAGGCTGGGCTGATGCTGGGGGAGGGGACAGAGCTCTGACTTCATCCCTTAGGGCTGGGGAGTTAGAGAAGGGTTTTAAGCAGGCGGCAAGAGCTTCCCTCCCTGGTGTATGGCAGAGGCACATGACAGCCGTCACCGAAGCACGCCTGAGAGTGATCCCATGGCCTAAGAAGAATGTGCCTTCCGAGTTCCCAGCTAAGGAATCCAGGAGTGGCCAACCCCGAGACTCAGCCTTACCCATGAGGAACAGGCCCCGGCCCATCCCTTGGAATGCAGGCCCTGCGGGGGTCGAGTTCCTCTGTTCTGGGTTGGGTGAAGGTTGCTAGGGGGAGGGTGCGGAGGGAAAAAGCTACATAAACTGCAGGCTTCTTACAAACGAGAGCAGCTCTCCTGTCCAGCCCACTGCCACCAGACTGTCCCTGCATGTAACTTCCTCCAATAAACCTGTGTCTCATTCGCTGTTTCTGGGTCCCTTCTGTGGCCTCTTGGGCACAGTGCCATCCCTGCTGGAGTCAACAGGGGCCTGGCACAGCAACTGGGAAAGGCCTCTGCTCACTCCGGAGGAGATGAACGGGATGGCAGAGGGGCCTCCTGGAGCCAGTCTGACCTCCTCTTCTCTCTCCAGAGTGGCCAGGACAATCTCCTAACAGCAATGCCAGGAAGCCTGGGCTCCCATCCTCACCTGGAACCAGCTACCTGGGCAGGCCTAAACTGGCTGACAATCCTCATCCTCACTCAGAAGGTCGGGATGATTCAGCTGGATCACTTGCTTTGGAAGAGTCCAGCCCGTGTCTGACACGCAGTCCATCCACAACATGTGCTTGCCTTTCCCCGTCCTGGACAACAGGAGACTCAGTCCCTTTTCCCTTGCCTCTCCTCCGACTCTGGCTCAGTGTTCATTTGCATTTCAATATGTTTCATCCCTAAATCCCAGGTGATGAGTGAACACAGACATTGGGGCTGGGCCAGCGATTCTATAACTGATGTCCCCAGTTCATCTTTGATTTGCGTTATGTTTTTGCCAGCTGCCCTTCTGGGGAAAGGGGCTGTATTGGCGCAATACGGCCCACACTGCATTTATCAGGGGAGGATGGACCACGTGGGGTTTAGGGGATCCTTTGCACCCCAGTAACATCTTACGCTGAAATTCTTGTTATTGAAGCAAAGTTCAGAGCCCACCGTGTTTTGTTGCAGATTCAGGCGTGGGCCAGGAGAGGGCGCTGGCCGCCGCACAGGTGTGGCTGATGGACGAGGCGGGCTGGGCTGGGCTGGGCTGGGCTGGGAGGGGAGAGAGGGCTGGACAGGGAAGCGGGGACCCGGGTCTGCGGAGCTGGCATCTGCCTCCGTGTCATGGCCGCTGAGTCAGTTCCTTGCCTCAGTTTCCCCATCTATAAAATGATGCCCCAGCTGTAGCGTTTCAAAGGGGAGAGTCTGTGAGTCTAGGGTTCTTGGGCTCCAGCAGGCCTGGCTCCACTAGCACCCACCGTACACAGCGGGAGACCGTGCGTGCGTTCCAACACTGTTCCGAGCCTCAGTTTCACCACTTCTTAAAACGGGAATCGGCCTCCTGTTTTGAGGGATGTTGTGGGATCATCCAGGCACGTGGCAAAGCAGTTGCACTTGCCACGCACACAGCACGTTCTGTCGTGATCACTGCCTGATAACACCGGTAATAGCAGGATCCGCTCCACGTGCGAGCACCAGCCGGGCCCTTTGCCTCTCGAGGCGCCCCCACAACATCGCTAGGAAGTAGATGCTTCTAAAAATACCTCGTGCAGACGGAAGATGGAGGCTCGCAGCAATTGAGTGATTCGCCCAGGGTCACCCCCTGTCAGACCTGCGGTTGAATTATCTGTGGTTTGAACGCACTTCTCTTTATTCCTTCTGTGATCAGGGTCTGTCTAGAATGAATCATGTGAGCACAGCAATTTCCATCACTGGTCCAGGAAGGAAGGACGGCTCAAGTCAACCACTCCACCCAGATTCTCCATCTGCATAACGGGCACAACATTCACACTAATAGCGGCCACATCTGCTGGATCAGATGCTGGCATGACTGACTTCTTCTGTGCCGCGTGCTCCTTTTTTGTTTCCA